GTGTACACTCTAACACCACTGTGTACAGGTAGACTATGTCTGTAGTACTGTTGGCAGTACACACTCTAGATGTGTGTACACTCTAACACCACTGTGTACAGGTAGACTATGTCTGTAGTACTGTTGGCAGTACACACTCTAGATGTGTGTACACTCTAACACCACTGTGTACAGGTAGACTATGTCTGTAGTACTGTTGGCAGTACACACTCTAGATGTGTCTACACCCTTACATTGCTGGGCAACACCCTAACAGATTTTAAATAGATGATTATCCTTTATAGAAATTCTAAACAGAAAATTACACATCAAATTGTCATTATTTTTACACTGTGTGGCTATCTAACATTACCACTGTATTTGTTACAAATAATCTTATATCAATAGAATTTTATGTGTTGAGAACATTGTAATTATTTTAACCCTTGTAATTAGCTAATGATTGTGTTTAGTAAAACTATATCATTTATAACTTGCTGAGAAAACCTGACCTGTGCCTAGCTGCTACACAGCTTATTACCAATGAATTGTAGTGGGGCTGTCAACAACAGTAATTCTGTATGCCAGTATATTGAGATATTGTATTATAATACAAAGGTTACACAGAGTTCTAGAGATTTTTCCCTCTACAAACAAACAGCCATAATTACAATATCATAATTTATTCAGTACAGAACAAAACACTTGGTAAATTAAGCTCCATTAACCTTATTAATGACCCAATATATTTATATATGTCTTAAGGTGCTTGTGCCTTTTCAACAAGAGAATATCACAAAAAACTAAATCTTCATCTTTATTGAATAATTTTTTATCGCACGAATTGTTTTAATGAGAACAAGAAACAATTTTGCCAGAATAGTGAAATCCCCTAAGAAAGAAACTGCAAATTGAAAAAACAGCACTGAATCTAGCCCTTTAAAATATCTACTTATCTTATAGCACTGTCTCCTTGAAGATAGAGGTTAATTCACTGATAACAATGGTTTTAAATGGTACCACCAACCAGAGCACAAATGAAGAAATTACAAAATTATACCTAAATGTACTACATACTTAGGAAATAAATTGAAAACCTCATTAATAATCCATTTAAAATCTGAAGTTTCAGTTAAATTCACATTAACAAATTGATGGTTATGATAATGATGTTTACGGAGTCAATCCATATCAATAACCCCCATAAAGGGCTTTAAACCAATTTTTCCTCCTGTGCATGTATGTACCTATATATTACAAAAGTATAAAATATTGCTATACCTGAATTCCGAATGCATTGTTAGCCTGCCTATAGAAAAACAAAATAACTTAAAATCAAAACTAGTGATCTACAAATATTCTGAAGATTTAAACATTTTTTTATTTCTACTTTAATTAATCTTGGTAGTTATAAATCCTAGGAATAGAATTTTGATTTCATACATTAAAATTTTTCAGAGGTTAATGTCAAGTTCCTTCTTGATCTAACTTAAGGACAATCTAACAATGCTTGGATGATTGATTACTTCCAACCTGTTTACCTATATGTACCTGTATATGAAATACCTTTTCAGGTGTGGTGGATCTACCTGAGTGGAAGGTCTGTCAGGTAAGGTATATACATATAAGTCTGTACACTCTCTCTGACAAGTAGATGTTGCATGTAACTTCTCATTATGATAACGGAATGTGAATGTTGACGACGTGATTTTTTTCATCCTGGTTGGAAATTTGTACCTCAGTGATTACAGGTAAGCCTATCATTGTTTCACACCTGTAATTTATTGGCTCCTGCACGTACTGATATCTAAATATACACATTAGAAGTATAAGAACAAAAAACTGTACAAGCAAGTAACATGAGCAAACAACACACACACAAACAAATGCGGTATTGTTTGTTTCATTCAGGTGAGCCTCTCATTTTATTTCTGTTCAACACTTGGTGTATGGGTTGTTTATCCAAGACTAAGTTACATAATAGAAAAATACAGTTGTGAAATGTAAAAAAAACAACCGCCTTTAATGTCATTCAGACGTACAAGGAATGAATAGCACCTCTGGTTAGCCCATTGTCAGAATTATAGAAGTGTATAGGTTGTTCTGCTGCACTGCCAAGATCACAAAATTTAATAGAAATAGCGTAACAAAGATCAGCTGTATCATCCATAAATGACATTGCTACTTTAAGGTCTAGGGGCTGTGGTAGCTCAGTCAGTTAGATCATTGTTCTTTGGAACTTTAGGCAAAGATCTATAGTGCAGGGGCTGACACTTTCAACCCATCGCAGTTTGTGTTTCTAGGGAATCTTAAAAATGAACTGGTCTGTGTATTCATGGTTGTATCCTTGGACAAGACACTTAACCCCAATTTCTGTTGATGACATGCAATGGACCTCCGGCATGTTGTTCAGTGAGGTAGCCATCAGCCTCTACTAGGAGACCATATCTCAAAATGGTCATGGCTGTTAACAGAGCAATTAAACCCAACAAACAAAACCTGATATCTATCAAAGAGAAGGAGATATATGATGGAAAATTACATAATTCTTCAAAGGCCCCATCATCTGTTAACCAATCAATTTTTCAAAGATACCAGTATTAAATTCTACAAACTTACAAACCTAGAATATTTCACAGCAATACATTTTCATATATCTTAGTCATTGTTTATTATGTAATGAAGTTAACATGTCTGTATCGATAAATTGTTCTGATATGTGAACATCTCAAAAATAAATCTATTGGTCCCTTGGTCTTTAGCCACTTACTGTCATCACAAGACCTGTAGTTAATCAAGAGACAAAGCCTACAAAGTATGAACAAAACTTCTCCACGACCATGATGAACAAAACTTTTACACGACCCTGATTCACGGCCTATCATATGCATAGCTAAGGACATCTCTGCATTGGTACAAATGCTTTAAAATGCTTCAGTTTTGGGCTGACTTGGGTTCATAAGGTTTTTCATTTGTCAATCTTATAGATTTAAAACGAAATCTGCCTACAGAATACAGGCACACTAAACTTTAATATACTTGATATACAAATTATCAAGAAGTGTACTCAAATTGATCTAACTGACTGTAAGTATTAAGTAGAGATCACAGGGATTTGTCACAAATTGCTAACCCCAAATTTCTTAGGAAAATATTCCACAGTAGTTCATTATATGACCATCTCTTGTCCCAATTTTGGCGGTATAAAGGGGTGGTGATACAACAGGGTTTCAGTATGACAGCTGATAGTATAACTGAAGTGTAGTAAAACACACTGAATATGTACATCTTAAACAAAGACTGAATATAACGCAGACTGACATAAACCTTTATCTTGAAAATTTATGCCAAGTCCCTGTGATAGAGCTGTTAACACTAAGAGATGTCTAGAATCTCTTGGCTATGCATCCTATCTATCTGGACAAACAGACGGTACAAATACCTAGGACAGTTTATTGCCCATCACTGTGTTTACAACATCTCAGTGACAAATGTCGAGATACCTTTATTGGCTTCTGCAATTAAATCTCTGTGTACTTTTACCTGGTGAGTGACATTGCTTCAATCCACGCTGTTCAAATATCTTATATACTATTAAACAGCCAGCTTACTGAACAGAAAAAAGGGCACATGATGTACACCTGTCAAAAAGGCACTGTGAGAACTTAGTCTCCAAACCATTTATTGCCAGAAGAATAATACATCTTTCATATACATCTACTTCACAAAGTTGTCTTTTAGTTTAATTCACTTCTACATTTTCTATCATATGGGTATGCTAGTATATTTTAATTCCAAAAGATATCATTTGAGTTTGTTAGTTTTTTTCAGATATACAAGCTATCATTTGAGTTTGTTAGTTTTTTCAGATATACAAGCTATCATTTGAGTTTGTTAGTTTTTTCAGATATACAAGCTATCTTTTGAGTTTATTAGTTTTTTCAGATATACAAGCTATCATTTGAGTTTGTTAGTTTTTTCAGATATACAAGCTATCATTTGAGTTTGTTAGTTTTTTTAAGATATACAAGCTATCTTTTGAGTTTATTAGTTTTTTAAGATATACAAGCTATCATTTGAGTTTGTTAGTTTTTTCAGATATACAAGCTATCATTTGAGTTTGTTAGTTTTTTCAGATATACAAGCTATCATTTGAGTTTGTTAGTTTATTCCAATTACATATTGCTGTTACATGGTTATATTAATTAGATAAAGTCAATCATCAGACAAGATATTATAAGGGTATGCCACATTTAATTTCAACCACACAGATGTTCTGTAAAAGATTTCTACCCTTTCCTGCTCAGATCACAATTAGTTTGCCTGGTAAATTTAACTGAAAAAATCATTCTTGTGCTTATCTGAACCAGATCAGTGTCTTCCTGACATATCTATTTTTTAATGACATGTTCTGGTAATATATACAATAACTTTCGAGAGGTAATTTGTAAATTGACAACAGTTTTTGAAAACCATACCCTTTAATAAACATGAGACCTTATCAATACCTGTTTAAAATTTTCTTTTCCCATACCGTAGAATGTGAGAAAACAATATTATGCACAGTAAAATCATATTTTTTGTGGGACTCAATTTCTGTGGTTTGTCCAAAATACATGATTTTGTGGACACTTAATTTTGTGGATAAATATAGCCCAATACCTCCACTTACAATTATTTTTACAAATAAATAAATAAGTGGGGAAAACCCCTAAGAACCAACATCCACTTACACTTATTTTTACAATTCATGGGCGAAAGATTTCTAGAACTTATAGTACCTACAAAATTAATGACAATAAATTTTCTAACTTAAATTAATGATTTTACTATGATTTGAAATTAAAGGAAATTATTTGTCAACGAAAATGTGTCAAATGTCATCCATGATTTGGGGCTAAGGAAGGAGACAAGAAAGCATATATTGAATATTAGAGAATTTTACAAAAAAGTTTAGTGGTACATCTTCGTTTATTCTTTAACAGGCTTCTGTCCTCATGATGTAGACAAAAACACCCAATATGTCTGATGTACATCAGAATGACGATAATTCTCATCCCAATTCCAATTCATCAAGCCTCAGAGAGACATCAGACCAATCTGCCAACAACCAGATTCACACATCAGAGCAAGTCCCCACCCAAGGGGATGGTACTGAGCCAGAAGGGGCTTATGGTTCCAACACCCTCAAGGACTTTACCCAGGAGGACGAGTTAAGCGATGTAACCTTACTTATAGAGGGGAGAGAACTCCATGTGCATCGCCAATACCTTGCTGAATGGTCTCCAGTATGGAGGAGAATGTTTTTAGGTGGATTTCTAGAGCAGCATGCTCGTCAGATACCACTTCCAGGCAAACGTATCACAGAAGTCACCGAACTGCTCCACTGTATTTATTCTTCACAGAAACCCATATCAGGTAACAAGAATGTCTGTTCCTGTCTATACATAGCCATAGCTGGTCTCACAGAATATAATAGGCTTGTATCAATATATTTTCATCACCAACTACATCAATCTGTACTTATCTGTACAAATAACAAAAGCACTTGTCTATTCCATCCTCAGGTATAAACATTACATAAAGTGTTCTCCCTAAGATTTAAAGCAGGAGGCAGATTGACAAATCTAACTGGCAGGGGGCCTCTGGAAGATTAATATTGATGTTTTTTTAGAATAAAATCACAGCTTCAGATGACAAACTGAAAGTTCAGAAGCATTAATTTTTTTCTTTGTGGTGATGGAAGAATTTACTGAAACATTTACAATAACAGACTACATAAACATCTCCAATAAAACCAGATATGGTAAGGTTTGCATGGCAATAGTGTTTTTGATTGTGTCTCTGTGTATCAGTGACAAGCAAGCATTCTCAAATAAATTGATATTTTATACCATTAGATTGCTTTCCACAGATAAAAAAAACAACAAATTGTTGTTTCGCCTTACGGAGGTAAGCTGCACTTCCTCATGGTGTTGTTTATTCATAAATTGGGATTGATCAGACGCTTTCGAACACTGCACAAAAAGGTTGTTTCATTAAAGCGTTGTTGTAATTTGACTACAGACTAAACTGAATTGATAAAGGACTTTCAAACACTGCACAAACAAAGCCGTTATTCAAGCATTGTCCTAAGCTTGACTACATGCTAAAATCAATCACAACACATGTAACTTTGACATTCACATGTTATAATCACACGATTATGTAACTTACGGTAACCGTTCGACAGACAACGAATTTAATCTGGGAAATATGTTTTTTTCCTTCAACTTGATGAATTTTAACTGGCAAATTTGGCGTTTTAGGAGGTCAAATTGTTCGGCTGCCGGCTCTTTGGGAACACACTGTATATATTTTATATTTTGTTTTGTTTTTGATTTTATTTTGAGAAAGAGGGGTTCTACATGTTGGCATTTTTTAATTCTGCTAAAAAAGACCCATCCGTTTTGCATAAAGCTTGATGTAGGTGAAACGATACCAAATCCCGTCACTGTAACTACATCAAATCTATCTTGCATGTATGTACACAGGTAATAAAAATCATCCATTCTAACCAGTGTTAATTTTTCCCTTCAAAGCTACGAAAAATTATGTTTATGAAACAAATTCATTTTTAGTCAATCAAACTGAGTGAACAGAGTTTTCTACAATCCAAAATGAATTTGTTTTGTGCATTGCTTCTTTCATCATTCAAATTATTTGTCAAACCCTTGACCTTCCTTTACTGAGCCACAATAATAGCAAGAGTCAAGGTCCATGGATCATGGAGCTGAAGGTTTACCAACAAGCAACATCAGCCTAGTCATTCATGTTTAATTTAATGCAAAGACATAATTATATTTTCTATGAGGCTCAATTTTTGTATTTTAAATTAAGTGTTTTGTAGACATCTGATTTTATTTATTGACATTACTATAAAGATCAAGACTCACTTATAGAACACTTGTCGTTCAAATTATATTGAAAAAAAAATGTTTAAAATTTTGAATACTTGATTCTTTTGGGAACATATGAACTCATAGATTAACAATACTAGGAAATCAAACAACCAACCAATGAATAATTAAGGACCTGACAGTATTTACTTAATACAGTGTATTTTTCAGAAAAACAAGTTACCCATTTCCTTTTCTCTGTGGATGATTTTCCCTTACAAATGAATTATTATCTCCCCTGTTTCAGATGAGAATGTGAGATTCTTGTTGGAACTTGCCGAGGAGTACCAGATAGATAGGATCAAACACCGCTGTGAAAAATTTCTCCTCACACAACAAAGCAACCTTGAGGCACTTTACCTTGCCCAAAAGTTTCAGCTACGGACATTGTACCGTCGCTGTGTCAATTTCTCAAAGACAAAATCTGTAAGTGACCTTGAGCGTAACCCTTACTACACTAAACTTAATGCAGACACGAAAGTAGATGTTCTAAAAGCCAAGACAGATATGTTGAATGATCATGCCAACAGTCTGGCAAATCGAGAGACATCACTGAGTCGTAGATGCGACCTGCTGACAATGGAGCGTGACAATATGAAAGCGAGTCTACAAGCGATTCACGGCATCTGGGCTGTGCCCAACAAACGGTGTTACAAGCATGTCACAAACAAAGATTTTAACTTCTCCTGTCTGGACTGTAATGAGAACATGTACCGAGAGATCCGTGCCCTGTGTGGGAGAGGTCAACATCTTAGACGCTATTTTCCTCCTAAATAAGTCATACCAGTACCTGTTATGTGATTGTGTTACTTTATAATGTACTAGTTGTAGCAGACTGATGTTCAGTTGTGTTTTCGCACAGAATAGAGAAAAATTTTGTAACTTTCCATACAACTTAAAGAACTGACATCTGATCTAAGACAATTTTCAATCCAAAATTGTCTATCTTTTAAAAAGAACTTTGTGGAATACATCCACACTTAGTGGTATACTGTTATAATTTATTGTTTGTTTGCTGGGGTTATTGTCCACAGTGTAATTTTTAGGGGTGGGGCCTCCTTGTAGTAACTGGTGGGCACCTTACTGAACAAATCATGCAAAGCCTGTTCCATGTCATCAAGAGCAAATAGGGTCAAGTGTCTTTACTAAGGACATAATTATGACAAATCTAGCCCATTTCTCAGCTTATTATGAAACACAAACCTCCATGGGTAGTGAGCATCGAAAAAGAGAACCAAGGATTTCCACCTGAGCTTACATAAGCCAACATGTTAACTGACTGTACTATCATGGTCCTCTACACCTCAGAGAAGCACAATGTGAAGATCAAGATCAATACCATGTACTCCAAGGAATCATAGGGCCACTGTCCATCCTGGAATCATGGCTTTGAGAACATAACACCAAAATTGTATGGTGCTATGACATGTAAATTTAATATTACACTAATATTGTAATATACTTAGTATTCCGTATATATCTAGATCACTTGAGTGGTATAATAAATCACACATCAGATAATTCTTTTGTTTTTTTATCATTATCCTATCACTATTGCCACTGACTCAGACACCCGTCAATAAACAAAACATATGCAATGTTGCTACTGTACCAACATGTAGACTAATTACTGTTGTACCAATATGTAGACTAATTACTGCTGTATCAGTATGTAGACTAATTACTGCTGTATCAGTGTTGTGTAGACTAATTACTGCTGTATCAGTGTGTAGACTAATTACTGCTGTATCAGTGTGTAGACTAATTACTGCTGTATCAGTGTGTAGACTAATTACTGCTGTATCAGTGTGTAGACTAATTACTGCTGTATCAGTGTGTAGACTAATTACTGCGGTATCAGTGTGTAGACTAATTACTGCTGTATCAGTATGTAGACTAATTACTGCTGTATCCGTATGTAGACTAATTACTGCTGTATCAGTGTGTAGACTAATTACTGCTGTATCAGTATGTGGACTAATTACTGCTGTATCAGTATGTAGACTAATTACTGCTGTATCAGTATGTGGACTAATTACTGCTGTATCAGTATGTAGACTAATTACTGCTGTATCAGTGTGTAGACTAATTACTGCTGTATCAGTATGTAGACTAATTACTGCTGTATCAGTATGTAGACTAATTACTGCTGTATCAGTGTGTAGACTAATTACTGCTGTATCAGTATGTGGACTAATTACTGCTGTATCAGTATGTAGACTAATTACTGCTGTATCAGTATGTAGACTTATTACTGCTGTATCAGTATGTGGACTAATTACTGCTGTATCAGTATGTAGACTAATTACTGCTATATCAGTATGTTCACTTATTACTGATCTGTATGTAGACTAATTATTGCTGTACCAGTATGTAGACTAATTACTGCTGTATCAGTATGTAGACTAATTACTGCTGTATCAGTGTGTAGACTAATTACTGCTGTATCAGTATGTTCACTAATTACTGCTGTATCAGTATGTAGACTAATTACTGCTGTATCAGTATGGAGACTAATTACTGCTGTATCAGTGTGTAGACTAATTACTATTGTATCAGTATGTAGACTAATTACTTCTGTATCAGTATGTAGACTAATTACTGCTGTATCAGTATGTTCACTAATTACTGCTGTATCAGTATGTAGACTAATTACTGCTGTATCAGTATGTAGACTAATTACTATTGTATCAGTATGTAGACTAATTACTGCTGTACCAGTATGTAGACTAATTACTGCTGTATCAGTATGTAGACTAATTACTGCTGTATCAGTATGTAGACTAATTACTGCTGTATCAGTATGTAGACTAATTACTGCTGTATCAGTATGTAGACTAATTACTATTGTATCAGTGTGTAGACTAATTACTGCTGTATCAGTATGTAGACTAATTACTGCTGTACCAGTATGTAGACTAATTACTGCTGTATCAGTATGTGGACTAATTACTGCTGTATCAGTATGTGGAATAATTACTGCTGTATCAGTATGTAGACTAATTACTGCTGTATCAGTATGTTCACTAATTACTGATCTGTATGTAGACTAATTATTGCTGTATCAGTATGTAGACTAATTACTGCTGTATCAGTGTGTAGACTAATTACTGCTGTATCAGTATGTAGACTAATTACTGCTGTATCAGTGTGTAGACTTATTACTGCTGTATCAGTGTGTAGACTAATTACTGCTGTATCAGTGTGTAGACTAATTACTGCTGTATCAGTATGTAGACTAATTACTGCTGTACCAATATGTAGACTAATTACTGCTGTATCAGTATGTAGACTAATTACTGCTGTATCAGTATGTAGACTAATTACTGCTGTATCAGTGTGTAGACTAATTACTATTGTATCAGTGTGTAGACTAATTACTGCTGTACCAATATGTAGACTAATTACTGCTGTATCAGTATGTTCACTAATTACTGCTGTATCAGTATGTAGACTAATTACTATTGTATCAGTGTGTAGACTAATTACTGCTGTATCAGTATGTAGACTAATTACTATTGTATCAGTATGTAGACTAATTACTGCTGTATCAGTATGTAGACTACTTACTGCTGTACCAGTATGTAGACTAATTACTGCTGTATCAGTGTGTAGACTAATTACTGCTGTATCAGTGTGTAGACTAATTACTGCTGTATCAGTGTGTAGACTAATTACTGCTGTATCAGTGTGTAGACTAATTACTGCTGTATCAGTGTGTAGACTAATTACTGCGGTATCAGTATGTAGACTAATTACTGCTGTATCAGTATATAGACTAATTACTGCTGTATCAGTGTGTAGACTAATTACTGCTGTATCAGTATGTAGACTAATTACTGCTGTATCAGTGTGTAGACTAATTACTATTGTATCAGTATGTAGACTAATTACTGCTGTACCAATATGTAGACTAATTACTGCTGTATCAGTATGTAGGCTAATTACTGCTGTATCAGTATATAGACTAATTACTGCTGTATCAGTATGTAGACTAATTACTGCTGTATCAGTATGTGGACTAATTACTGCTGTATCAGTATGTAGACTAATTACTGCTGTATCAGTGTGTAGACTAATTACTGCTGTATCAGTATGTAGACTAATTACTGCTATATCAGTGTGTAGACTAATTACTGCTGTATCAGTATGTAGACTAATTACTGCTGTATCAGTATGCAGACTAATTACTTCTGTATCAGTATGTTCACTAATTACTGCTGTATCAGTATGTAGATTAATTACTGCTGTATCAGTATGTAGACTAATTACTGCTGTATCAGTATGTAGACTAATTACTGCTGTACCAGTATGCAGTGTAATTATTTGTCATTTAAAGTTAACAATGGACCAACAAAAGGTTGATGGGCAGATTGAAGGACAATGATTGCCACATCATAGCATAAGCCAAGGTAATAGTGGTTCTAATTCTGTGGCAGTATGAGGCAGGAACACTTGACAGGGTAAGAAATAAGGACATATTTTTTACCATATGCAATTTCTGTAATATTTCTAAGCTGCATGTCATAATCATTTTCAGGTTATGTACCACATCATGGCCTGTCTTAAGGCTTTGTTATGAAGACACTTACCTCTTTGACACGAGACTTGAGGACAGACTCAGAAACGGATCTACGATCGGTTGGACTGCTATCCCTCTCTACAAATAAAAATAGTGAATAAACCTACTTACAATGAGTAACTGGAAACATTATGTTATCTTAACTCACTTGATCTCCTCTATCCCCAAAATGTCATGTAACAGTCAAACAGACACTTACAAATCAAACAAAAAGTGTCAAATCACTGCTGCAGACAACTTTACCTAAATCAATCAAAACAAAGTGCCAGAATTTGATATAACATCTTTATAAACAAGTTGCTTGTCCATGTATGCTGATTCGTTGGCACTTTAAATGTAATATTTCAAATCTGAACATCCCTCGTCCAACTGATCAAATCAATTAACAAAAACATGTCAGTAAGCGCTTAAAGTGTTGAATCTAAAAGCTATTTTACTTTTGTCTAAGTTATTAGAGAATGACTTACTTTTGTTGGTATCTAAGTCTAAACACACCTTCCTAGCCACAGCATAAGTTGCCTCCTCCGGGGTTGCAAAGGCATCTGCAAGAAATGCATAAATAAAATACTAATGAATCAATATAGAAAAACATGTATTACTTCAATTCATGAATATGCTTAATACTGTCTTGAAAGACTTTGTCTGCTCATGGTACAATGTTACACTACAAAATATCTATAAGATCCTTTGAAGCCAGAGTACTTGATCAAACATGCAGTGTTTTTCTACCTTAATTTCAAAATATGCTGCACCTTAGTTAATTGAAAGTTACATACAATTAATTCTTTTGAAGAAGGTACTCTTAATTTTGTTCATCTTCAGGGAACAATCCATAGTTTGGCTACAAGAAACTGTCTGCTTTTGGATGTAAAGCTAGGCATGAATACTCCTACTTTCATGCATTTAGGTATCATTATTATATAAATCTGAAGAAGTAGTCAAATGTGACCTTTGACCCTTTAATCTTGACTGTTATCACCCTAACATCACTTCAAAAGGAAAGTTTATTATTATTATTACAATCGTAACAGCCCGTCAACACATGAAAGGTCAATAGGGCCATCAACTGGTTCCTTAAAAGGAAAGAGCCAACGTCAGGTGTAAATAAGTGAGTAATGAGTGGGGTACTGCCCTGTAAGTATGAATAGCTAAAGGTATGCCCGGTGATTAAATAAAGACGTAACAGTACGCATTAAGAGGTAATCATAACAATACTCACATATTACTAGTGAGTGGGCTTTTAATCTAGTAGACAGATTAAACATCCACTAATTAGTTAAATGTGAGTATGTTGTGATTAACTTCCTCTTTGTATACAAAGGTTTAAAGCTAGAAGTTATAATAACAGGAACCAAAATTTGTTGACTTTCGTATATGTTTATTCTTGCTATTAAAGTCAGTATACTGCAAACAAAAGAAACTTACCCTCACTGCCATAAACTTTGCCTCTGAAGGTGAGTGAGCTGACATAGCCTTGTGAACCACCAATCTTCACTGGTATGGTGTTAAATTCCACTGCAAGTGAGGTTACATCAAAGTTTTGAAGGGCATACTTCTCCAGCCTTTCGTAGAACTGGCGTCCATTGAGCACTGTTAAACACAAACCAGTTTAACATGAGTTGTATAAGCTGTCTTTATTCTTATTTCACTGTGATTAAAACTCCATCCATGTATTCCCTAGCTGATCTTGCTACCAAGAAAATTTTTTTTTCTATACCTTGAATATTCAGGGAACTCAAGCAGTCTTTTCTAACTATATCTGCCAAATTATGAAATCATTTGGGTGATTCATTTTGTTGATTTCAAAGGAATTCTTAATTTGAAATAAAATGTCCATGAACTTACATAATGAGTCATAGAACACTGATTGAGTTATAATTATCCAAGAAGACAAAGTCCATGAATATTAAACTCCATGAAAATATGATTTTACAGTGCAGTTGAAACTTGTTCTCTCAAAATTCAAGGGATTGTGGAAAATATTTCGACTTATCTGAAGTTCGACTCAAACAAAGTGTATAAATAAGGTTGACGATATCAGTTTCCTAACATTGATTACGGTTGAACAAAGTAGGGCTACAACAGCAAGCAAACAGCATAGTTTAATCTGTTTTTTTAAATGGCAGTAATAAATAGATTTATTTCTACTTTCTCCTTTTATTGTTTATTCATCCAAACAACGAAACATGCAATAACAACTCCATTCAAATACATTTATGCTCGAGTCATTCCGTCCCGCACACACCTACAATACCCTTACTGACCATGCACATATACATCACATATTTGACGGAATGACAATAAACGAAATTAAAATTTGCTTTTGATAAGCTACTAGAAACTTGAACCCTTGTGTTATGAGTTTGTCGGTCAGTTGATGACTTTTTACAGGAAAATCAAGATAATGGAAACTAGCCCTTGAATTGAATCAGCTGTGACATGTAAACACTATAGGTTGGTGATGCAGGAATATTGCTTTCCAGAAATGGAAAATTCACAATAGGGAAAATAAAATAAATCATCACAATTAACATTGGAGGAAAGCCATACTTCATTAGCATGATTCTTTGCTTCATTTCAAGGATATCTATGTCTATGTACTGAATAATAGGTCTACCATGACCATGCCTCAACTTAAAGCCAATAAAAACACAAACCTGTGTCAAATTCTGTTTTCTCCAGGCGATGAGGTGGTGCCTTTTTCACTGGTGTCTCTGTACAAGAAAGCAAGGATTAGACGAAATCAAATCCTGTTCCACTGCAGATGAATTAGTTTGATATTTCATGGCAAATGAGTGCTGAAAACAGCTTCTTCCAATATCATCATACATGAACATACTACAATGAAATATGCTCTAAACTGTGAAATTAAACCATTTTCTATTCAACTTTTTGATAACTGGCTGCTGTGTTTTCACTTTTGTCGCCTTACAGAAAGGTTAACTTGTAAATACACCCTTAATATAATTACTTTTTCTCTCTCATATGCAACAAAAGACATTGAACCCATCCTCCATCTATACCCAATATTGTGGTAGCTCTAAGTGAAACCATATATTGGTGTCTCTTTCCTTTGAATGATCCCTGGGGTCACTGTGATAAGTGCTTTATTCTATCATTATCCAATGATGCCTTGGTTTTTCTTTGATCATTTTCTGGTGATAAATCCCATATCATGCGATATTTTAAATATCACAGATGTGATATCTAAAATATCGCATGGGTCCCTCTGATTGATACACATCTCATTAAGGAGGTGGTGCCCATTTCAAAGTGGGCGAGACAGATAAGTAAACATCGACTTAACACTTGACACCAATCAGCTCCTAATAGTTCTAGCTCCACCCCTTGGCATGTGGATGAGAAAACCTTGGCGGTCATTGGATAAAACAGATACATAATTGACACTCGTAATGTATCGGACTTGTGTGATATATACTTGTGCCCATTATGTCTCTATCACATACTTACTCTCACACTGTAATAAGTGGTTACCAAAACTGTATAAATTCCTGTAGAGATATTTCTTTGTATACATAGTTCAAAATAAAATTAAACAAAAATATTTTGTCATCATACATTGACAAGAGATCCCAGACGGATCTTGGCATCCACCATTGTTTGATCTTTATATGCTATTTGAAAGTTGGATCTTTTCCCTTCTTTTCTCATCTCTTCTCTGTTTTGCTCTCTTAATGATAAAACATTTGAACATTCCTTTGCAGAAATAAATGAAAATCATTACCTTCCAAATCCAAAATGGCCACCTGGAAGCCATTTTGTTTTTTAAGGGATCATACATATGAAATTTGAGAGATGACCATTCAGTACTTCTTCAGAAAAAGCAATAACAATCTTTACTAGGCAAAATCCAAGATGGCTGTCTGTTGGCCATTTTGTTTTTCTGATCAGTCCTAAACTCAAATAGGCACAACTAGGGACCAAAGGGAACCTACATATGAAATCAAAGAAAGATCCATGAGAACTTGTCAAAAAAAAGCGATAACAATCTTTTGAAGTCAAAATCCAAGATGGCCGCCTGTCAGCCATTTTGTTTTTCTTATCACACCCCCCCCCAAAATCAAAGGGGCACAACTAGGGACCAGGGGGAACCTACATATCAAATTTAAGAAAGAACAATAAAATATTTCTCAAGAAATAGCAATAACAAACTTTCAAAATCAAAATCCATGATGGCTGTCTTTTGGCCATTTTGTTTTTCGAATCAGTTCCAATATTACATGGGCAAAACTAGAAACCAAGGGGAACCTAAATATAAAATTTGAGAGAGATCCATTCAGTACTTCTCAAGATAGTGATAACAAAAATTGTTTACGGATGGATGGACGAACGGAGGCACTATTCTAAACCTCCTGTAGACTGTAGATAGGAAAACAACCTTACTTAGTAATGCTGGTCGACTTGTCTCTGCCCGCTGCAGTTTCCGGAATCGTGGGGGAACATCAAACCGTGATCCAAAAGGCAATCGCTCTTCCTATAAACAAGATACGTAATGCTGATGTATGAGGATCAAATATTCATAAAGTATTTAGACTTGTTATGAATTACTGAGGTCTTCTGTTATGAAATATAACAGTATGACAAGGCAAAGTTAGGCAAATGTTTTTAGTAATGTAAATAGTCTATGCCATCCCGGGACTCCAGGTTTTGTTTAAGGATAAACACTATTCCAGTAAAACATATATTCCACCCAAGAACATCAGGCTGTGCTTAAGTTACCATCCACAGGATTGAATTGATAATTAGATTATAATTAAAAGGCAGGACAGTTTACTGGAGTAGCACTGAGATTGTGTGAGGTCATGTTTTTCGGATAGTAAATAATCAACACAATAAATCTGTACTTCGGGGTCATTGAGCCAGACTGCTCAACTGCACCTTGCTTCTTTATGACTGATATCTACATCATGCTTCAATATCCTAGTTTAAATGCAGGCAGATTAATGCTCTGGACACAAAATTTTGACAAATATAACTCTGGAATTAAGGTGTTGCAGGCCCTGGATTTGGTACACAGCACATTGTTTTAGTATGACATACAGCAGCTTTCATTATCCTAGCTTACCTGAGTGTAAAGCTATGCTCCTGAGAAGAAATTTTTAAAAAAAGGGCAATCATTCTGTAATAGAGATGTCAAGAGCCCTGAATTTGGTACACTGCGCATTGTCTTAGCATGATCAATGTATCAACCAAGTTTCATCATTATAGTTTAAATGCAAGCAAAATTTATGCCCAAGACACAACTTTTTTTATAAAAGACATTAACTCTGTAATTAAGGGGTCAATGACATGAACACTACCACTTCAGTACAGATGATATTCTATTAATAGTAACAGTGACTTAGACAGAGACCCTGGAACCAAATATCAAGAAACATGTTAAGTTAGTAGAAAATTCCAGACATTATATACACCAGTTAACGATAAACTATTTACATTTCTTTCCGAATTAGCCTCACTCAAAGCCTTGCTCAATGTCTTGTGTCCAATCCTGTCAAAAGTGACAGAGCGTTGTTTGTTGGTCTGGTTTGGGGTGTCCGACAGCCGCACCTGTAGACCACTGTAGGACTGATTCGGTGGCGAGTAGAGCGGTGATCTATGTGATGGCTTTGGATAACTGTTGGACCGTGAGTGGTATTGAGTATTTCGATACTGATTTGGAGGGTGAGAATTTCCATGATACAATGGTCGTGGCACAGAGGTCTGAGGGGCAGGTTTTCTTTTCAAGGGCTAAAACACAAAATTTAATGTAGTATTTCAGGATTTTAGGTCAATTAAGCTACCTAGTAAACTTGTCCATCATGGAAAATATTCAGAATAATTTCAAGACAAGATTTAGCATAATTAGTTATTTTGAAAATCGTAACATTACTTTTACAGTACAATATTCATACACACAAAACAAAGATTTTCCAGTGACTGTATTTATCATTGAGCATACTCTTAATGACTTCTCTTGGAAAATAGAAACTATGGTTGGTTCAAAAAAGATAAATCCCAAGTAGTTATTATGATGGATTTGAGAAAAGTATTGGTGAGAAACACTTCAAAAATTTGTGACTTTTCATAAAATGATTCTTGAATTTATCTTAAAACATCACTTACTGTGAGTTTGCGTTTTTTCTTTGCATTCCGCTGTTTAGACACCATGTTTTGAATGTGAGCGGTCTGTTGGCTGGCCTTGGCATGATAAGTTGTCTCCCCTTGATTGTTTCTTAAATAAATCAAATATAAAAAGAAATATTCATGTAGCCACTTTCAGTATAAATATTGTACAACATACATTATCATGAAGCTAGAAATTAAAAAAATTCCAGTTGTGATTCAATAGAAAATTTGGCAAAGACAAAGATCAATAATTTTTTCATTGTTATATTAAAGAACCATGGTTTCCAAATTTATGATAGTGAAATCCATACATCAGCAAAGAGGGGCATTATCCTTCACAACCAGCTGCTAATAATTAATAAAGTCCCAACTGAATAAACTAACAAACAGTGAATTTTGTATTTCTCACTATTTGTTTCCTTGATAACAGAAACAAGAGATCCCAGAGGGATCTTGGCGCCCACCATTGTTTGATCTTTATATGCTCTTTGAAAGTTGTTTATTTTCCCTTCTTTTCTCTTTTCTTCTCTGTTTTCACTCTTAATGATAAGCGATGAGACATTTGAACATTCCTTTGCAGAAATAGCAATGTTAGCAAAGATCCATCCAGTGCATCTCAAGAAATAGTGATAACTAAAATTATCAACAGATGGACAATGGACAGACTACAGATCATGGACGTAGAGCGATGATGGTGGGCTAATTTTTTTTTTTAAATACACAATGTTTAGTAGAACAATTATCAAATTGTTCCCCACAAAATCACCGCTGATGACAGATGACACTGCATGAGGCAGGTGAGCTCATAAAATTTGGTATTAATTTTCAACATCAAAATCAGTTCAGTACAAAAAGTTGTTATGAGTAGATTTTGGAATACATTGCAGTTTCTGATAACACTATACTTACTTGCGTATATGAACCACATCTGGAATACTGAAAATGAAATCGTCAAGATTGCTATATCCAAGCTTCCTGAAGGGCAGAGGTTCACCAGTCATTTCTCGATAATCTCCTGGAAAGTAAAATATGATTATACAATAAAATAGAGCAAATTCTACCATCACTTAAAGTTTATCTGCATCAATGACCTTTAATTAGGTACATTAGCACTTAAAAGTTGTTCCCATGGGAGGACCCTTTTTCCAAGAAAGATTTTCTACATTGAAAGTTTTGAGGACAACACATATCAGAAATGTCAGGTTTAGTAAGAATAAAATGGAGTTATGTTCCTGAATGGCAAAGGTAATTGTGACGCGGAAATTACGAGTTTACAAATTCAGAGAAATTACATTCACAGGAGTGAAACACCTAACACAAAATGTGCCTCAAAGCTGTATTGGATTGATGACAATATTTTATATCTGTCTAACAAAGACCTTATCCACTGACTGAGTAGCAATGTTTACACATACTCTGGAGGATATGAGCTGGCACGCCTTCCTTACAGCTCATCAGCACGGCCCTCAGCATGCTCTTGACACTGGCTATATCATCCATCCTGGTGCAAGGCCTTACAGCACAATCAGCACAGCGTTACGTTTCTTTTGATGTTCAGGTATAACACTTGACAATTCCTTCGATGTCCTCCTCCACAACCAAAATTATTTATCTTAGCTGTACTCTGAAATACAATAACATATTTTATTGTAGATCTGCTTAACCCAGGATGCTTCTTAACTCTGCATAATTTTTCATCATGGGTTCCTTTTTTTTAATCATTATTAATTTGGTCCACTCTTAAAGTGTACCCTTAATGTATTGCTATATCAAGCTATTCAAAATAGTTGATACCATACAACTCTGTTTCCAAGATGTTGTGATTTATCTGAAATGTGCTCAACAGTGATCCTCTGGATATGGTTATCCCACATCTGTGACATCACCAGGTCAATCCTGTTCTTATATTCAGAATGACACAAAAGCCCTTTTACTTACCAACTACCATTTGATTTCAAAATCACTTTCATCTTTTTTATTTTTATATAATAATGATTCAAATGAAAATTGTAAGTACCTACTTCACATGTTGCCAATTAAGATCAGTAATTAAGCTGTGAAAAGTCTGTAATACATTTAGGACATGACTGCTATGTAGTTAGAGTTTTGCTTCTGGTGATACTTAAGACCTTAAGATATAGTATAACACAGCCTCCTTTCCTTATAAATAAATATCATCATTTGATTACTAGTTCCATTTCAGCGATAGAGCATCTGAGGTTAGCACAGTTGCTGGGACCAACACAGAATCCATGTAGAAAATAATATTTTGACTCTAATTAGGTTTCATGTTGTAGAGTGGACAATATTATAATTCTCTGTTATATTTTGTGCTGGCTGGGCTAAGATGAGGCCATTATTAACATGTTACTAGGGTCTGACCAGGTCTCTAATATTACATGTACAGGTCACCTCATAGTCACAATAGTAGTGCCAGCTAGCTTGTCATTTCCTTCCAGTCTACCTGTATATATAGCTAGTGAAATAGCAAGAATTCATCTAGAAAAATTTTACTATAAAAAAAACAAAAGAGTAAGGGGCTTGACAAAGTGAAAATAGCACTTATGCAGAGCCTCAGATTTGCATCAAATTTGTGAGTTACTTTAAGAAATACAAAATAAAGGTAACATTAACAGTGTTGTTGAAAGGACAATTTCATTATACTGATCAACAAAAAAACTAGTTCATCAAATATATCGATTGTAAACATTTTCAACTCAACCATCTGCCAGATGACCAAGTTTGTCCTTGTTTTGGATTTCCTTTAGAGTGAAGTCACATACTTGTATAGGTAATTCTCCCCTTTTTTAATTGATGTTTTTACCCAATAAAAATTTCATTCTATATTTAGTTGTAGACATCTGCATTGTAAATGCTCAAAGTAAACAAAATGGTCAATGTAATGTACACAGCAGAATCTGAATTAATTATCTATCTGGGTCTGTTTGTTGACTTCAGCAAACAGTTACTGAACCCTGTCTCAACAAGCCAAATCCAAATCAAATGTATTTTTGTATATGTTGAAAGTATAGGTCACCTTAATAGCATGAGCTTGCAAAAGAAGTGTCATTTTTCATTACTCCTTCCTATTACAATTTTGATGTTTTGACCACCCCAAGGGTAGATGCTGTTGTCAAGCAGTAGAGTGTCCAGCTAGATATTGAAGGGTTTTCACTTCGAACCCATTGAGGCATGGTGTTTTTCATTATTCTTTCCCATTACAGAACATCACAACACACAAGTCTCAGTGTGCACTTGATAATAAATACATTTCCATATAGAGAACAATTATGACATGTGTTATTGTGATAGAACTGCAGAGTTTGGAATCTGTTATATATAATTATAGAAAATATCACATCTTTGCAGCTGGTTTAAAACATCCTTCAGCATGTGCCAGTACAGCACGTGTGCAGCTGTTCAACTAGACCGGGAACCATAAAATGAAAGAGAACAGTTCAACAATGAATTTCAATATAAATATTAGAAAGATGTGTTAATTTGCGTGAAATATTCAATTAATTGTGTTTTCTGTAGAGAAATAAGTCGACATATTTCATTTCATCAACGAACAACCTCGTGCCGAGGAAGAAAGAAACGACTACATGAGCGCGACTGTCCCTTTTGCAGTTCTGAAGTATATCCTTGTGAAAAACTCACGTATTTTTACTATCGTGTATTCTATACCAACCTATGCCAATTACTTCAAGGAAGTTTAAACGTTCCGTGTATTTTTCTTCCCGTCTGCTTACTTTCTTTTTCTGGGAATCGCAACTGCGAAGAGTTAGAGCAAGGCCGACAACTCTTCATGGAAAATATGTATGTCACACAAAGTAAAATCGCATGGAAGATGCAGATTAATATCTCAAACAATAGCATTCTGTAACATTTTCCCATAGTTTCAGTTGGAAGAGAAAGTGATTGGATAAATTGACGAATCATGTGTGTATATGTTTTTTATCATAAAGAAAGGTAATGGAATTTCATGTATAATTAGTTTTAATAATTCTAATAGTTTTAATATTAATCAATGACAGTTAATAATTCAGTTTGTCGAGAAGTGGTATAAAAATAATGTATTTCAAGCCCATTTGACCTTGAAACTAGATCAGCGTAATTAATTCTAACAAACTTGGTATTCCTTTATCCCAGTATGCTACTGGCCTAATAGTAAAAAAAAGAACTTGTTTAAAATTGAAATCTTTGGTATCATGCCACACGTGAAAATCATTACAGTGGACATCTTTGTTATTAAGAAGAAGTTGTTGATGATGGTTTGATGGGTGCCGGACGCCGCACCATGATGTAACTTGCGCTTTGACAAGTAAGCACGAAACTGGATAAGGGGACGGAAGATACGGATATGTTGCACAAAAACTGGTTTTATACATTCAAATCTCAGTTTCTAAAATAGTAGATATTCTCTAAAACGGTAACTTCTTGTTGAAAGTATTTAGCTTCAAACCCGCATCAATTTCCGTGAATGTGACACCGTCTTCTGGTTTCCATCCCAAAACAATTCCATTGTTAACCATCCCATATGGTCATCTCACTCCAGAGGAGAGGAAACATTCTTGGCAAATCAAATAGTAAAATTTTAATTCTTTAACTCATACAAACATAATAAGTAGAGTTTACGTTTTAGTAGAACAGAAGTTAAATTCCAGCTATTCGGAAGCTAATCTGGAAGCACTTGCGCTCTTCGGGACTTCAAAGCGCCATTCTGGTAGTTAGCGAAAGCAACATAGCGCCTTCTTCACTTGTCGCATGATTTAAGGCAATAGAAAGATGCTTTTTTCGCTAAGTTTACATTAAAATGACGTATTCTGCATATCTTTAATAGTTTGTTTTAACAGCACGTCGACAACCAATGCTATTTAGGCACCCTTCGTTGCGAGCTACTAAGGAACTTTCCAGACAGACAAAAAGAATGAAACTCCACTACCCGAAGAGATGAAAAGAGCGTGATTATGACATACTATCTCTGACTCGAACTTCATGAAATATAATTTCATGAATTGCTTAATTGTGCTGTTCATTGGTAGACGTTTCAGAGAGTGTTTTTTCTAGAATTACCACTACAACGAAGATGGACCTCCAGAATTTTAAAGCCTAGTACCATCATCTTCAGACTTCCTACAACTAGAGACGGGTTTACATCCTATCTATTAACCTTTAAAACTTCTGAACCTTTTATTTTTATCAAAATTCCCCAATGTACATTTCTTGGCAGAAATGAACTTACGAATCCAAGTTCAGAGTGGGACACTAGAAAATAGCGATACATTGTGCACTTCCATGTTAGAGCCATGGCTGTTTGTTTTTAGGAGAGAATATTTTCTTTAGCAAAGAAAAAGGTCTCGTGAAGAGGGTAGGTAGTCAGTTTGTACTGTTTTCTCTTGTTTCAAAGACTCTTTTTTCAAATATTACTTACTTTTAAACACACTGCCTCCATCCAAACTCGGCACTGAAAGGTTTCTCATTTGCATGTACTGTGTGAGCCATTGGCATTCTAAAAAAAAATATGCCAGCTCTTTATGCGTTTGGCAAGTACTGACGAGGCTTACGTTTGCGCCTTTGGGGTCCAAACTAGTGCATCCATATTTTGTCTCCAATAATTTACTCAGAATATGTTGTTGAGTTACAAATGCCATATTTTTGGAAGATTTTAACATACAAAAATTAGCCCTTTGGTTCAGACGTCAGATCTGAAATGTCAACCTAACTGCTCTCTCGGGAACAGCGAAAGAACCATCCTTCACAACCAATGTTTCCACAGCAGCAACGCCATTTCTTTATGCTGAAACAACTGGCCTGCCTGTGTGCTTCCATGTCCATAACACAGCTCTCAACGAGACAACAGAAGTGTCATGGTAAACACATCCAGGTTTAGTCCAGGGTGTCAGATTTATTTCCGAGCTTCATTTCATCATTCAGAGTTATGTCTTCGGTAAGGAGTAATTATTCATCATGGTAACTTGCTAAATTCTTATTGGGATGAGCTATTACATAATTAAATACAATGCGTGTGTCAAGGTCACATGCTTTCTTATTGTCTTTTAGTATGAGAGCTGTGTAATGACATAACTTATTAATTGATTTTCTTAGTAGTAAGAAAGCATATGGTATTGGTGCATTGCACATTTGACATGAAGCATGAATATAGATTACTGATTTTGCAAACTGTTTCATAATATGCTTCAGAAAGAATTGTGATATGGAACAAATTCATATATTTGCAGTTTCCCTTGCATCACAAACCTTGCTGCAGCACCAATCAGATTTATAATATTTCAGTATTAAAAAAAATTGTCACCATCATAAATAAAAAACACAAAAAAAAAAAAAAAAAACAAAAACAAACAAAAAATTATAAGTTAGATTTTATTTACATCATCATATAAACATATCCTTAACATAATAGTCAAAGTCAGCCAAATGTTTGTAACACCAGTACAGCAGAGGACTGAGCTGATAAACGTTTTACTGATCTACATTATTTGTAGCATGCTATGTGTCTTATGGTTAACATTCAGCAATAATCCCATAACTGGCAATGAGTCAGCACATATATATTGAACTATTCAGTAAAACAATAAAGCAGTGCTTTTTCATTGTTCTGTAATAAGCCCATCCTCTGATTTTGTTACATGTTGGCCATCAAATGCAGAATGCTTATGGTAAGTATGATTCAGTGAACAAACACCCTACACCACCATTAAAAACTTCTGACTAGGACTTCATCATAAAAAATACATCAAACAATCAGTAAACATTTTATCAAAATGGAGGTTTTAAGGAGATTCAATAAAATAATACTTCAATAACAGAAGAAAAAACTGACATGATAAAAAGTAGTCTAGTATTCTATCTAGGTTTTATTAGTTCACATGCAAGTAAAAAAAAAATAGGTTAGTATCAATAACAGACAGCTTCACTTTTTCCTGGTAATAAGCCCATCCATATCTATCAATATTTCTTGGAACAAATATTTACTCATCACTATGTAATAAGCTCCCTGGGCTTATTTCAGGATAAGGACACCTTTTTTTATAAAAATCTCCCAATGTACCCTCCTTGACTTTATATGACATGTCTATTGCATCACAGGATATCTTTAAAAAAAAAAACTAGAAAATCTTTCCATCGTCAATGCATCATAGTCATGTATCCACAAGTTTATTTCGGCTACATCATAATCGTAACCAAATTCAGTCAGCTTAATATCTCTCGTTCTAGTCACTCTGTTACATGAGAAACCTCAGATATAGAATTTACAACATGGCATATTAATTGAAAATCACATTTTTATGACATGTAACAGGCATAGTTTTCTATGTCAAATTCATAATGACTTGTTACATTATACATTATACAATGGCATGGATTTTATAACCATGTCTGTGATCATTCTAATATAATGCTAGTGATAATGTTGTCAATGACAGTATCGGTTCAATATCTAGTCACCCCAATGACCATGGTTTTTTTACAGTCTTGGTCTGGGTCACAGGAATGAAAGTGGTGTCATTCTATACAAAACTTTTTTTTTTTTTTTAAATCTGGTGCTTTTCATATTAAGATTGTGAAATGTACGAGTATTTATCATTTTGTATTCAAATATGATGAGTACTCTGATCAATGCGAATTTCACAAAGGTGGCCATGTTACTCCCAGGTTAAATATATTATACCTGGTCAAAAGTAATGCTGGATATTTGAGACTGAATGGCCCAAGGGGACTGATATTATAGTTTAAAATCTCAAAAGCTCATCATACAAGCATTTCCAATAGGAACACACTAGGAAGAAGAAAGAGATTTATCGTCCTAAGATAACTGAATTTGTCCAGAAATCTATTTTTTATCAACATTGACAGTGCTATTTGCCTTTTGAGAAATTCTCACTTGGAAATTGTAAGGAAACCTCTATGATGGCTGAAGGAGTGCTGCCAATATTGCCATCTTTACTGTTTTCTATTTACATAAAGTTTAAAAAAATGTACCTGAAAAAAAAACATTTTTTTTTACAAAAATCATTTTCAGAAGGAAATCAATACATTAATACTGAGTTTTGCCAGCCCTCAGGAACTGAGCTTATCACAAGAAACATTGATTCGCGGGAGATGAAGGAGAGTTGTTGCCAAAGTAATCCCAGTACATGTTGACTGTAAAATGATGATACTAAGTAACTAAGTATGCTATCACAGTTAGGTTTGTATGACTATCATCCAATCATGTCGCAGGAAACTTTCATACATGGCGCATTACAAATTCTATTCAGGCTTTCCCTTCTGTCTCCTCTTCGTCTTCTCGTATTGCTTCTTCTACGTAGTCTTTGTTCTCGTCAAGCCATTTGTCCAATGTTTTTGTGCGAGAATTAAGTTTCTTTGTTAATTTTATATCCCGTATACATGTTGAATCCTTGTAAAACTCAAACATGGCTGCAAGATCCTTAGCTCCAGCAAATTTGAAGTTCTCATAATCTCGAATCTTCATCTAAAATAACAATGTTTATAATTTTAAATCCAAGAGCATTTTCTATTTGAAGTTTTAGGTAGTATATATATCAAAGTGGCCAAATATTAAAAGAGTTAATTGGATACGGGCATTAAACAATAATATAAGAAATGAAATTATGCAAAAGGCACATGGGGCTTGTGTTTCTTACCTGTTGCTTTTAATGGTAGGAAAAAAATATTTCTTATATGTAAGTAAATATTCTTAAATTTTCAGACATCTTTGACATTAATATAATTCAACAGATTTTCACCTTAATGAAGTTAAGACCCCATGCCAGTTAATTCTTTAGTACACCAAGGTATATGCTGAAGTTTAACATTGACCAAGATCTGCTTTGCTTTGTGGGAGTGGGTTCCAGAGTTTCTGCTAGTTTCCATTAAGAATAGTCACCAAATTAAAGGTAGATATTTTAAAAGATAAGTGATATATCAACAAAATAATTATAAGCTTAACAATAAGCCCATCCATATGTATAACTGTTCATTAAAATATCAAACCAATTGCATTGTCCCCGTAATAAGCCCACCCCGACAATGAGTCAGCACTAATATTGTTAGTTCACCTGGCTTATCCCAGAATAAATTTGGTAGTATTGTATATAAAATTATTGCTACATTTCAGTATAAATGGCAGCGAGGTTACATACTTTTGGATCCTTGAATTTCATACTGTCAAAGTGTTTGTTGAATACGTCCACCATACTAGACATGGTGAGTCGATCTGCACATAGTCCCAATGTCTTTCCGTAATAAAGTCTAGGCTTACAGAGTATGTCGTAAACACAATCACCTACATCCTCCACCGCCATACAGTCAAGTGTACCATCCTCCATTGGTAGGGCTGCAGCCAATCAAAAACAAGCATTGAAATATTAAGTTCAGAATTTTTTGATGGAGTAAACTATACATGATCAATGAAATCACCAATAGAAAGACAATCTCTCAGGGGGAACACATCAATAAATAACCGAAAACTTACCTGGAACTTGTTGCGATTGATACCTGTCTTCTATAGTAAGACAATATATATTATATAAACAGATATAGTTTTGCAAAACTTTATCTTCGTCTGTCTTAAATTTAAAATGAGAACCTGTTTCTCAAGTTGTATTTCAGTTGATTTGAATGTCTTGAGTTGAGACCTGCAACTAAGTTAGGAATAACTGTAATATCTCTTTGGACCTATCTTTACTGCAAATACAAATATTTTAATAGTGTTGTTATCTTATCACCATTCTCCCACCACTGCACCATGAAGTAATACAGCAAAGTTTTAAGAACCGCTAAACTGGGTAAAGAAACAGTGTTTACCAATATTCAAGTCAATGTGACCTTGACCTTTGGTTCTTTCTCTAATACATTCATCTAGGTTAATAATAGTGTGATTTGCATACTTGCAATAATTGTTATGTAAGCACTATACAGGCACTGCAATTAGCACTATCATATGTTGAGATCATTACTTAGAATACTAAAAGTGATTAACTAGGTTCACTGTCAAATAGATATGTTGACAGCGATGTTAATTCCTGTTTTCAATATTTCTAAAGATAAAAGCCATTATTTTCAGCACTGATATATGCTGTTTCTCCCAATTATCCCTCTGTGGAAAATACATACCTAATGCATACACTCCATACTTTAATTTGTATGGCTTGAAGACAGTGTAGAAATTTTCAAACCAGAATGGTAGGCGGAGAATTGTGTAGTTAAGACCTGCAAAACAAACAGATTATGAGTAACAGTACTGGCAAGTTAGTTACCATAATAACCCTATTGGTAACAAGATGTCTACCATAGCAACCAATCGTAACCATTAGTGACTTTGGTAACCACAGGTTACCAAGATTGTAGACCTTCGGACACCTGTAGAATGATTAATTCAAGCCCTAATGTTCTATTTTTATATGCATTTATTTAAAGTGTCTTAAACATGAATACAATGCCAGAAAAATAATTTCCAGGCAGGGGAGACAATTCAAAAACTGAACATTATAAACGTTGTCAAGAAATGAATATTTCAACTCTCGAAAACCTAATGGCTTTGAATTTTTGTTCATTTAAAAACATATCTGCCTTTAGCAGTAGATGCATATGATAAAAATCATTTTAGTATTTGTAGTGTACAGCTCACATTCCCAATACCAAACACGTCCATTTTAAACCTTGTACAAACATAAAACCGACTGTTAATTAAGGGAACATGTAAAACAGGAAAAAAAGTGAATCAGTGACATAAATACAAAAAAAACCTGTGACAGTCAAATGACAAATACATAAAATGTGACTAAGACACACAGCATGCTTGAGTATAAACTTATTACTTTACACACCAGTAATAATTGTCACACACATGCTGGAGATATATGCATGTACACAGGAATCATTTTTTTTTTTTCCAAGATAAGTTTGCTGGATGTTTAATAATGCATAAAAAACTACAAAGGTCAAGTACATTGATGGAAGTCTATGGTATTATGAGGATGTACCCACATATTTAAAATTCCAACAGTTTTTGTGACGAAACAATTCAATTTCCTTAATTATCTGAAGTATAAATTAAGGTAACGGTGACCTAATTTTGATATATTCATTAAATACATACCAACATACTTAGACATCCAATGACTTTACATGTATATGTTACCAATAAAATGCACGAAAAAAACTGTAGCATAAACTTAGGGGAGTCAACACTGTTACTTAATGGTCATTCTGTGAGTTCCGGGTATCCCTTGCTTGGATTCCTCTCAGGTCACACATATTATGTACAACATAATGAAAAGTGCCCACATTTTATGTCCTTCAGGAGATCATTTTTGTATATTATCGCCCTGATGAAGCCCAAAGTTCTGGGCGAAACGTGTCAATTGTTAAAATCAACAAGAACCAACTTATCCCAAGCTTGTTATGATCGATTGTATCACTAAGAAAAACATAGTTGACAGTTATTTCTTATTTTTAACACTGAGTTCATTTTGTTTATTCTGTAAATAAACAATTTCTTTGAGTTTCACTAATTAACTTTTGGGTTTTGAGAAACTCCCTTTTCTATCAAACATTTGTATGAAACAATATTGATTTTCCTTGTTTAGGTCACTAGACTTGCTGATCATACAGTCCAAGGACAAAAAACTAGAATGATGCAGTTTATCTGTGTCTGTCTCTCTTGTACAATACTTCAATATGAAACACATGTGAAACATTTTTTATTTTCCTGAAAATTAAATTTTGAGGTCTTTCAGAAAATTGCTATTTTAGGAACACTTGATATGGTGGATATATGAAAAAGTACTCCAAAAATCAACAAAATTAAAAAATTATGCCAATTAACTCGAAGTGGGCATTGGGATTATTATATAAGATTTCAGGATTTCTGCAGGACTGAAATATTATGTGTTGGCATATGATCAAATAATTAATGAATAAACATTCTAAAATCTCTTTTTTATCATTTTTACATCAAGTCTTAATTTAGGTCACCTTCACAGCTTTACAAAGGTCACAAAGTTTACAAATAAGGAACCAGACACAAGACCAGAATGAGTGGATTATAAGCTAAACCAAAATTTCAAACCGATCCCTCAATCAATTAATAACACAAGTACCAGTCTGTTTAAAATATGATTCATGTTCAAAATCAAAATCATTGATGTTTTGAAGCAGTTTCACTTCTTTTTTTTTATTTTATAAATCAATTTGGCGATGGACTGGGGAGGGAAAAGGAATGGCAGAGTGGTTCTGATGACAAGACACTGACACAACTGATCTGGATTATCAGTGCCCCGAGGAGGGGGATGTATAGGGGTGGGATAGGAGCAGGGGGAAAGGAGTTACAATGGGAAGTATGGGGAAGGGGCAGGGGAAGAAGGTAAGGAGTGGCAATGGGAGGTAAAGGGGTGGGGCAGGGGCATGGGACACGAAGGTGTGGGGGGAGGTGAAGCATACAACTGGAGGTGTAGGAGGTGGGGGCTGAAACATACAACTAGAGGTGTGAGGGACCTGAAACATATAACTAGAGGTGTGGGGGGAGGTGAAAAATACAACTAGAGGTGTGGGGAGCTGAAACATATAACTAGAGGTGTGAGGGACCTGAAACATACAACTAGAGGTGTGGGGGGAGCTGAAAATACAACTAGAGGTGTGGGGGAGCTGAAAAATACAACTAGAGGTGTAGCGGGGGGGGGGGGGGGGGGGGGGGGGGGGGGGGAGCTGAAACATACAACTAGAGGTGTAGCGGGGGGGGGGGGGGGGGGGGGGGGGGAGCTGAAACATACAACTAGAGGTGTGGGGGGAGGTGAAAAATACAACTAGAGGTGTGGGGGAGCTGAAAAATACAACTGGAGGTGTAGGGGGAGCTGAAAATACAACTAGAGGTGTGGGGGAGCTGAAAAATACAACTAGAGGTGTAGCGGGGGGGAGCTGAAACATACAACTAGAGGTGTGGGGGGAGGTGAAAAATACAACTAGAGGTGTGGGGGAGCTGAAAAATACAACTGGAGGTGTAGGGGGAGCTGAAAATACAACTAGAGGTGTGGGGGAGCTGAAAAATACAACTAGAGGTGTGGGGAACTGAAACATACAACTAGAGGTGTGGGGGGGGGGGAGCTGAAAAATACAACTAGAGGTGTGGGGGGGCTGAAAAATACAACTAGAGGTCTAGCGGGGGGGAGCTGAAACATACAACTAGAGGTGTGGGGAGTTGAAACATACAACTAGAGGTGTGGGGAGCTGAAACATACAACTAGAGGTGTGGGGAGCTGAAACATACAACTAGAGGTGTGGGGGAGCTGAAAAATACAACTAGAGGTGTAGCGGGGGGGGAGCTGAAAAATACAACTAGAGGTGTGGGGGGGGGGGGGGAGCTGAAACATACAACTAGAAATGTGGGGGGGGGGAGCTGAAACATTCAATTATAGGTGTAGGGGGAGCTGAAACATACAACTAGTGGTGGGAACACAGCACATCCAATACCAGTTCAATAAACAGAATGACACATGCATTAAAACACTGTTAGACCAGTCCCCAAGCACCTACTTACCAATGCTTTTTTCTGAAATTCGGACAACACTATGTCAGTACAATAGGACTTTGGGGGATTTCAGTCTTATTTGAACAACACTTCACAGTATGATAGGACTTTGGGGGATTTCAGTCTTATTTGAACAACAGTATGTCAGAACGATAGGACTTTGGGGGATTTCAGTCTTATTTGGACAACATTTTACAGTATCTTTTGAGAAATTTCAAAAGTTTTGTAATAATTTCATTTCTTTCAAAGAGCTACAGCAATGAGAACATTTCTTAGGGGTCAATACTGTGCATGTATTAATAAATTATACATCAATAAATTGATTGTTTCCTTGTCAAGGCATGTACCTCCTCTTGTCTCTCAAAATTATACTAGTATCATAAAATATTTATACATTTATAAGACCATGCATCAACACAGAAGTGTTTATTTGGGCCGATAAATCAGGTTAAGTAAACTGTCAAAATATTACAGATAAGTACCTTTCAATTTTTAGAAAATTCATGACTTTGACAAATCCACTAAATGAACACATCTAGATACTACTTGATATATTTGATAATTTTTCATTTAGACAAAATATAATTGTTATTATTTCATCAAATCTTTGACGACAAAAAGTTACGATCAAAACACCAGAACCCAAAACCATAACAGTCAATTTAGGAACAAATAAGATTAACTTTTATAATCTGAAGACTGATTAGAAACCACATTCCAAAATCTTTATTGTAGCCTTTTAAAAACCTAAAAAAAACATTAATTAAAAAATCCAAGTCAACAAAAAGATGATCTTGTTAATCAGACAATTTGTTATTCATGGGCAGGACACAAAAAAAAAAATAAAAAATCAGTACATATACCATTATCAATGGTTACCGTGGAAACACATAATTAATGGACAGATATTAATTAATGTAAACAAGTGTATGTTTTATCATACAAAAAACACATTTGTGAATATATGTGTTGTGTTTAGTTACCATAGAAACAAATACAATTTTAATGTATTTATCATTGCTTTGTTATACAACCATCCTTTTTCTGCCTGTCAAATCTTAAACAGTATCTTATTTTAGAAACTCTGCTACAACAAATCCTTATATTGTATATAGGCCCAGGATCTGAATGTAGCCTGGAATATCTGGAATGATTTCTCATCTAAATCGACAGCTATTGGGGAATAGAAATGTGTCTTCATCTGTCATCCATTTCAAAAACACCTATGAATTATGGGTAATACTGATGCTTAGGAATGGCTATGTTGGATTAATTTCACACTTCATAAGTATATACCGTATTATCTCCTTACATAGATTCGGGGATGTGTGATGTTTAGCATTCAAATTATCTATTTATCATTAGTTTGGGAAAATGTATACATCCACACAGTAAAGTTTACAGATTTAGAAATAATTAAGAAATTGCTAAAAAAAAAAAAAAAACGAAAGAAAGTCTTTGATTATTGAGGGTTTGTTTTTTTGTTTTTTTTTTGTTACCTCCAAAAAGCCATTTGACCGTTCTTTGCATAATGAATGGTTTTTTTTGTCTTCTTTTGATTTTAAAATGTGTGAAAAATGCATTTATATGTTTATTTGGTTAGTTGTTTGTAAATCATTTTTTTCTGTTTAATTGAATAAGAAGGTCGATACTGAGAGAAAGCAATGAGTCATTATCCAGAACATTTGATAAAATAATATGTTTTGGGGGAAATAAAACTTGATGTCAGTTATAACTTACAAACATATATTGTTAAGAAATACCATAATTCAATTATATGCATACTGTTGCCTCTATTATGTTCAAATTTCATGTCTTCTTAGGTAAAAGAAAATACCTTTGAATTCTTTTTTCTTATCTTAATACAGTATTACAGTCTTATTACCAAATAAAGTAAATGATTTGTAATTATTCAGGCAAATTTTATTTTTAAAATAACAACGTTGTTCATAAAAATATTGCTTGTTTTCCAAATGAATGAACTAAAATAAGTATACATTATAGATAAAAAAGTAATGTAGTTACACATGTAACAATTTGAAAGCAGATATGTAAACAAGCCTCTCAGTAAAAGAAGCAATATACTGTGGTTCAAGCTGTGAGCTTCCTTGACTTTTTGGAAGGGTTAGTGCAAGTGTACTTGTAAGTTATGGTTAAAGCAGAATTTTTTTCCCAAGAGTTATTATTTTGACTACTCAAAAAATAACACAAACATACAATCTTCTTTAGACCCTGAATTTGAATTAATTATACACATATGGTTGCCATGGGATTGGATGTGTTGCTATGGTGTGCATATCTACTTGGTTACCATGACAACCATGACATCACCGATATACTGCTATATATGTTCTGTGAGGTCAGACATTATAAAACACTGCTGATATGTACCAAGTGCATACAGTTCAAGCTTGTGATGACATCACAAACACACCAATACCTAGTCATGATTAAAGTGCTGTTTCCATGACAACGACTCAAATATAATATCTATCCATTACATATATCATTACTAATAAGTTAATGCACCAAAACTGAAAATTTCAAATGTAGTTTTTGTTTTTTTCCATCAAACAAAAATAAGAGTATCCCCGACCACACGTTGGTGAATGAGCTAAGTCTTGAATGCTATAAATGAAGTGTATTTTTACAGTAGCATATGCCTTAGTTATCGTCCCTTGTCAGTGTGGCAAATTTTTACATTGTACTAAAAAAACTTAAGATTTTAAATAAAGAAATGATATATGATTAGGATTTATTCTGATGATCTGGAGGAGGTTTGACCGACTTCCTAACGCACTGTGAGAACAATTCTTCAATAAGGAGATGCTATGATTATGACTAGGAATTTCACTTATGGTATTGATGTGTTAAGTGAGACAGAAAGCACTCTACATAAATGATAACCTTCGCCGTTTGTCGACGCCGGCGAGCCGCCTACAAAATAAAGATATGACATCACAGTTAATGCAGATGAAGACTTCACTTCACACAATGGTGTCAAGTAAAACATTACAAGTGCTGGCAGTGGAGCCTCCTTACTGACAAAAACAGAATCTGGACTACATCGTAAGAAACAGTATATCGTAATACACCAATGCATGTTGGGTAATAGCATATTTTTTTTTAAATAGTCCTCCTACAAGCCTACACCATATAGTACAACAAACTGTGAAAAGTAAATTTTCTGGTTCATTTAGCTCCAAACTATTGTGGTAGCATATTTTTCATGCTGTTCAATCTATGATATAAACCATAATGAGTTATCTCCCCTGTTCTAACTACCTCTACATATATTTTGATAAAGTATAAGTTTAGATAGTACTTGTACTTCGGATTGTTTTCTTGTAAAAATATATACTGTAAAATTATCAATTTTTGTGGGTTTTCCTTTTCATTAATTTACCCTTAATCCATAAATTCATGTGTCCACAAGGTAGTAAACAATTGAAAAATACATCTTTTTTTGTGTGAAGTGATTTGCATGATTCTTATAATCTACAAAATCATCTGCCCATGAAATAATATTTTCTGGAAGAAAACACAAAATTTGTGACCCATAAAAAGTTTTAATTTTACAGTATCTATTTCTGCTTTCTTTAGCAAAAGTCTCTTCAGGTCCTTTTAGTTGTATTGATACACATTAGCAACACTTAGAAATGAAGTAAGTTTCCTATTACTATGAGGAAATATATCAGCATAGATCGTAATGGTCTAGCTCTTTCATCTTTGTACAAGAATCCAAAATTTTCCACCACAAAAAAAACTACTTTCACAGTATACTAAAATGCCAAGGGAAGTAAATCTGATTAATCTGCAAAATAACAATCTAAAGAAATCGAGAAAACACATTACTCACTCCGAGCATTGGACTGGTTACTGTCTAATTAAGCAGTCTAATCTACAGCAAGTCATAACTTCATTTTCAACAACATTACTAGACACTCCAGCAAACTGAGAAAGGTTTCTAGGGAAGATTTTAATGTGTTCAGATACTAAAATTGCACACTATTGGACTTTTACTTACGGAAATTCCAGAACTGGATTTTTCCCCACAAAAATCCAATTTTTAAGAAAAAGGTAAAATGTTTGTCAATGAGGAGCCAGTAAGGCAGAAATTGTCTTCCTCATCAGACATTTAGGGAATAAAATATTAATTAAGAACTGCTTGTCTGCAAAAATCTATATGCTAATTTTTCACAGTGTAATTATGGTGGCAGTAAGATTTTACTGTACAATATAATAAAATAAAGTAAAAACTAATAATGAGTTTCTAATAGTACAATGATTCTGTAAAACAGGTTATTTTTGTGTTCCTAAATTTTTCCAGTTTTGACTCAAAATTCTGAAAAATACATTTATACAAATTATATTTTCACAATCAATGCATGTGGTGGAAGTAATTTTTTAAGGTTATTGTTTTACACCACATCAGTCTATATTGACCTAGATTCTACTCTGACCTAGATTCTACATTGACCTAGATTCTACACTGACCTAGACTGTACATTGACCTAGATTCCATATTGATCATCTATTTCTGTACCAATATCCAGAAAAAGAAAACAAAATAATACTGACATTATCTACAAACATTAATCTAAATGTGGGTTTGTACGACCCTGCATTGCAACAAATACAAAAGCTGTAATAATTTCTATAGAAAGTGAATCTGTTTATGTCATGTTGGAAATATACAGAAGTAAAGGCTTACACATGGGAGGTTTTGTATGTATCACAACAACAAAGTAGGTATTCTACATAACAAGCACAATGGTAAACACAGATATCATATAAAAGTCACTGAACCAGATTACGGCACCCATGAATGCACACACGATCCGACTGAACCATGCTCAACCAAACACAGACACCTTACACTTAAATCCATAATCATAATTTTGCCTATTTTGTTTCCAGTTTGATTTACATAGTTTATCCTGTAATAAGCCAAGGGAGCCAACATACAATGGAGTAGGTGCAGTAAGGGCCATTTTTTAAATTATTTTCTTTAAAATGTACTTGATCAAAAATCACTGAAATGGTCAAATGCCACGAATAAGGTACTTTGGTTGTCACGCATGTCACCATATCGCAGAATGCTTTGAAACTGGGCATATAATGATCCAAACATGGCACCAAAATAATGAAAATTAGAGTTGGGGCCAAAAATTGACCTTGCTACACCTACTCTTTTGAAGTTAGTGGTGGAGCCAACACATTGATTCAAGACAATGAAATAACATTTATTTTTAATTCTTCTCAACAACAATAGTTAAAATGAGAGAGCTTATCCAGGCATCGGCTTATTGATGGATAAATACATTTTCATTGATGTTCCTTCACTTGCTGAACAAATTAAAATCTAACAAATAAATAAAGCACCACTAGTAAAGGAATCCTTGACAAAGATACTCTAAAGGGAGAAATGCTTTCATTATTTTTTCTGTTAAACAGGGATCTGAGAGTTTGATACAGTGTCAGTGAAAATGGAGTCTCAGACCCTGCCTGGTCTGTCTCAAAGGTTATTAGACTAAGGAGTCTCAGACCCTGCATGGCCTGTCCTGAAGGTTATTAGACAATGGAATTTCTGGCCCTGCATGGCCTGTCCTGAAGGTTATTAGACAATGGAATTTCTGACCCTGTCTGGTCTGCCCCAAAGGTTATTAGACTGTTTCGGGGAGTAAGATCAATATTTGGTACAAATGACACCCATCTATGTTTTACATATGGAGATAAATTTACATCATAAAGATTTGTAATATCTTATGAAATATTGACCCGAATGTCAAAAAATGTCCTTAACATATCAAAATAGGTCCATATTCATGTAAACTGTAACAAATACTCAAGTCCCTGTGTTAAACCAGTAATAATGTGTCTCAGTGTGCAGGGGATGGATGATTGGTTGAGCATGGTAATATACAATGAAATAAAATTCTCCATCGTGTACATGTCATTGATCTGTATAACACATACATATGACTTTACCTTGTCCATCCTCAGTGTCTGTTCATTGTAAACAAAGTAAAATTGTCAATAAACAAACCTAACACTATGTTGCAGAAAATTATGAATTGAAACTTTAAAGAATTAAAATGAATGTTTAAAATCAGAGCAATTCAGATGTTGCCATTAATGTTTTAAGTAAAAACAGAATTGAATTAAAGTGGAACTGGTTTTAAAAATAAAAGATACTTGAAATCAATTTCTTTTACAAAAACGTAGATTGCTTCATCAGCATGGGAAGAAACTGTATCATGTACAAATCTATATTACTGTCCATGGTCAGAAAACACAGGTTGTGGAGTATGTAACATTTTAAAATGATGACACTTCATTACGTTTAATTTTACAATGATTATATATGTGACTTAAGTAAAAACAATCTATTTTTGGAATTTACAGCATCCTATATTTTAACAAGCAGCAAATCCACTGCATTTCTCAGCTCATTAATGCATATTTCCTAAAGCAGTTTTGTTATCTCTGTTAGATTTACTTACCAACTTCCCGGATATATTCTTCTATAGAAAACTTGGAGTCAAGATGATTGCAATCTCGTCCAATTAATTTTTTGACATTTTCGGAACCATTGAAGATGATATGTGACACTCCACAACTGACTGCTGCATCAATAGCATTTAGGCCCTGCAACAGAGAAATAATCGGGCATAATTATAAAAGCTAATCTGTCATATTTACAGTGTAATTACACTCAATGTTCATTAAAGAACTAATGTTGCCTGAAGGCACACGAATGTGAGCACTGGCGTCTTCTGGCAAATGGTTTTAGTTAGTGAATTTTTATGAAAATGATTTGAAATATTGAACAGTCATCAGATATCTTATTTTCAGTTGATGTGTTCTACTCCACGTGACCTTGACCTTTCATCCATGAACATAAAGAAAACTGGCAACATCTAAAATTAGAAGTAATTGTCTGCTTACTGAGAAGAGATACCACCAGCAAACCTCACATGTCTCACAGACGAAAAAGTGTGACAAAACACTTACCTGTACAATCTCTTTTTGTTTGTTCTTCTCCTCCCAGAAGTGGGTGGTGAGAAACATGGCATCTGCATTGACCAGAGCTTTCTCAAGTGATTTGGTGTCATCAAGATTAGCATTCACTATCACAGCACCTACACATAAATATGTATCATAGCATCAGTAATTTGTATTGATAAAGTAGCACAACAACAGTGCCACCCATTTTGGTAGCGAAACACAACATCAGCACAAACTAACAATAGTGCCACCTTCTTCTGGGAAATGAAACAAAACAATAGCGCCACCTATGTCATGTGAAAGGAAGGATACAATAGTGCCACCTATGTCATGGTAAAGGAAGGATACAATAGCGCCACCTATGTCATGGTAAAGGAAGGATACAATAGTGCCACCTATGTCATGGTAAAGGAAGGATATGATAGAGCCACCTATGTCATGTGAAAGGAAGGATACAATAGCGCCACCTATGTCATGGTAAAGGAAGGATAAAATAGCGCCTCCTATGTCATAGTAAAGGAAGGGTATGATAACGCCACCTATGTCATGGTAAAAGAAGGATACGATAGCGCCATCTATGTCATGGTAAAGGAAGGATATGATGGCGCCACCTATGTCATGGAAAAGGAAGGAAACAATAGCGCCACCTATGTCATGGCAAAGGAAGGAGACAACAGCGCCCCTTATGTCATGGTAAAGGAAGGATATGATAGCGCCACCTATGTCATGGAAAAGGAAGAAAACAATAGCGCCACCTATGTCATGGAAAAGGAAGGAGACAACAGCGCCACCTATGTCATGGAAAAGGAAGGAGACAATAGCGCCTCCTATGTCATGGTAACAGAAGGAGACAATAGCGCCCCCTATGTCATGGTAAAGGAAGGATACAATAGCGCCACCTATGTCATAGTAAAGGAAGGATACAATAGCGCCACCTATGTCATGGCAAACGAAGGAGACAATGTCATATGTAAAGGAAGGAGACAATAGCGCCCCCTATGTCATGGTAAAGGAAGGATACAATAGCGCCACCTATGTCTTGGTAATGGAAGGATGCAATAGCGCCACATATGTCATGGTAAAGGAAGGATAAAATAGCACCACCTATGTCATGGTAAATGAAGGATACAATAGCGCCCCCTATGTCATAGTAAAGGAAGGATATGATAGCGCCACCCATGTCATGGTAAAGGAAGGATACAATAGCGACACCTATGTCATGGTAAATGAAGGATACAATAGCGCCACCTATGTCATAGTAAAGGAAGGATATGATGGTGTCACCTATGTCATGGAAAAGGAAGGATACAATAGCGCCTCCTATGTCATAGTAAAGGAAGGAAACCATAGCGCCACTTATGTCATGGTAAATGAAGGATACAATAGCGCCACCTATGTCATAGTAAAGGAAGGATATGATAGAGCCACCTATATCATGGTAAAGGAAGGATAAAATAGCGCCACCTATGTCATGGTAAAGGAAGGATACAATAGCGCCACCTATGTCTTGGTAATGGAAGGATGCAATAGCGCCACATATGTCATGGTAAAGGAAGGATAAAATAGCGCCACCTATGTCATGGTAAAGGAAGGATACAATAGCGCCACCTATGTCATAGTAAAGGAAGGATATGATAGCGCCACCTATGTCATGGTAAAGGAAGGATACAATAGCGCCACCTATGTCATGGTAAAGGAAGGATACAATAGCACCACATGTATCAAGAAACTTTATCAACATGTATTGCATAAGAATGCAAAATTAATTTACATTGTGGTGACCTGACACATACACACAAGCCATCTAATAAGTGTTTACTTCAGTTGACACAAACTTTAAGCTGCAATGTCAAGCAATGAAGGTAAAGAATGAAAGAAATATCAAATGTATGTTATTTTTCTTGCAGCCTCTATAAGTCTATATTTCCAGATGCACGGACGGTTTATTTAAATGTATATCAAGTAATTTGACTTTATCTGTGATGATGCCCTACAGTTACTGTCAAATCTAATATTAAGTTTACAGTCAAATTTCATTATCTCAAAAACTCACAAACCCCCATTTCTGTCGAAGACTTTATTCTGTCCCTGTCACATATCTTCTCTCTTTATCTTTATCAAAATAACTTGAAAACTAAGATAACTTCAACGTTCTTCATGATCCCATGAAAATTGAGATAACAAATTTTGAATGCACATGAAAATATTAAAATGGTACTTGTACCTTTCCAATTAAAACATGTATATGTTGTACGAAATGTTTTAGATGCAAACTTACCTCAAACTTTCAGTGTTACACAACATTGAAGCAGACCTCACAAAATGAAGTTTACATATCAAAATCAATTTCTCTGTATCTTAGTCCATATAACACAAACAGACCTGATTCTGGGACAAAACTGGGTTGTGTCCCCTTAGTTACCCTCAGCTTGTCCCAGTGGAACGGCCATGGTTAAAATCAAGTTAACATGCAGTATAACATTGAGGGCTAGAGGGTAGGTGAATTTATTTAGGAATGCCAGGTGATTAAAGAGTTAAGGAGTCAAAGTTATGTCACACCCCACGATTAAATGTTAGGACTTTCGGATAGCGGTTAGGACAGGTTTTGTCAAAATTAAAAGTTAGTCAGTTTGGATGAGAGTTTTATAAAACATGGAAAAAATAACTAAACTCATGTATTTTTAAAGTTTCAGAGATGAATACATGTACAAAATGGCTGATAACAGGAAATATGATCAAAGAAAAATGATAAAGATATAATTTCATAGTAATTATTATCATTATTTTTTTGTATCAATTGTTTAGATTTGACAATAAAGTAGTCGTTGCAGCATTTGAAATCTCATCACATTATACCTTAGTCTGTAAACTAACTGTTTTTCGGGTGCAATTTATTTTCATGATTGAAACCAATTAGCTAGAAATTACTGGTCACGAATGTAGAAAGAAAAAATAAACAATTACAGTATTATAATATACTAAACATTATAGATTTAGTCTGTTGCATAAAACTGAATTGCTGCAAATACGTTTCCAGGTAGAAATCAAGCAGCTATGAAAGAAAGCTGGTTTATGAAATTCTAAACAGAGTACAACTCTATATTGGGAAACATTTACCTAAGTTTTTTTTTTCCATATAAAAAAATTGTCTCTCCCACTGTTAAATTCTTCTCAAAAGCACTACCGGTATATCATTTATCTGAAATTCACTCAAAACTTTTACTTCCATCTCATTTTCACCTAACGAAACTGAAAGTTGAAGTGCAACAAAAGTTTCCATATATACAGTATACAAATACATTAATCCACTGTAAATTTGTGAGGCAAACATGTAAACTTAAGCTGAACTTACAGCAAAAAGGAAAAAGCATTTGTTGATATTTTTTTATCAAGTACTGTAAGAAAGTATTGACTTATTGTTGAACAAGTACATGTAGTAACAGGGAAAATAGTACCAAAATGATAAGTAAACATGTTTAACTGGGCAGTGATTAGTTCTAGACGAAAAAAGGTTGTCAGGGGAGGGGGATAAAAACGTGTTCTGCGAGTTACACTATATTCATCGAAATATGTTATGAATCAGTCCGAGAGGCATGCTGATTAAACCCAGAACAGGAATGATATCTACACCTCCCCTAAACATGCTGTTTGTTGGGTTACACCCTTGGTAAATACAGGATTTTCTGGGCATGCATGTTTTACTGATAATGATGATATAAGAGCTTACCATAGGTACCTGAACAATGAAAAACATATGATGATTCATAAATAATGATATATACATAATCACTTCCACAGGCTTTATCATCACTCATCTAGTCACCTGGATATCTATTTTTATGAATTTCTGATGTATTTAAGCTCCAGACCTGGAAATGAAAAATTATTGAAGACCAATCACTTCACAAAATTCTACGTCAAGACTGTGACAAAATTCCCCTAAGGTCTACCTCAACATTATGAGTTTAAGTAATTACTTACACATACAGAAGTTAATAAGTATTTGATTAACAACCATAAAACTAATAGACTCTATCATCTCTACATGTGACTGATGGAGATTTCTCAATACAAGGTAAATATCCTTCATGTCTATTGTAAGGCTTTGCTGAGAGACAAACTTTCAGAATATTATCAAGCCATTTGAAGTAACTGTCCAGATCACACACAGGTGATTGATAATTTTCCCCTATAATTTTGACTGTAAGATATTTAAAATTGGTATGGATAACTTTGACACCATCTATCATAAATGGCTCATGAAATGTATGTCAAAAATTAATCAAGCTATTTGAGGTAACTCTGTCCAGATCACACACAGATGATTGATAATTTTCCTTTACCTGTGATGTGTGGGACAATAAACTGTCTAACCCCACATGCTAGTAGTATATGAAAAATATAATGACAGACACTAACATTTGGGTAGCAGTTACAACTTTTTTCATTGATATACAGAAATTTCATCATTTGTTCTAGCCCTTTGCTCTAACTAGTTATCTTATAAACACCATGAATCTCTCACCCTATAAAGGGAGCATTGGAAATTCAAACTCACCCTGTAATCTTGTATCCGTTTATCATCTATAGGCTTTAAATGTAAATAGCAGTTCACAAAATGATAGTTTATCACCTTTTCCAAGCATAAAAATGGTAAAATATCCTGCAGATTATCTTTGTTACTCAAAGGAAAGTGTTCAAAATAGGTTATCACATTTGACCTTGACCCTTGTGACCTCAAAATTGAAGGTCATTCAATTTAGCATATCATAGTCTTTCCTTCTAACACATTGCTCCAAAAATATTTCACCCTGATCTATTTGTTAAAATGATTTCGTCTTTTGATCTCCAACTATTCCTTCCATATACAGAGTTGTCTGCTCTTGAGAGCAGATATTGATTTTTTAAGTTATTTGTTTGTGAGAAGACACGTAATTTTCTCACACGAACTAGTGACATAACCTTCAATACCTTCTTACAAAGAACACATACCACTGCATTCCAAAAAGACAGAGCAGGTTGTCATCTGATTTATCTCAACATACTGCTGCCCAACGGTTGTGACACTGGACTTATTAGGATTTATTACCATACGTGATGGACGCAGGCTTGCTAGCCTCTTTGTCCATATCAATATTTAACAATTCATGAAAAAATTGTTAATATATTACTTCTGGTGCTATTCCGTGAATTCTTTAAACGCTAACATTTTGATTAAATTTATAATGTTCATCAAATAAAATTTTGAACTATCTGACTGTAGTAGCATTTATAACGTGCTGAGGCCAGCTGTTCCACAAATTTACAGTTCGTTGAGTAAAGAAATGTTTTATAATGCCTAATCGCGAATGATTTTATACAGTTTTTGAGAATGCCCTCTTGTTATGGTTGTGGTACACATCTCAAATAAATTTTCAGTAGCTGTCTTATCATATATATTGTTCATATTTATCATGTCTCCTCTCATCCTTCGATGTTCTAGAGTCGGAAGTTCCAGTCTCTCCAGGCGTTCTTTATAAGATAAATTCTTGAACCCAGGTATTAACTTTGTAGCTCCCCTTTGGACGTTTTCAATAATATCAATGTCCTTGGCATTGCTTAAATCAGACTTTTGCTTAAATCAGAAAAACCCTGTGAATTTATTACCTAAAAAGATTGGCTGATGTTATTCAACTGAACAAAACTCAAAATAGTCATCCTATAATTGTCACCGCTTTATATTCCATCTTGGTTACTGACAATAAAATGTTGAACACTTCAAGTCCATTATTAATTTACTATATACAAAACTTTACCTCAAGATTATACTGACAGTGCAACATCTGATTCCAGTAATCTTGGAACGAAGGCAGCTTCAAAGTCGTTTACTATCTGTTGATCTCACGTGAAATGTCTTTCTTTGAAAAAAACCTGATGGCAATTTCTCACTTAACGATATAACAAAAAGCCCAACCTGTATTGTGAAGATGCTCTTTGGTATTATAAATATTGGCCCCAGACGAACGGACGCCTTGCCAGAGCAATACACTCAAGTAGATGAGATAAACTTAAATGGATGATCAAGGACTTTGATATGTATCTTTATCGAAGTCCGTGAGATGTGCAAGTCAGACCATAAGAACGCATTTTAAATAACACGAATATCACGTCATTCAACAATGTACAATATCAAACAAACTCCGGAAACAAACATAATATTACGGTATACGATTAGGGTGGAAACAATTTAATGGTGAAATACCGAATGCAACACACAGAAAATGATGAAAATCATATTCTACAAGCAAAAATACATACAGTTTATCTAAAACCGCTTTGTACTGCGGTACATTCTACAATCTTACCAAGTTCCGCCAACTCCCGCGCTTTGTCGCTATTTGTTTTCCGCGTCACACATCTAACTCGGAATTTGAAGGGGTCGCTCAACAGAGCACGTGCGACAGAACCCCCAAGTAAACCAGTAGCTCCAAAAACCACAACGGTTTTGGGCTCGTCAAAGGAGTCCATGCTGGATCCACACCCCATCCTGTGGACAAAAAAAATCATATTTTGAAACAACGGAAAACATGTGACGTCATCAACAGTTATGCTATAATTTTGCGCGATATTTGAGTTTTGCCGACTCAAATGATTACTTGGGTCGTCGGGTGGCACAGTACTAATACGCTCGCCTTTCACCTAGACATCCGTGACTTGAATCCCCGAACGGCCGTGAAAAGGTATGGTGTCACCCTCACGACCAAGTAAGTTTTCTCCGGAACGCTGGTTCCTCCACCATACGACCAAAGTGGTAATTAAGAGTTATGATATTTGTTTTGCAATTGATGTTAAATAAAGTAAGGAAAAGTTAGTAAAGCAACGTTGAGAGAGAAAGCCGTTGTGCCCCATAAATATGATGTACTGATGAAACATTTCTGGCGGGAAAAATGAACAAATAATAGTATTGATACATGTATCGGATAGCGGGTAGCCAACTTGATTAAAAATCTGAAAAAGAAGAGTTCCAATATATTTGATATTATCCTTTTAGTACTTTTTATTATTATCATTATTATTCATGATTGCCTCTCCATACAATTCACCTACACAAGATATGAAGTGTTTGCGAAATGAACAGAAATTTCTAAAGCGTTTTTAAATTATCATAACAACATATACATGTTTTAATACACAATTCTGTTTGCAATACAAACCTTCTGTCGAAATTACGAGAGCAATTACTTCCCCACAACAAACACCCAGCATGTTCCATGTCGGAATGCGTAAACAGAATTTGGGAACAGATGGGAACGTCAATTTAAGTGATCCAGTTGTTCAAGTATGGAGGAACACTCGTGCCAAGAGTTCGTTCAAGATTGTACGAAACTTTCTGATAAACGGTACATGATGAATATGTAAATATAACTAAAACACCGCACTAGACCACGAAGAAATGTGGACACAAAAAAAAACATGTTAAAAACTCACTGTTTTCGTGTGAGTGACTCACGACTTTGTGATTTATCGTATGTTGGAAACTGGCTACTTTCGCGTGAGAGACTAGCTTCGATGTAACTTCAGGAAAACTCACGACTTTTTCGTGTGTAACACTCACATAAGAATCTCACCAGCATGGTTTTATGTGACTAATACTAAAAAATCGGAACTTTTGCATGATAGACTTTGAAAGTTGTCATCAGCCATCGTGACAAACTCTCTACTCTGTAATTCCATTCTGATTTCCAAGAGTTACTTCCCTTAGTTTCATTCTTCCAGTTGGTGTAGTGATAAGTTTGACAGTCGGTGGGGGCCGAGAATTTGTAAATCCTGTTTTGCCGAGGTATTCGCCAACACTTAACCTTTAACCTTTGTTTTATGTAAAAGTGCTGGCTTTACCTTTTATGAACATAGAGGAGAGATTTTGGTGTTAGTTTTTAAGACATGGATGGCCCTGTAGCACTACCTTAACTTTATATAAAAGTTTCACTGCGGGATCGTTTCCTTTAAAGTCGTTTTTATGACGCATTAGGAGATGGGCCAATTTCAACACAATAGAAGGGTTGACCCTTCTGACCCCGTCCTGTGTAACTGAAGTAACTTTATGCTGATCCAGTTCTCTACGCTGTAGACCATCCCTCCATTACAGAGGATTATCGCACGTTATGTCCTACGCTATCTACATTACCTCCCCCTCAAACTTATCTATAGTAACCGGAAGTGCGTCTCCTTCCCAGGAACATAACACTCGGTGGATCGGTTACCAGTTGGTGAAATATAATGTTCTATCTAATTCTTTTGACTGTTTGGCTTTCATTTTGACTTTACTTGATTCGAAAAGATCGAAATACTCGGCTTATAGTGGGGTGAAATAACGTACCAAGGTATTTAATCAATCATCTTATTCAACCAGATGTTTGATAATGTACCACGTGGTTTACATTACCTCCTATACATTAGTTCAATTGAATGCATTTTGTATACACTTTTGAAATGTCACTGTCCCATTTAAAATACATTTGCATTGAGATCTTTTTTTTTTTTATTTGCAATTATTGTTGTATGTTTTTGTCAACTCGTGTTTTAAAGCCTTTTTAATAAAAAGGAAAATAAATATCAGCCGTTTCTGAGAGTCTCACAATGATGATAATATCTGGATATATAGGAATAAGTCAACAAGACGAAACGATGATATGATGCAGGAATTCTTTCCAATAGCAAGGGTTCAAGGTCAGATTTCCAAGAAATTTACCAAGAGAGACGCCAGTCAATAAGAAAGGTCATCAATGTTGAAAAAAGGTCAGTAGGTCAAATTAGGTTTCTTCAAGACAGTAATTATAGTAAATAATTGAAACAATTTATCCAAGGATATAAAAAAACAAAAACTGAAAGACATTGTCGTTGGAGGACTAAAATGAGTTTCGTGTACGATGGTCGAGGGAGGACCATTTAACATTATATTTAATTGACATAACACATAATTAAGGGGGTGGGGATTCAAAATGAAAAGTGAATTGCTATTCATTTGAAACTTCATCGAAAGTTCGACAACAACGCGATGGGTTTCCCGACAACATCAATTGTGTGTTATATGTACAAATATACGTAATCAAATTTAAGACTTCGTTCTTAACCTTGCACATGTTGAATTCTGCAAAATTCAGTTAATTCATGCTATGTCAATATTTATTCGATAACTACTGCTAAATTGAATTCGTGTATCGACGGAGCGGACATAAACAGTGTCAGTTGAAATTGGTTGAATTTCCGTTTAAACCTCCGTCGAAAAAAGGTTTTTGATTAGTATTTGTATATTTACTGTGTAAATATGATGACGATGAAAATTAAATATTTTCTACTGATAAGATAAAACTGTTTATACGATATCTATAATGTGGTAACGAGAAAACTTATGTAGAAAAATGAAAATTCTTCGTCACGGTCAACATCAAATTCGGAGCAATATTATAACATATTTGATACTCTTTTGTACTTTTCTCAGTAATGATGTTCGAAACTTCTGTCGTGAGATCCTCACTACGGGAAACTGTAAAATAGCTCATACAGGGAGAATAAGAACTGGGGTAGTATCGGTACCACCGTAAAGAGCACTTCGTCGCCACCATCTTGAATGTACCATCCGGACCACCTATACGAGTGAACAATATGGACAAGTAAACCATGTCAAGAAGAGGTTGACCCACGTGCATTAAAGTCGTATGTAATCACAGCTGATCAAGGGGATTACAGGTGGATTTTTTTTACTGTTGTGGATCAGTGACTATAAATTCTACACAGGTGTGATTTGTAAATAGGTCTGCTACAGGTCGCCAGCTAGTACACTGTGTATTCTATATACAAGTATTAATTGTAGTGCCCTCTACGGATAATGGTCAATGAAGATAAAAAATCGTGCTATGTTCTTTAATATTTCCAATCATATTTTCGCACACGCACTCACTCCATAGCATAGATTCAGCTGAATCACATGAACCAGAGACATAGTACGTTGATATTTATCAACTCTAATGGAATAAATATCGACCAACAACCATTAACGTATATAACATGTCCCTGGTTCTCAACTTACATGTGTGTGTTCAGTTTTGACGACAGTAGTTCCCTGAATTAGATATACTCTGTGTCTTCCATTCTTATCAACTGTCGTTCGTTTTAAAACATCCTCGATTAGCGATCTCAGATTGATACACGTTGGACCATCTTGGCACGCGAACATCGGGTTCTAGAGGTTCAAACGTGTGTCTTAAAAACGTTGTGCAATTCATATACATGTACATGTTTCGTCTTTCCCTTATCGTGGTCCTTACCAGTGCTTAATGAAACGAGTGTCCTAAATCATACCGGCTGAATTGTGTCACGTTTATTAATTAAATAATGAAGACGTATTTTTAAGATATCACAGATGATGGAAATAAACAAAATACAGATTACACACACTCCACATGGTGAAAAATGTCGTCATTGCTAACAGTACGCCTTCCCTACCCCCGGGACAACTATTCGATAGGTAAGGCCACCCAGTACAGGTGACCGCGGGGGGTCGGACATGGTGAACTTACCTGGTGTTAGCTGTGGTCCTCCATCCCCGGCCCACGAGAAATGAATGCTAATATTACACACCACCTTTTCTTCTACAGACGACATATACTCGTGGCCATTGGTCTTACAACAGAATTTTACACAGAAGAACACTACTGTTTACAAACGTTGTCATCCGCTCCACTGATTGATTACTCGGATCTCTCTAGGGTCTACACTTGTTCTATTGTGTCTCCGGTCAATGCTATCGTGCTGTTTCTGTTATCTGTTTATTTGCTGGTGGTGATATTTTAGTTGAAATTATGACACATAGTTTGATTATTCATAATTAATGATTGACTTATCTTCTACATATATCAGTTTCAGGTCAATTTGTATGTATACCTGGTTGCTATGGTCGTTGCTACTGTAATCAGTCGACCTATTGTTAATTACACGCTTAGATAACACGAACAGGTAAGCGTACAAGGGAGACAACTCCATGCGCATTAAAACGTTTTTATACATGACGCTCACGCTGATACAGCGGGTTACCGACGATGGTACATGACATAGTTTAAAAGGCATGTTAGTTATATGTTTCAACCCGGCCTATTGTTAACCGCAAGTTAGGTAGAACAGAGATCGCGAATACATATTCAGAACCCTACAGGCTAAGAATTATTATTGTATGGAACGCCGTTTGAACAAGTATTCGCAAATACTTTGAATTGAATCATCATCTACGATATAACCAGGGACGTGACGTCCCTGATATAACATAGAATATTATTTCTTCTATCAAATTTGAATTTCATCGGCTCTATAGTTTGATTTCTTTATCGCCTTGTCGACAACCATGATCACTTTGAGGCGAGTTCTCGTTTAATTATCGACTGGTGGCAATTTCACTGAACAGTATGCGGGAGGTCATTTACGTGTCATCCAGAGCACAAGACGGCCTGTTTCTTGACAAGTTCCTGTCTGAGATGTAAAGTCTTCTTTCCAAAAGCATTAACATGTATCAAAGAATGGAGTGCATTTGTCACTGGTATGTTGTCCGTCAGTTAGTTCTATTAAGTTTTCCCGAACACCTGTTTACCATTATTTGCACGATGAAATGATGTGGAAAAGTGGAGGTTTGCTTGCAATTACACACGACTCGGTACAAATGACATTAACAAGATGATAAGAATGCAAGCCTTGTCGTCCTGGCCTTGTGTTAAGCGTAATACAAAAAAAATATAAATTAATAATTATTAAGAGATTTTAGTTTTCAATGCCAAAGTAATCCGGAGCCAGAATTTTCCAGTTTTATGAGTCATAAACAATAACTACAGGGTTGAGAAAAAACACGTCGTGTCGCTGTGTAAAAAGATCCCGATCAATGCTATTACGGATTAGGGAATTTCCATTGTCAGTATTACAACTGTGATCCGTAAAGTCTCCACGTGAAGTTTAACAATAAATAAGTATAAAGTGGCCGTATTTAAAAACCTTGGCAATTTTACTAAAAACAAGAACCAAATCCAACTTGTTTATGTTGAGCCACGGGAAACAACACATACTTACGTTGAGGTTATAGTAAATATATCGGTGAACTCCGGGTTGTCGTCGTACATTCCCTTTGTCCCGGAACGTTTTGATTGCCCACTCGGCCCGGGGATCACAGAAGTTCCCTGGGGGCCGGGTGGGGAGTGACTATCGAGGACCGTGCCAATCTTGTTAATTCAATTACTGTATTCCGCTGGGGTCGGGATTCTTGCCAAGTGGTACGTCCTAAACTTTCTGAGGTAGCTCCGTAAATAGACGTGTAGCAATTAAAAACATCGTATTAATTTTCTCAGATTTCTTACTAAATTACACACGTGCTGAGTACACCATATTTTCCGAAATCTATTTGAGAGTATTTTATATCACCGGAAGTCTAATGACCGACAGCTACATGTATGTACTGTAGTCCTTGTGGAACGTTTTGAAAAGTTCATGTACGGAAATTAAAGACTTTACAAATGGCCCCGCATGTCACTAACCATTGACTCGCGGTACCATATGCTATTCAGCAAAGGGACATGTTAGTTTATAAATGTATATTACTCATGTCATTCTATATAAAACGTTGTATTTAAATAACCAATATATACATACGTTTTATGTCCCTGTGTCACACAATATTTGTCGTGTATACATACCCCAGGCACCCATGCATTCCCTTTGTAATTTTCATGTATTATTTTGTATTGTGTACTGTTACAATGCTTGCCTGCTATCAAGATTAATTCATACACATTTCATGTATTTTGATTTTAATTAAGGAGCATGTGCTACTGGAGTGAATCATGAAATTCCTCAGTGGCTTGGCAAAGGAGATAGAGGGTTTGTCAATCTTTCCATGGTATCCTTACATCTCCTCACTCCGTGGGGTAAGGATCACTCACGAGAAATTCGCGCCAAGTCGTACACATCCCTGGGGTAAGGATTACTCACGAGAAATTCGTGCCAAGTCGTACACATCCATGGGGTAAGGATCACTCACAAGAAATTCGCGCCAAGTCGTACACATCCCTGGGGTAAGGATCACTCACGAGAAACGAGAAATTCGTGCCAAGTCGTACACATCCATGGGGTAAGGATCACTCACAAGAAATTCGCGCCAAGTCGTACACATCCCTGGGGTAAGGATCACTCACGAGAAACGAGAAATTCGTGCCAAGTCGTACACATCCATGGGGTAAGGATCACTCACAAGAAATTCGCGCCAAGTCGTACACATCCCTGGGGTAAGGATTACTCACGAGAAACGAGAAATTCGTGCCAAGTCGTACACATCCCTGGGGTAAGGATCACTCACGAGAAATTCGCGCCAAGTCGTACACATCCCTGGGGTAAGGATCACTCACGATCTATGATCATCGTATCTGAACGTGCATTGGAGAAATACCTATCCAAATGCCAACGAGATAATACAAACGTATGTCATTTTGATAAAGCCGACTAACTTTCAAAAATTCGGATCGATTTAAGAGAAAAATCATCTCTGGACAAGATTAAAACGCCAAGCCAACCTCGTAACCTCGTAACCTCGTAAAGAATAAAAACAAATAAATAACTCTTACAAAAATATGTCGAATCGAAATGGCATCCAGGAAAATAAATTTCATGCTGTAACAATGAAAATTTTTAATCCTATTCAGCTGATGAACTGGGGGAGATTTCCGAACAAGATTATATTAGAATGGGAGACAATATAAGAGATAGATAAAGCTTTCAAACCCAGTCCAATGCCGTCCAGGAGTGCAGTTCCATGTTATGACGAGAGAATGGTTTCTAAGAAGTTGAAAACGACGGACGGACAACGTCATACATCGAGTCAAACTTTTGATCTAAGTATGCAGTTCAGTACAAATCTGATGGATGTTGAGAAACTGTTTCTTGTCTTCTTGATAGATACATGTTAGGAACAAAAAATTCTATTTTAAAAAATGTCATTCCATGATTGGTTTCCGGACATATCGCCAGGCTATTTATTTCATTGTGATGCCTTCGCGACATTCATCAAATGGCAGGTACAAATGATTTTTATTTCAAATAATGCGACGTATTAATATTATTAGCGAAGGGTTGGTGTTCAAATGTTACCAGGTATCATTAGCTCACCTCGCCCACCCGTCCTGCGTCAATGTTTCCCTTTACTCTCCTGCTTCATAACCAAGACAAGAGTCAGGGAATTTATTTGATAGGTAGGTTCCCAGCATGAAACCCGACAATGTTTGCGAAGAGAAGTGACTATTACCCACACTGAAGGTCACCTTAGTCAAATACATAACCTTCTTGTAACAAACAAAACATTTCGCTAATGCCTGTAGGTTTCCGAGAGGAAGCCCGATCTAGTTTGGGACAAGTTATCTTAATTCATAATCAATGTCACAGAGGCTACACTTGTTATAACCTTCAGGTGATTTCTCCTGCTTGTAAGTGATCAATGTCACAGAGGCTACACCTGTTATAATCTTCAAGTGATTTCTCCTGCTTGTAAGTGATCAATGTCACCGAGGCTACACCTATTATAACCTTCAGGTGATTTCTCCTGCTTGTAAGTGATCAATATTACAGAGGCTACACCTATTATAACCTTCAGGTGATTTCTCCTGCTTGTAAGTGATCAATGTCACAGAGGCTACACCTATTATAACCTTCAGGTGATTTCTCCTGCTTGTAAGTGATCAATGTCACAGAGGCTACACTTGTTATAACCTTCAGGTGATTTCTCCTGCTTGTAAGTGATCAATGTCACCGAGGCTTCACCTGTTATAACCTTCAGGTGATTTCTCCTGCTTGTAAGTGATCAATGTCACAGAGGCTACACTTGTTATAACCTTCAGGTGAGTTCTCCTGCTTGTAAGTGATCAATGTCACAGAGGCTACACCTGTTATAACCTTCAGGTGATTTCTCCTGCTTGTAAGTGATCAATATTACAGAGGCTACACCTGTTATAACCTTCAGGTGATTTCTCCTGCTTGTAAGTGATCAATATTACAGAGGCTACACCTGTTATAACCTTCAGGTGATTTCTCCTGCTTGTAAGTGATCAATGTCACAGAGGCTACACCTGTTATAACCTTCAGGTGATTTCTCCTGCTTGTAAGTGATCAATGTCACAGAGGCTACACCTGTTATAACCTTCAGGTGATTTCTCCTGCTTGTAAGTGATCAATGTCACAAAGGCTACACCTGTTATAATCTTCAGGTGATTTCTCCTGCTTGTAAGTGATCAATGTCACAGAGGCTACACCTATTATAATCTTCAAGCGATTTCTCCTGCTTGTAAGTGATCAATATTACAGAGGCTACACCTGTTATAACCTTCAGGTGATTTCTCCTGCTTGTAAGTGATCAATGTCACAGAGGCTACACCTGTTACAACCTTCAGGTGATTTCTCCTGCTTGTAAGTGATCAATGTCACAGAGGCTACACCTGTTACAACCTTCAGGTGATTTCTCCTGCTTGTAAGTGATCAATGTCACAGAGGCTACACCTATTATAAACTTCAAGAGGCTACACCTATTATAACCTTCAGGTGATTTCTCCTGCTTGTAAGTGATCAATGTCACAGAGGCTACACCTGTTATAATCTTCAAGCGATTTCTCCTGCTTGTAAGTGATCAATATTACAGAGGCTACACCTGTTATAACCTTCAGGTGATTTCTCCTGCTTGTAAGTGATCAATGTCACAGAGGCTACACCTGTTACAACCTTCAGGTGATTTCTCCTGCTTGTAAGTGATCAATGTCACAGAGGCTACACCTGTTACAACCTTCAGGTGATTTCTCCTGCTTGTAAGTGATCAATGTCACAGAGGCTACACCTGTTATAACCTTCAGGTGATTTCTCCTGCTTGTAAGTGATCAATGTCACAGAGGCTACACCTGTTATAACCTTCAGGTGATTTCTCCTGCTTGTAAGTGATCAATGTCACAGAGGCTTCACCTGTTATAATCTTCAAGCGATTTCTCCTGCTTGTAAGTGATCAATGTCACAGTGGCTACACCTGTTATAACCTTCAGGTGATTTCTCCTGCTTGTAAGTGATCACTATTTTAGAGGCTACACCTGTTATAACCTTCAGGTGATTTCTCCTGCTTGTAAGTGATCAATGTCACAGAGGCTACACCTGTTATAACCTTCAGGTGATTTCTCCTGCTTGTAAGTGATCAATATTACAGAGGCTACACCTGTTATAACCTTCAGGTGATTTCTCCTGCTTGTAAGTGATCAATATTACAGAGGCTACACCTGTTATAACCTTCAGGTGATTTCTCCTGCTTGTAAGTGATCAATATCACAGAGGCTACACCTGTTATAACCTTCAGGTGATTTCTCCTGCTTGTAAGTGATCAATATTACAGAGGCTACACCTGTTATAACCTTCAGGTGATTTCTCCTGCTTGTAAGTGATCAATATTACAGAGGCTACACCTGTTATAACCTTCAGGTGATTTCTCCTGCTTGTAAGTGATCAATATTACAGAGGCTACACTTGTTATAACCTTCAGGTGATTTCTCCTGCTTGTAAGTGATCAGTGGAATACCCCTATATAACAGAGTTGTTCTACCAGATGAAAACAAGAGGTCCGAGGGGCCTCCATCGCTCATCTTGCTAACTAACCTATTCAGTCATTTAACAATGAATTTCAAAATTTGTCAAAATCTGCTTAGTCATTCATAACTAGAAGTGATTGTAGAAAAAGTTGATAAAAGACAAAACTCACTTGATCCTTGGGCCTGGTGAGCTAAAAAAGTGATGTGAAGAGTTTTCAAGAACACTGCATCAATAATAACAAAACGGTTAGATATAGAATTTATTTATAATTTATTATTGTCTTAAAAATCATCAAATAGCACTCCATATTCCGACAAAAGGTCCATGAGGCCTGCAACACCCAGAAATCTTGTAATATGGTTTGCTCTGTCAGAACCTACAAGCCCTAGACTAAACCCTCATGTAACTCTAAAACTTCATCATCAGCCTCTTCCAACACCAACACCATCGTTGCCTACTCCCTATTAATTTGCTAGGTTTATCGCCAGTCAACAGCTGGGGTCATCTTGAGGCTGGGTTTCTTTGTAGTGGCTGGTATCTACCTCATTAAACAACTTGGAGGGGGCTGGTCATGTGCCATCCAGTGCAACTCGGGTAAACTGACCTAGAATACAACCACAACAGCACAGAGTGGTCCATTTCTTGCATTCATAAGAAACACAAACTACCATGGGTAGGAGCAATGAACCAAGCACTTGGGATCTTCACATGTGGTGACATACCCCACACCCTGAGCTATCTGGACATCTACGACCATGGTTAGAATGATAATGGAAGTTAACTTACTCCAATCATACCATCATGCAACGTATAATGATAACAAAACATCATAATAATACTTCAAATGTAACACGGAAGTAAGCAATCCTTGGGTTATAAGATTTCTTGGCTGGTATAAAAGTGAAAAGAAAGCCTGGCTAGTAGATTTTCAGCAAAAATTTGTTGGGGACTTTGTGTTCTAAATTGTACACTTCCTCTGTACCACACCTGACATCAAAGATAACATCAATTTGGATTCAGATGTGACTGCAGTAGACTGTATCTCTAAATTTTTGTGAACAACTAAAAAATAGAGCCAACGTCAGTTCTAAGTTTGAGGGTTGATTAGTGGGGTACTTCGTGTTGGGTATGGATACCAAGAGGTATGCAGGGCGATGAAGTAAAATATTAAAATTAATAAAGGTAGAATTCAACCACAACATAACCAAGCGTTACCAATTAGTGGTTAATTTATTATGGTCGACTAGTTTGGGTATGTTGTGATTGAATTCTACCTTTATTAATTCTAAATTTTTGTGAAATACAAATGGTGAAAATTAACATGTGCAGGTTTTGATGATAAAATAACTTTTACTATGTTTTAATAATAAATCATTCCTGTCCAGCATCACACAATTATACACAAGATTCATACAAAACCGTTCAGTGGATCACTAATCACCCTGTATACAACGAACAATATTTTATCAACCTTGGACATCGATTTCTCTCCGTAAATGAGTAGGTAAACATGATCACAATGATATTATATGGGCATCACATCAGTTGGCGAGACTCCATCTACGATAGATGGAGTCATGTAATGGAGAAACCCAAAATAGACAGATCAACCAATCAAAAAGGAATGTGCTTAGAACTTCAATAGCCAGACATGCACACCAAAAAAACTATACATTATCATGATTTTTGTTATACAATCGGTGTTAACAAGTTACCAAGGATTTCAATGGGAGTGTTAGTCAGTTTATTAACAGGAATTGACAGGCAACTCGCTTCCTTCCACTAGCAGTAAATATCACCTCAGTGACTTACACGGTACAAATCCATGTCAATGATCCAAAATTATAAATATTTCAGTCCTCTGGAGGTAAAAAAATCAGAAATGGTAAGAAAAATTAGGAAAATATTTTGCAGACTGGTTATAAAGAAATGAAAGATAGCAAAACAGAGATGCATTATATGCACTAGTGACTATTCTGAATATGGTAAGGGGTTATTTTGCTGCCTATTGATAATGTGAAGGTCAACAGAGGTTAACAAAACATTCAGGGTAAGCCATGAAACTGACCACATTCCAACTCATCTCGGATTTGTGTCTGATTTACTTCTTATTTATCATAGTTATTTGCTATAAACATTACTATCCTCAGATGGCACAGCTGTAACACACTCGCCTTTCACTAAGACATCCGGGGTCAGAGGGCGCAGCTGTAACACTCGTCTTTCACCAAGACATCGATGGTCAGGTGATGCAGTTGTAAAAACCAAGTTTTTCACCAAGACATCCGGGGTCAGAGGGCGCAGTTGTAACAAACTCGCCTTTCACCAAGACATCTGGGTTTTGATTAATGGAACGCACATAAAAAGGTAAGGGGTCACCTGCCTGACATGGATTTGCCCACAGGAAGACACCTTTCATATCCGGGCCAATAAGAGTGATTATTTTCAGCTGGATAACTTGTTCTGCCATTGTTGTAAGATAAATGGTCTACATAATTAACGCTTAATTTGCAAAAATAACTCGCACATGAAAATCAAATGATTTTAATCTGTGGTGGGACGATCCATTTACAGTAACCATCTTCAATATTAGCAGTTTTTTGGGACTACAAAATAATTTTGCATCAATAATTGTTATTTTCACTTTTTAGGCAAGTAACATGATTTGATATTTCATTCACATACAGTCCTGACACATCACCATTTGCATGCTTATTTTCCATTCTTCAATAATTTTCTTTTGAATTTCAATCACACAAATTTCTCAGTTTAAGAACTTACTTCCTTGACCTAAGTTAGGCAAACACACCAGTGTCCACAGTTTTGTAAATACTCTTGTGTGCTGACCATTCATGAACAATTCAAAGCACTAATTAATGCCTGCATGCACAAGATACCGATCAGAGATGGACTGTAGAATTATTATGACTGCTATGTTTCATGAAACCAGCGTCCTATATCATTTTCTTGCACCAGGATCTATGCCAAGGTCATTCTCAACCATTTTCTCTGCAACAGTGGTATTACCAATAAACGAATTGTCTGAGAGATTGAATGGTCTGAATCCTACTTCAGCTCAAGCTACAACTGTTCCATGGTGTAAACTTCCATAGAATTCCCTGTAAGACTTTCCACAGATCTATACAAATGTTGTTTCCTGCTAGGATCGCTTCTTGCTGGTCTTTCCCTTGCCTTTACCCTTGGTAGATGGTTCTTGAGTTTTCTCTTTGCTGGCAGCGGGCTTCTTTTTAGTTTGCTGTAAACAGGTGAAGAAATAGTTACCATAAATGTGCTGTAAACAGGTGAAGAAATAGTTACCATAAATGTGCTGTAAACAGGTGAAGAAATAGTTACCATAAATGTGCTGTAAACAGGTGAAGAAATAGTTACCATAAATGTGCTGTTATAAGCCTAAACTCTACCAGTGTAGGAAGGTAAACTGATAATAAATCAACGATACAGAATTCACTGACATTTCTACTGAACTGTAGTTGATAAGGTGGGTCTTCTTCACAACTAATTGTTGCTTTAAGTCCTATCAACAGCCAGAGTCATTTAAAGACCTACCAGATTTGGGAGGTGAAGAATGCCCCACGTAGGTCTTACTCCTACAACCCAGAGGTAGAGGGCTATTGATAGACAGTCAGATGCCTGAAACACTCGGCCACCATGGCTTATTCACAGAACAGTCTTATTTTCAAATATTCACATATCCCTATTGATGTTCCATTACATCAGTGCTAGACAGTGACTGTAATGATGTGTTTATAACTGCAACTGGTACTGCTGCATTGTGAAATCCTAATGCTCTTACCGGCTGTTCCCAAATCTGAATTTACTTTATCCTAAAAGATCTTTTTATCACCATATACCTAATTAATATTGGTCAAACTGTTGTAATTTAAATATGAATTATAAAAGTATTTTCTGAGTGTAATTATGGTTATTATTATTGTAAGATACAATCACAATCAGAAAAAACTGAATGCATGAAGAGATGATTACAATTTTCTCTACTTGACACCAGAAATACTGAATGATACTACAAATCTGATAGCCTGAGATTCACAAAAACAAATATTGAGCCAGAGTTTCACAAAAACAACTATCAGGTTGCTTTGATTCCAATATTTTAGTCATAATACTTCTGATGTCTATGGTAAACAAATCGTTATAAACACCATTATATTTGAACAGGATACAGTGTTACATTGACAAAATTAACGGTCGATTGCAAATGTTTTGTTGGTATTTTTAAACACCAAAATCTGTCCATGGTGTTTAAGCTACTGTGACGGTAAAAATGTACGTTACAGGTTCATTCTGTAAAACAAAACTGATCTTTACCTATAATTGGTTTTACAATTTGTTGCAAATGGATGTTTCTTCACAGCACACAGTTGTTTATTTATGGAGGGATTTTTACCACACATTCATTTTATTTTGGATGCAGCACCCCCCCACCCCTCAGAGACATCACAAAACAGAATCAATGATATAGACCATACCTTTATCATTGTGTCTTTTTGCAGATCGTCTTTGTCATCATTTTCATCATCTTCACTTTCCTCCAACATGGCTCCATTGCCTTCCTCATCATCACCATCAGGTCCAGCCAAAGCCCCACCACTACCAACGCCACCTCGCTTCTTCTTAGTGAGGACCCCAGTGGAGTAGGGTGTCAAGTGTACTCCTTTATTGTATGTTCTTGTGAAGGCTGACTTTGTCTGTTAAGAAACACTTTCACTGTAAGTATTGTTAATAATCTCTTTCTTTCTTTGCTAGGTAAATAATATATCAGCGTAAAACAAAACAAAAAACAGTTTTGCAGTCATTAAGTTTGATTTAATATTGCTATCAACAGCTATAGTAAGTTCTTTCATAATCTTTCGTGGCAACACTTAACAAAATTTAGAAAATTCCTTAGAGCAAGTTAAAAAGCCTAACTCCTTCACATTTTTAACTTATTTTTTCATTAACACTTAAACCAGGAAGCTTGGTTCAGGTCCTGCAATTCAATAAGTAATGTAGAGAAACACACAGAAAATGTATATCCTCCATGAAAAATGGTTGAGATCATTATAAATATTCCTCTACCTTGGTGGAAAGATGTTTGAGCGGATCATCACTGTTGGGCCATTTTGATATCTCCAGGATGTTATCATAATCTTCCTTAATAATGTCATATTCTTCCATTAGACTTATCACTTCTGGTACACCCTCACTCTCACGTGTCACAAGGGGAAGAGTCAGAGAGTGGCGCATGTAAGGGAGGTAATCCATATTGAGACTTCGTTTGTCACCTGAGATTCTGAAGCAAAAATAATCAAGTAATGAGGAATAATCATGCACTTGCAAACCAAACAAAAATAACTTTAATTTCAGCCAAAAGAATACCAGTATCAATCATGATTTCATAAATGCCATATGCAGTTATTCTTACAAATTTCTTTCATTGGTTCTGTCAACAAATGGGACTTTCACTTTAGTACTGGGAGAGACACTTTGCCAAACAGCAATTTTTCAAAACAGAAATCAACTGAAAGTTATATTGTCCAACCTACTCTTAACTAGCTAGTTTTATATATTATATTCACATTAGATAATCCTTGTGATTACATTTTTCAGACAATATTTTACTTCTTTCTTTGTGTAATGATAATGTTAGAGCTGTCTTGGTAACACCTACCTAAGCCTCATGTGAGTGCGGGTCTCCTGAAGAATCCTGTCTGTTTTACCACGTGATGAGTTCTGCCCGAGCCATGTTGGGAAGGACACCATTTGAGGAAAGCTGCCACGCATGAATTCTCCTGGGATCACACTAGAGTACATAGCCTGTCAACAAACACACAAGACAATTTTTTATCATGGAATTCTACATCAATGTCAAGTACAACCTTATACAGTTGAAACTCCTCGAAATTCCGTTTGAGTCGATATAATAATATTCAAGTCCAGTTTTTTTTCCTTTTTTATCTTTGTAATTTTAGTTTGGATGACTCGAATTTCATTGAGTCGAAATTTTGGGTGAGTCGAAGCGATTTTTCAGTCTCTTCAATCGAAAAGCAAGGGAAAAGTCATTTGTTGTCTCAAAATTAATTTTTGTGAAAACATCGGCACGTCTTCTGACAAAATCAGCAAATATATACACAAAGTAGAAAGTCACCTGTGTGTAACACATGGCTAACTTAAGCGTATCGGTGGTCCATCATACACACAACAATTGGTCTCTGGAGATTAATTATGAGTTTAATTATTCAATTAAAGTTTGGCTTCTTAATTGGTGTCCCCATCCTGTAGCAGTGACTTATCTGTTCATTAAAGAAGTAGCATGTTTACACCAAACAGGACAACATTTAGATTGGTTGCGAGCATCTTCAGGAACAATCAAACAAAACGAAACCGTCAAACCAGTATTAACTTTTTGACAAAATCTGATCCCCACAATTCCGAGAAAAACAAATATTAATCTTGTTTACTTAAGGCAGTCCACGCGAAATGCTGCTGGTCCGTTGACATGTCTGGTAAAATTTGCGTCAGTCAGGTAAAGATTTGCACAAGTCCGGACTGAACGTCCGGTACAGATTTTCTACTTAATCGCCTCCCGACCTTTATTAAATAAGCGTTAATTTTAAACAAGTGTTTAAGCGTGCTTGTGATCGTGACTTGGTATCCAAAAATGTTGCGATTTATTGAAGGTGCAGTGCCTGGTAGGCAATAAAACCTCAAATAACGGAGACAGAAAGAGCGATATAGAAGCCTGAAGCTAGCAGGAAGTACGAGTACAAACGAGCTCCTCACAAAATAAGTAAAAATTGGAAAGAAAATCGACAAAGGTTAGAGTTAGATATGGAGTGGAACACTAAGTTATAGAGATGTATCTGTTTTCATTTTAATAGATATTGCACGTCTTAATCAATGATTAAAATTACAAGGAATTAAATCTACATGTCTTTTCTCATCTTTTAATAATAAATATAATAATTTGCACCGAGACGTTTTTGGTCTGGTAAAATTTTAACTTTACCAGACCGGAATGTCTGGTGAAAGTGAGTCCGGTCCGGTAAACTTTTGCCCTTCACCAGACCGAATGTCCTGTAAAAAATATTACATTTCGCGTGGACTGTTAATGACTGTGATAGGGAACTTTGCAAGATTTATTGTTTGGACAATGAAGTGCCAAAAGTATTTTTCATTAATTGAGTTGATATCTGTATATGATTTGTAAAGCCTAGTAATCGTACAATGTTTTAACAGTTAAACATTTCCTAGCATGTTATTCATCTGCTTATTTATTCGTATTAAAGACATAACTATATGATCTGTATCTTTATACATAGTTTCTTGCAGCGTATCAAAAACGTGTGGGATGGAACAACGCGAGTATGAATGTTTTTGAATGGAGATGTTATTACAGGTTTTGGTGTTTGGATGAATAAATAAAAAAAAGGAGAAAAAACATATTAAACTACACTTCCTGCATGCTATTGTAGCCCTACTTCGTTCAACCATAATCAATGTTAGGAAACTGATATCGTTAACCTTATTTATACACTTCATTTGAGTCAAACTTTGGATAAGTCTAAATATTTTCCACAGTCCCTTAAATTTCGAGATAACGAGTTTCGGCTGTATCTCTAACATGGTCCATACTAAGGTAACTTACATTATTTTGGATGAAACCTGACATTTTGTTAAAGACATTTCTCATTTTATTTGAGGAGAGTCTCCAAATAACCAATATAATGACTCTATAGTAGAGACTGATATCTTTAATGCTGCATGTCGTTGCACCAAACAACTCCTACATCCATCAAATGACCTAATTGAGAGAGGGTCAAATTTAAGCTATATGACCTCGGCCATATTCAAGATCAAATGACCTTAATACACTTTTGCTTTAATGATAACATATCACTTTGACCATGATCCATCGTTGTCAAGTGATCTCGGTTTAACTGCGACATCCTGTTATGGATAGGAAAGTTCAGACTACGTGACCATGATCCATCGGTGTCAGTTTAACTGTGACATCCAGTTATGGATAGGAAAGTTCAGACTACGTGACCTTGATCCATCGGTGTCAGTTTAACTGCGACATCCAGTTATGGATAGGAAAGTTCAGACCACGTGACCATGATCCATCGGTGTCAAGTGATCTCGGTTGAACTGCGACATCCAGTAATGGATAGGAAAGTTCAGACCACGTGACCATGATCCATCGTTGTCAAGTGATCTTGGTTTAACTGTGACATCCAGTTATGGATAGGAAAGTTCAGACCACGTGACCATGATCCATCGTTGTCAAGTGATCTCGGTTTAACTGTGACATCCAGTTATGGATAGGAAAGTTCAGACCACTTGACCATGATATATCGTTGTCAAGTGATCTCGGTTTAACTGCGACATCCAGTTATGGATAGGAAAGTTCAGACTATGTGACCTTGATCAATCTGTGTTCAAGCATCATATATCATCTGGACATACAGGTGTCAGACCATCTGACCTTAGTTTATCTGTGTTAAGGCATCATCTATCACCTTAACAAACAGTTATGGATAGAAAATTTAGATCAAGAGACGACCTTGGATCATCAACAAATCACCTTGATAGTTGATTCATAGTTGTGATTAGAACTTAAATTGCTTATATTGGCCGAACGGCACAGCACATGACCTTGAAATGAAGACACGGTGACTGTTAAGACCAACAGTGATAAGACAATACAAAAGACCTTGATGTTTAGATGTTTCGCTGTAAAAACTTAAGGCACTGTGGTAGTTTAGACCTTACAATAACTTAAGGCACCGACATAACCCTGACATATACCTGTTGGGTCAGTTTAGTCCATGGCTATGATCACTATATCAAAGGAATATTTTTTCTTCTTTTCTAATCTGTTTGGCTACAAAGTCATAGCTTTCTGAAAAAGATTTGAGGAATGCTTACTAATTGTGTGTTTACAGTACCTGAGTTGGAAGGAGGTTCCAGGCCATGCGTGAGCGGATGGCTTTGTCAACTAAATCCCCGTCAGAGATACTGTGGGCAGTGCGTGCCAGGAGAGATAGATGCTTTGCTGCATTTCCTCTGCAACAAACAACATTTTAACTTTAATCAAATCTGAAGCGTAATGAACTTACTAGACTGTCAAAATTTACCTTCAAATCTGGATTTTTTTAAGTTGTGGTCTATTCATTCAGAAGTTTTGACAACAATGACCTTGAATATGTCAAGGTCATTTGTGTTTGCAAACTTTTAAAATATTTTAGCAAACCATCACTGGAGGTTACTGGCTACTTCACACATCATGGCTCTGTAGTGATTTTTTATTATTTGAATCTCTCAATTCACTATGAAGACACAACATTTTGATACCAGGTCGTACAATCTAGACCAATGATGTTTTCTTATATCAGTTGAACATTTAAACAAATCAACAAGGTAATTTTCTTTTCAAAAATTTTGTAGTGATTAGTGCCAGAAATTAACTGGCTTACTAAACTAAACTAGATCATTTGAACAAATGTGATCCCTCAATTTTTCTTCATGAAATTTGTAATAACATCTAAAATTTTCTGATTAGATTTATTAGTCGTCTATTTCAGGAAAAACATGTGATTTAAACTGCAATCATGAAGATACAAATTTGATTTGCTGAATACCTACCTTGCAGCATACGGCACAACATTAATGTAATTCTCCTGCACAAACAATGGACCAAAACTATAATCGTGAAAAAACAAGTCCGATTTGTCAATCAAAGTCATGTTTGCTGTTTCTTCTCCTCCCACAAATACCTTCCTACACACATCGAAAGGTCCCTGAAAATAAACATCATGCTGATCAATAAAGCAGCCAAAGAGAAGTTAAGAATTTTTATTGTGTCACATGATTTGGCTTTGAAAAGATGTGTACTCATTACTTCTGAGACAAAACTGAAGTCTTGCTTGCAGAAACTATAGTTAACATCCTGAAATAACCATATCAGAACTTGACCTGCATATTATCCCCATACAAACCATTTGGAGGGGTTATTGTATTCTGCCTATACCTATGTACATACTTTCTTGTCAATGTTCTGAAACCTTTACCTTTCAACAAAGTTTCACAAAACTATGATACATGGGTTTACTATAGCAGAATCTAGGACAAGGTAGCATTCCATCACCTGCACTACCATATATCAAAAGTTATTGCCCTTAGTTTGTTTCACTTGGATTTTTTTGTAAGTGCTCCCAAAAGCTTATTTCTGCACAGAATTTCATAAAACTTAATCAAGGGTTTACTGAGCCCATATCTATGAGTTCACATTTTTTAACTTGAGCCCATTTCTTTCAAGAGTTATTGTCCTTAGTTTATTTCACTCTATTAATTTGTCAGCACTCTCTTTCTATGACATAGGTCAAAAGTAAGGATAGGTCAGAGTGACCAAGGTAAGAGATTTTCATAGTCATTTCTACAGAGTTGCAATACATATAGCTGGATTTATTCCCAGATAATGTTGTTTGTTGAGGTGGGTCAAGAATATTTCTTTGTTAATGACTGGTCCTTACCATTTTCATGTCTTTACGAGCTCTACTAGAATCTTCTTTGGCCTGTTCATATGTTAGCGATTTGTTGCCAGCAGTCCACATGGACATGTTGTGTATGACCTGACGTACGTCATGATTGGCTGCCAAGATGATCTCGTTAAGAGCTGGGGGTGGAATCTTCAATCCCTCTTTGAAAGCTATGGACATCATAGCAGCCTAGAAGATTTTACAAAGGACAAACAAGTGAACAGTCCTGCTTAACAAAAATTTAGAGCCACTTGTCTGCTGAAAGCTGAACGTTATAATTGCAGATGTAAAGGCTGTTAACTAGATAAATACATAGTAGTCCAAATAAATCAAATGACATCATTCAGCTGTTTCATTCTTCAAGGACTTGTAAGGCATGATGCTGTGAGGCTAAAGTGTTGAAACCTCCACACCAACTGAAGATGATCCTTGTTGGATGACGAACATATCAGAAACCAAATTGGTAGGTGCACTAACCCAAAAATTCAAAACTTAATAAATTTCAGTACTGAAATATCTATAATTTTTTTTATCAAAATATGTACTTGTACCATATAACAAATCACCATATCTAATCCAGGTCACTCTGGTTCTGAAGTATTCTAACATATTACAGTGAAACTGAGCTTTCACTCTGATCTTTGTTTACTATAAACTTTCTTTCTGCAGCTCCTTTTTCCACTATTTCCATCTCAAAATATAGTTATGACAATTAACTGTCACAAAACGGACCATATACCTGTATACAATACCATAACCATCACAATACTTGTTAAAGTAAATCACATATGAAACATTGGCCTAAATGATTTAACCTCTATTTCATACTCTATCCTATATGAGCTGACTTTCATAGTCAGATCTGAATGAACAGTCCTTGACCTCTGAGCTGATCTGGATCATTCACACTGGGGTTCAGAGGAACCGTTTCTCACATTTCAGAAACTATTTTTGACTCCTCAGAAATCTGTTTAGTTAAGCTAACCTGGCCAGTTCACACTGGAGCTAGTTGGACTCTTTTGTACACATCATAAACTCTTTTTGACTTTTTCAGACTAATGTTTGGTTGAGCTAACAGAGTCTTTTCACACTGGAGCCTAATTATCAGGTTAACACTTTTCAACATTTCAGAAACTATTTTTGACCTTTTTTCAGATTAATATTGGGTTGAGATGAGAGAGCACTTTCACACTGGAGCCTATTGAACTCTTTTAGATTTCAGAAACTATTTTTGACTTTGAAGACCAATGCTGGGTTGAGCTTACACAGCCCTTTCACATTGGGGCCTAGATGAACTCATCATTTCAGATTAAAGTTTTGCCTTTGAAAGACAGAGAACCAGTATAGATGAACTAAATTGGTAATATTACAGTATAAAGTCTACAGAAGACACTTACATTATCAACATTGGCCCCACTTCACCACCCTAAACGTCCTTCAAATCTTATTTCCAAGAAATACTAACCTTTATTTGTTCTACACGAGGCCGCTGGAAGCGAAGGTCAAAGCAGTAGTTGGAGAGTGTTCTCATCTTCTGGTGGTTTCTGTCGTTACACATACAAATGACAGGAATTCTGCTTCCCTTGATGAGACTGACTAGTTCCTAGTAAACACAGCAGTAAATTCAGTTGTCAAATTACAACCAAACAGCAATGATCTTGTATAGATAATAATTAGGGATAAAAGCTACAGAAAGTTGCTAAATTGCCATTAGATGGTCAGTGTCTTTAGAAAGTAAGCTCAGTTTTCGTGAATGTTAAGAAAGACAGAAGAAGGGAGCACCTGTTGTCTTTCTGTCTCTCTCCAAAAAACAAACTTAAATAGCTGAATATACATTAAGACACGCAAGATTTATTTATTTCATCAAGACATTTTGTCCTTGAAGTGTGTTTACGTCACAGCTTCAAGTATTGACCTGGGTCTGATGAAAACAAATTATTGCTTTACTTAAACATCTTTTCTGTTACATAACCAAACACAAACTTCCAATTATGCATCTAAACAGGACATTATCCCAACCAAGAGATTCACTTACCTGTAAACCCCCACGATCCTCATTTCCAGCCATACCATCAACCTCGTCCATCAACAAGCAATGTTTCTGTCCACGTGACTTTGAACGGCCAGGCCCTTTTATCAAACGAAATAAAAAAATGGTTACCCCTGGTATTATGGAAATATCTCAAAACTACAAAAATAGCTGCAAAACTTCAATTCCTTGGAAATTAGATTTTATAACTTTGATTCCACATCACGATACAAAAAACCCTTACCCATGTAATCTACGAGTGTCTCGTTGCCTAAAGCCTCTGCAACATCATGTTGCAGACTTTTCTTTGAACGGGTGTCAGAAGCATTTAATTCGACAAAGGAGAAGCCAGCCTCCTGAAACCATGAAGAAATGTATATACATTAAATCTGATCCTGTTATCGCACAAACAAAAATAGCTCAATATCATACTTTTGTCTTTTGTCAAGGAATTTACCTCAAAAGAATCATTTTTTTGTTTTGTTAATTCTTCATTTTGTTTTCAAGATTTCAAATTTTGGAAAACTTTAATTCTGTCAAATTTATTGTAAAAAGGGACTTAAATAGAATGCTTTTGTAGAAAATGATGAAGGTCAAATTGTCAGAATATTAATTTCAGTGGATTTCCCACTTATTATCAAGTCATGAATATGTATATTCACGAACTTGACTATTTCAATAGCTTGGATATTAATATCTAACTGGTACCTGGAAGCTATTTATCCATAAAATCACAAGTACAGGATCTAGTGACAATGAAAAACCACGAAACATAGCCCAATGAGAATATAGGACTTCGAAGATCTTAATTTCATGTCAATCTTTACTATATGTAACATGCTGTATAAAAGTCAAAAGTGTAGTTGAAATTATCCCATTTTATTTCCTTATAACAGACATTTTTCAAGAAATGGAGTCCATTTTCTGAGGTATTCTGACTATTATCAAAGATGATATTACTTTTGTTTTGTCAAAACCAAGAATAACACTAATACCTACCTTACACACAAGTGTTGCTGTAGTAGTCTTTCCAATTCCTGGCGGTCCTGACAACAATGCCGCTTTCATCCCAGCGCCATCATCTTTCCCAAAAAATTTTCCTAAAAAAAAAGAGAGAACCAACAATTAAATGCAAGATCAGGTTATGTATGATATCTTCCTTTGTTAAGCATTCATACCATTGCAGCAACTTAATCAGCAATATTTTTATTTCTTCTAAAGTAAATAACTTCTCATAATATTGATAAATATCTGCTACAATATGTAATATTTGTAAAGCATCCCCATTTCCACTATGACAGATCATTCACATAGGAATTTTTTTCACTGGTGTGGTTAGGCAATGTTTGCCTCATTTTGGGAAGAAAATGTTGAAGAGAAAACTCAAATTTTGGAAATTTGGCTTAAATCTAAAATAACTCCACCTGAATGGAACCCATTATCAGCTTCTAAAATCTCTAACAATAGGGTTGTGTAGGTCCATGAACCCAACATGCCCAGTGAAGATTGTGGACGGACGGACGCCGTTCGTGATCACAATACCCCACACCCTTTCGGGCTGTGGGGGTAAAAAGGCTTGTTTATGCATCTAAGATGGTTTTTCTACAGTCAATTGGTTTTCCTTAAAGTAACTAATGTAAAAGAATGTTCGTTTGTCTCTGAAACATGATTTATCATATTCATTTTTTGGGTTTATCACCCTGTAAACAGCAAGGGTATCATTTTGAGGTAGGGTCTCCTTGCAATAGCTTGTGACTGCCACATTGAACAACATAAAAGAGGCCTGTCACATGCCATCCAGAGCAATTAGTTTAAAGACACTAAGGACACATCCACATCAGTAAAGATCGGTCCGTTTTCCCAGCTTCCTGAGAAACATCAAACCACATATCTCGGATATTTTGTTGATCAACGCTCTAACAAGCTAAGCTACGGGGGTTTATTAGAATAAGATGCTAACAGACTCAACAATCTTGGTAATTACAATTTATTTTTGTCGGTTCAAACAATGTGTTAATATATTATAACAAGTTACTATTATAATGAAGGGATTTCTGTAGTCCCTTAGGATGTTTTCTGTTGTGTTACATAATCATTCCCTCTGTTTATAAATAGACATCTATCTTGTCCTTTTTTCTTTCTTTATTTTTTTGCATGATTGCAAAGTTTGACCAGTTTGACAAATGTTGTTTGGTTAAGAAGTAAGGACAGCCCTACTGATCGTAACATTGCTTACTAACAAGCCTGGATAAAGCCTTTTTAGTCTTGCAATATCATCTGCAGGTCTACTCCAATTTATTCCTAAAATGTCACATTTTAAAATGTTGACAATCTTTTTTACATAAATGAATGTGGCCTTATGGGATGAAATAGAAATAGAACTCAAGTAGAGGGATTAAGAAAACTTTGTGTATACCCTGTGGTTTGGTTCCCGCAGCCTCATTTTTGTGCCAGTTGGTCAGCCAATGGAGAAGCTTCTTGGCATTGCTCTTGTCCCCTTGTTGTGCAATCAACTGCTTCAGTCCAACAGGCTTGTACTTATCAACCCACATCAACACTGGCTCATCTGTTTTCCTTTCTTCTTTCTTCTTCTCAGGCGAACTCACTGATGGACTGGATGTAGAAGCTCTTCGTTCAAACTCTGCAAGTTTACTAACCGACTTGGCTTTTTGCAAAGGTGTTTTAGACTTCTCCTTCGAAAACAAGAAACAAATATCTATCTTCACATAGAAAAAGCAATTGCTAGATTTTTTTTTGTGTGTAGAGAGGGGTTCTTATAATCATATTATCAATATACTTTTGATGTTATTACTATGCAATAAGGCTGACGTATGCTGTTTCATCCATTGCTATAAATCTGAATACAGTAAGCAATCTTATTATTCAAACTGACATGTTCCACCCATAACATATTATGTTAAAGTATGATTGCATTAATTTTAGTTTCTGTATGTTGTTTATTAAGCAGTTGTCAATATTTTGTATGCACAAATTGTACTAATTTGCCAAACCAGGAGTGTTAACATTGGACTGCACTAGATTAAGTAAGCTTACAGCAGACAGGAACTGCTGGTACACAGGCTAGAGGAACTGTGTTTAAAGTCTAAGGATATGTTTCATTTCCTAATCAGGCAAAGAGGAAAGTTATTGTGATCTTAAACAGTTTGTGATATTCCATTGTCTGAAGAAGCAACCATTTTCAAATTTTACTAGAACTGTCATCTTCAGGAAATACCCCCCAAAGATGCAGGGACTTTACATATCAATTATCTTAGTTTTGGTCCCAACGTCCTTAACATTTTCTGTATATATGGTTGTCATGGCCATGAAACATACAGTGATATTTGGCATCCCCTAATACCCCTATACTATAGTATACCAGATTCGGCCAGAATCAGATAATATCTCAATTTTGGCTGATCAAAGGCCAGGATTGTGATAGTAATGGTTCCTAAAAATACCAAATGTATCCTACACTTGGTTTTAATTAGTCAAATAATAAAATATGTTGAATGACCAAGGAGTAATGGCTATTTATAGTAAAATCTGTTTAAAGTTACCAGTTACCATGGCTACTAAAACATCTATATATGGTCCTTTATATTGATATGAAGTTTCATTGAGATCAGTTCAATGATTAAGAGGATTTCTCCAGGAAATATTTGCAGACAAGAGACTTTCTGATATCCAGACAGGGTGATTCCAAGTATCCCCATCAACTCCACATCCCCTACTTTATTGGAGAGGATGTAATTAGTCCTAGAAATAACATTCTCTCAAAGAGACTCCGAAAAGATTTTTAATACACATACTTAATAACTTGCAGATCATGAAATGGGTCAAAGTGACCTTCCTAAGGTATGAGAGTCTCCATTAAAAGATGTTTAACTCAGTCAGCAAGCATGAAATGATTTTCTCAGTGCAGCAATAAAACCCCTGTGTAATATGAGACCTCAGTTCTTACCTTAGCAGTTTCTTTTTCTGCTTGGATCTCATATTTAGATTTCTTGCCTGGCTTGGTTTTGATGAGATTCAGAAAGCCATCTTCATCCAGAATAATGGTCCCAAATCCTCGTGCCTAGTAACAAGTCAAAAACAAATATATGATTGTTACATAAACTTAATATTGATATAGAAATTCATGACATACCTGAAATTCCTTGGACACTACCTATATTTTTCATCTCACTGACAAAAGTTAGTGTTCCAACGACAAGAATGGTAAACCTCTGGTCAGTCCGAATAGGCAAGTACAATTAGATTGAAAACATGATTTTTTCAACAAAAACCAACAAAAATTACTGTTTAGAGATAGTTCAAACCCTTTCTAGTCTCGTTTCACTTTCAATTTGTTCAAAAACGAGACATAACAGATAACTAATCGCAGCATGTGGTCACTATTCACATCAATGTTAAACCCTGTGGGCAGCAGACTGTAAATGACCATCAAAAGCAAAAGTGATAACACAAAATTATACCCATACAAGTCATTAATTAGCATCGATGAAGTGTGATTTCTTTCACATCTTGCCATAACACTGTGCTCCTGCCAGCTGACACAACTTGAGGCTTTGTACTACAAGCAATCGGTGCATACAGACCAAAGGATGTTAGCATGTGTATTGTCAAAGAGCAACTGTGTTTCACTTCATATTTCCACACGATATTCATATCGAGACTAGCCCTATCTATTACGTCAAATAAATAATTGTAGGAGCCATAGATTTTAGGAAACACTAATCTGAAATCAAAAGTCTTAATTGACATTCATTCTGATATGCCAACAGTAATTTCTGCCAATACACAAGCAGAATTTTGCTTGTTTGAGGCTACATTTAACATGGTTTCTTTCGAGCGATATCCAATGTGATGAAGAATGAAACAAAACCTGTGATTCTTAACAGTTGATTAACATGTGTTGTAGTCCAATAAGTGTTTCAAATGATAATCATTCCATGATCAACATTTTTTCAGAAAATGTCATTACTGACTGGTAGTTTCCTACCTTGCAAGGATGCTTTTAAACACTTTTTCGTGATTTCAGGCAAATCAACTCTGATAGTTCAAATTCTAATTTATTTTCACAAGCATAATTTTGTATCATGCTGACAGATTCAACAATATTTATTTAATTTTGTTTGTACCAAACAAGGTTCATCGTATGTGAATGAAATTGATAGCACAGACAGTTTCCCCCAAGTTGAATTAAACATTTTAAGGTTTATCAAATGGAAAGTTATTACTTAATAAATTTAGGATGATATTTTACTTCTGAAACATGACTTTCTCATAGTGACAAGAAGGAATCAAATTTTCCTTCATTTACCTTCTGGAGCTTACTCTCTCCACTGTCACGTCCAGCAACTAGGTAGTTTGTTTTCTTGCTAACCGAGCCTGTCACCTTGCCACCATATTTTTCCACCATTTGTTTCAAATCATCACGCTCAAACGATTCAGACACACCGGTCAAAACAAAGGTCAGACCTTCCAAACAATTCTCCGCACCCTACAGGAGTCAAAGTGCAAGATGAAATATTAACAATAAACAAAGTGGTTTCCTGATCCATAAAGTTCAAAGTTCACATACAACAAAAAAGGAGGCAAATTTCAAACTAATTCAATAGTTATGAAGTGCTCAACAGATTTTCAGCCAAATAAAGGACAACTTACAATATGACACAGGAAGACAGTACATGCAGCAGTTTATTTCTGACTTAGGTTAGGTATGTACTCTTTGACTACTTAACCTGATCTATAATCTTATGTCTCACCTCTGGAATTTCCTTTGCACCCAATGACCTTGGTCCTTCTCTCGTCAGATAAGACCGATAGGATGTCTTACTTGCCAATTCAGGAACATCGGGAGACTAAAGATATGAATTATAGGTTAAATGTTTTGAATTGCCTGCTTTAAGCTATTTAATAATACACTTAATAGAGCAAGCATTATGATAATTTATTTTAACGTATGGTCTTGATACACTAACTGCTGAAACCACTTTCATGTATTAAAAGTTGACCTATAAACAACAAATAACAACAATAGAATTTTACAGAAGTATGTCCGATGGAATGAAATATCTCAACAAGGGGGTAAGAGTTTGGCTTGTCAACAACCACGAGGGTTACCGAGAGATGACCAGTCAACCACCTACAACAGGACTGAGATATCCCTGTTCATGGACCAGACCCAGGTTTGATTTTTCTCTCATAGTCTCTGATTATATATAATATATGAGTTGTTGTGAAATATATAGGTCACATAATCATCAATGTGGAACATGTGTGAAATAGATGTCATCCATTTGCGAGATAATTACGCTACATAACATGATGACATGATCCAGTGTAATTAAGACAACCCCTGTGAGCCATCTTTTCCATCGAAGGAGAAGAAAGTTGATTTTTCACAATTCGTGTTTCATGTGGGATAATACTTATCTTAATTTAAGAAGAAAAGATAAATCCATCCAGATTCACTGACAAAAAGTATAATTATCTCGACTCATTTACTCATCAAGAAACCCATCTGGATATACTGACAAGGCAAAACCACTTAAACTTGTTGACAGGAGAAAATTCTAGCTAGATTCAATAACCAATCCCTTTGAATTCATTAAGAAAAGATTATATATTTCTCAGTCAACACAAAATAAAGAATGTTATCCTTGTATTTCATTTATTTTCTAAAGTACAGACCAAACTATTAAACTGATATTGATATAATGTGATGTCGATTTTAAAACCTACCGTTTTGGCACTACCAGACTTTGGAGGGCTTGTTGTTCCTGGTTTCCCTGGAGACACTTTCGGGGTATCAGCTTTCTCACTCTTAAATGGAGATATCTTCTTAGGACTAACATCCTTTTTAGGTGATGTTAGCTTCTTAGGGGACAATTTTTCAGGACTGGCTTTTTTTGAAAACTGTAATAAAATTGATCAACAATCCTGATATTAATTTCTATACCTACACCAAAATTATAAGGGTGATGATCAAGGCACACAATATCAAATAGATGTTCTTTTATAACAACCAGTTAGTTAAATTATGTATTATATTCTGATGACTAAACCAGTACTGTAATAGGAAAGACAAATGAAAAATACCCTACACCAAGGGGAGTTCAAACCAGTGACCCTTTCGTTCTCTAGTCAGACACTCTGCCACTCAACTAAAGGGAAATTCCCACTAGCTGAGGCTAGTAAGGCGACCTGTACACTCTATTTCTCTACTCTTCTCCATCATTCGCAAAGCCTTCAACTCTGCAGACAACGACAACCCAGGTTTGACATCCCCAAGGTAGCATCTCAATTTCCCATAGCTTCTACCCTTTGAGTGGTAAACAACACTAAATTTGTGATACGATGGATAATGAAAAATGCCCTACCACTGCCGGAGTTTGATGTAGCAACTCTGAAGTCTCTCGCCAGACATTCTACTGCTAAACTGAAGGGAAATTCTTACTAGGCTAGTAAGGAGACTTATCCTTCCAATTTCTAAAGTACAGTTGCCTTCATCATATAAACAATCAGTGTAAAGCACTTGTATTGAGGTATTATGCCATATATAGTGTGTAAATGGTAGAATGAAGTCACATGACTTTCAGCTCTGGTATAACCTTATGTACAATCAGGTGGAAAGTGCGAGGAGATGGTGACAAGATTACAATGAAAACTGACTGTACTTGTTAGACAGACTGAATCACATTCAAACCAGGCATCTATATTTAAACTCTGGATCTCATAATGCTTAGCGCCCAGCACATGAATTGATGAAAACATTTTGGTGAGAAGTGATATCAGCGGAGTATCTCTAATGTATACAAACAACTAGTGTCTGTTTTTCTGCCTTTGCATATGAAAAAATGAACTGTCCAATCCATGATAAAATACTGAATCCAACTAACAGTGTCACTGCTCTCTCAATTCGGTGCATTCATCTTTTTGTTAATGGAGTCTCGTTTTTGATACACGTTATTGTTCTAAATAAAGCTTGAGATCATGTTATTTCTAGCAAAGTATTCTCCTGGTCAAGCTGGACGTTTGGTCATCCAATACCATTAAGAAAAAAGATGTGGGAAGATTGAGACTTCACCTTTATTTTACTAGGCGAGTGGTGACCACATTTTAAAGCCAGTTGCCAACAAAAGAAGCCTGTTTTTCATCAACTCTGAACCAGCTTTTTGAAAAAATATATAAAATGATATTACAAGATGTTTATTTTTGCTTCCTGTTTTCGTATCAACCCATTTGTTTCAAATCTTTGTGAGAACACTGAAGAACATAAAGCTTCATTTTTTTAACCTCCGGCTGCAGTTGTTCAAAAGGTTTGTTGGAGATAACCAATGGTTAGTGAAAATTTAGAAACCTGAAAGCTTGGAGATAACCGAGATAACCAGTGGTAAGTGAAAATTTACAAACCTGAAAGCTTGGAGATAACCAGTGGTTTGTGAAAATTTACGAACCTGAAAGCTTGGAGATAACCAGTGGTTAGTGAAAATTTACAAACTTGAAAGCTGAATTAAATCAGAAACATTGTTGTCAGGTTGACATATTTGAAGTTAGTTTTGCCTTCAATATTCTGGTTTTTTCAGTGGCAATAATTTTAATTTTTCACTACTCACTGCTTTACTCTCACCTTGAATGACTGGGAAGTTGGAACTATTCAGACAAAACATCTTTCCCAGGACTGCAAGTTTTGTTTAGAGAACCAACATAGTTCTATGATTAACGTAGAAGAGTTATTTTCAAGTGGCATATAGAAGTTGTGTAACAAGACGAGGTAATCAACACAGTCCAACCAATAATAACTTACTTTAAAATTATATGTTTTTGTGGGACTCAAATTTTTTGGATTTCTAAAAAAAAAAATGTTTTTGTTGGCACTTTTAGTGGATAAGTCTTGTTAAAAAATCACTAGTGCTATATGACTTACTAGAAATTCATGGATTTAAAGTACCTGCAAATACAACAATAAATCACAAACGAATAAAGAATGAATAAACAGTATTTTCCCGGCTTTATTGTAAGGTGTAGGATACGAAACCTAAATGACTAAATACCTGTTTCGACTCTGGTGTTTCTGGGACAAGAGTCTTCGCTTCTTCCTTCACTTTTTTTACAGCAGTTGCCTTGGAGTGTTCCTTTGCTTTAGCAGCCAGCTTGCTGGAAAGGTTCCCTGAAACCAAAAATATCCACTACAATATCAGAACTACTGTCCACTGTTTCTGACAAAATTTTCATTCTGATACTGACCAGTCTGAATGATTGAAGAGCTTTTTGTTGGAACTCTCATTGATATATTTTAAACTCAGAAAACACCAGAAAATTCCTGTGCTTGAACAGGCTGTTACTGATAATCATTTGATGTACATGTATTATGTCATTAGATCATATTTTAAGTTAATACCTTGCTCCAGTCATTTGAATTCAGATTTGAAATTATATGCTGCTTTACTGTGTTATTAGCACAAGCTACTGTTTACAATTACGTTTAATTAAATATCTCACTTGTCCTCCTTCATTAGTATGGTTGTTTTTAAACTCTTAGGCAGAATCGAAAATAAACTGCCATTTATATCTTTCCCCCCTTCCCAACCCCTCCTTCCCCTAAAAAAACCCATGAAATGAAAATTTAAGCATTTTTACCCAAAAATTGTCTTTCTTTTCCAAAGGAGGGAGATAAAAACTTGTCTGATATATCTCAAAGTATATGTTTCAGTATGACTATTAACAGAATCTGAAGTGAATCATTTTTCCAAATCTCAAGCCCCAAAATTAAACAAAAAGAGTTCCCCCCCCCCCCCAAAAAAAAAAAAAAAAAAATCAATGTATGTAATCTATTAAGTGGGTTCAGATTATATAAAACTGGTTTAGTAAGTGGAAACTTTTAAGTTAAGATTTTCAGCATCCCTTATTTTCAGAGATGCAGGACCTTAAAAAGATATCTTGTAAACAATGGATATATTAAGGTGTCTGGTTTGCATTTTAATCATTTACCAAGTTTGATCAATTTTGACTTTGCTTTTTACCAGAGCTGAATGGCACTGCCCACAAAAAAGCAACACTGACATCTTGCTTCTATTTTTAATGAAGAAAAACAATAGTGTATTTCATAACATCCTCAAAAAAATAAATTCCTTTTTGTAAACCTGAAAAATTGAAAATTTTTGATAACAGTCTGAGTTATCTCCCTTGTGAATGATACACAGGAGACAGGTTGGACAAAAAATCTATCACTAGGTTGGACATGAGATGTTCTTCTCTTATGAATGAGAATTTTACAGACTGAAAATTGTAGCCAGACTGAAAATTGTAGCCAAACTAGAAGTTGGAGTGACATGAATGCCACCACCATCAACCAAGGAGAAGCTGATAGTGTTAAAGGCTTTGTAAACAAATGTACTCCAGACATGCGAAATGATAGTCCAGCCAACAGGATCTATGGTAAGGAGACTAAATCAAAATAGAAGTTCCATTCATTTTTTCCCTTTCGATTCCCATTCTAGGCTCGCAGAAACAAATCAGAACTTACATATTATAATTATACAACGACCAACCAAATTACAGATCTACATCTGTATGTTTTCATAAAGAATAAATAGACAGAATAAAAAATATGAGGATATGAAGGAAAGGACAATGATAGTGGGGGCAGATAAAGAAAATCTCTCAACAGATACACACCTGATGGACTGGCGGACTTGTGAGGGGAAGTCGAACTAGACACACGTGGCTGAAATATTACATATAAACACATGTTACTGTAAGTGCAAAACACCAACAACTATTACTGTCATTATGTTTACAGGTTTTTTTCACATTTAAAGACATCATCATAAGAAGAATTCCAGTTAACACTGTCCCAACATAGTCTCTTTTCTATGTATTACCATATTTCTCTTTGACAAGTGATAAAAACTTGCTATGGGCTCCTGATAAAATATCAGAATGTTTTGATGATGTCATTACAAATTATCTTCCTGAATAATACATACATCTATCATTGCTGATATAATACATTTTAAATATACATTAAATTCTTTTGCATTTCTTAAGACAAATTAACAGATATCTAGTTACAAAAAAAATCCATTAACGGTTATCAGACATAAAATACAAGATTTCAAATTTTGGACTTGAGAAGAAGTTGAAATGTGTTTTCAAGATGGCAGCCAGGTTGGATTTCGGACCAACCCGAAATTAACAAACTTTGGTCAGAATCATGTCACTATCATTTCAGGTAAGTTTCAGCTCAATGAGACATATAGAACTTGAGCAGAAGTTGAAAATGTTTATGACGGACGACAGACAAAAGGCGATCGCAATAGGTCATCTGACCGCAGGGTCAGATGACCTAATAATAATCCTTCATGACTAGAAAATTTCAAAATTCAAACACACAAGAAACAAAACTTTGCATAGAAACAGTGTGTGTACTCACCTTTTTACTTGGTTGCACATTGTCCAGTTGTGCAAGAGTCTTTTCAAAATCATCATCATCATGAACCTCTTCATCTTCATCCTTTAAAAAGACAAAAAGGCTTTAATCCAACCAAAAACCTAAGTCAAAGAGAGGCTGCTCATTTCATCCTATATCTTGAAAACACTGTAAATAATCTTGTCTTGTTCCCAAAAAAGAAGGCTTTCTCTTGTGTTATACATCAATCTGCTGAACTCAGCTACTTAAGTTTCCAAATAACCTTTTCATATATACAACATCCAACTGAATCAAATTCTTGTTTCTGTTAGTATATCATCTTGTGCCTAAAATAAGCTTTCACTTGAACTTTTCACCTACCAGCTTTCGTTTGGATACCACAGTTTTTCTGTCGGAGCGCTGTACAGTTTTACTGCCAAAGAAGTCCGACACATTCACTGGAGTTTTTGTCTCAGATTTCTTTATTTCCGTCTTGGACTTGACTTTTTGTGGACTTGGTGTCTTCAGAAATGAATCTAAGGAGGACTTTTTAACTGGTTCCTCATCTAAAATAAATCATTTGGATACCTTGTTAACAGAAAAGGCCCGAACAACCAAAATAAATGGTGCAGTGTTATTGTTAAGAACATTTAAAGCAAGTATAATGATAAAAAACACTACAAGAAAACGATACAAAACGTTCTATTTTCCAATAGTATGTTACAAAACTAAGACTTCCTGTTAATTACTCAAATCAAAAGTCACTGCAACCATTTTTTATTGATATCTAAAAAAATGTACACAGTTCAAATTTTCACATTAATGATGTTGATGATCAACCAATTCTTCTATGATAAAATTTCAGTTTTAACTGATTCTTTAGAGAGTTATTTTAGAGATGGCACACATTTTTCTATTCTGCTACAAGATTTTCTCTGTGGTGAAGACTTTAGTAAGTTTGAAGGAATCATGACATTAACTATTTAATTGTGAAACACCTGGACTGGTTCCGTCAATCCGTAATGACCTGACCACTAATAATAATGCAACCATCTAGTTTCCTTTCAAGTGTTTTACAATTTCCCTGTCACAGAAGTAACGAAGCTGAAGACTTAATTCTTATAATTGGCAAATGGAAACTCGCACCTTACATGCATGTGTAAGACAGCACTAACAATGTTTTGAGAATGAACATAAACAAAAAGGGAGAAAGAAATAGGCTTGGCTGAATGCTGATGGCCAGCATCCAATTGAATTTTGGATGTCTTATGTCGTGTCAAAACTTCAGACAGTTTAAGACTTAAAATTGTTTCATTATCCCGAAGCCTGGTCTTGTTGTTAGTTGCTGCCACCTTCCTGTCACAGAAATAATAAGTCGTTTCTTCACCTGTACCGAGCACAGACTCACCTGAATCTTCCATAAATACAATTCCAGCCTTCTTTTTGTCATTCTGGCTCCTAGCTGATTTCCTTGGAATAGGTTCTTCATCAGAGTCTGCCATTAAATCAGATAGGTCAACATTTATTTAATACAACACAAAAGGTTTTAAAATGTTAATGAACAAGGTCTAACAAGGACTAATTTAGTTAATACAGGTGTCACATTACAACATTTCAACCACAGCTTTTCCCCACACATTTGGGAAAGGGCCTTTTCATCTCATTTTGGGAAGAAAATCAATCGATCCATTGGAAGGACACTTTAAGGAGTAAAATACGCATTCTGGTAATTCCGCCATATAATGAAATAATATAGCCGATATTCCGCCACACAGAGCTCCCCCGAAAAGCCCTATAAATACAGTCAGCTTATCGACCATGCTAGAAAAATTTGTAAAATCTTCAAACATGAATATGAGTTATTTAAGTTTTGTTTGGTACAATGTATTTCATTACCGGAGGTACATAGTGCAACTTCTGTCTGGTACACCATTATGTTGTGTGTGCTGTTAAAATGTACCAGATTATCTGATGTACATAAGGAGACTTCTTATTGGTACTTCATTGTCTACTGAAGCTTTTACACACCTGATTCAATTATTTGTGCCTTTTTGCCTGATTTCTTGTGACCAGAAATGGTGTCCTTTTTCCCTTCCTCACTACTGGCCTGCAAGTAAGAACAAGAATATTTTTATTCTTAATCTAAAATGTATATTCTACAATTTGTCACAAAACACTTTTCCATTTGAACACAGGACTTGTACCTGTCAAGAACAAGTATCAGGAAAGGTGTGAATTTATGGAATGCATATCTCCTCACTTCCAGTTCACATTTTTTTGTGCGTGTTTGTTTGCAAAAGTACTATCTTGATAATTACATTAAAAAAGGGTTTTTTTTTCATAAAAAAAAAAGAAAAAAAGAAATCCCAGGCAATCTTGGCATCCACCATTGAAGTTTTTTTTTCTCCTTGAAAGTTGGATCTTTTCCTTTCTTTTCTCTACTCTGATTTTGCTCTTAATGATAAGAAATTTGAACATTCCTTGCAGAAATAGTGATGATATTTTTAACCTACCAAATGTAAAATGGTGGCCAGGAAGCCATTTTCTTCCTTCTGATTAGTCCCAAAATTAAACAGGCACAAGTAGAGACCAATGGGGAACATACTTATGAAATTTGAGAGAGATCCATCAGTGCTTCTCAAGAAATATGGATATCAGTCTTTACCAGTGGAAAACCAAGAAGGCTGTCTGTCGACCATTTTCTTTTACTGATCAGTGTCAACATCAAACAGGCACAAGTGTTCAAGGGAAACATACATGTGACATTTGAGGAATATCTATGCTGTAGTTCTCAATAGCAATAACATACTTTCTTTGACACTGACCTTTCCATATACCAACAATTTCATTGACCTTTACCTATAATAACCATGACATTGACCTTATATATACTAACAGTGATATTGACCTTTACCTATACTAACAATGACATTGACCTTTACCTATACTAACAGTGACATTGACCTTTAAATATACTAATAGTGACATTGACCTTTACATATACTAACAGTGACATTGACCTTTACATATAATAAGTGATATTGACCTTTACATATACCAACAGTGACATTGACCATTATCTATGCTAACAGTGACATTGACCTTTATCTATACCAACAGTGACATTGACCTTTACCTATAATAACAGTGACATTGACCTTTACCTATAATAACAGTGACATTGACCTTTACCTATAATAACAGTGACATTGACCTTTACCTATAATAACAGTGACATTGACCATTACATATACTAACAATGACATTGACCTTTACATTCAGAGTGACATTGATCTTTACCAACACTTCAAGATTACCAACACTTCAAGAAAAAGCAAAGATGGCCACCTGTTATCAATTTTGGTTCACTGATGTGACTCAATACCATAAATACTTTTGAAGAAATAACGATAACAAAGCACAGTTGACAGATTCTAAGATAGCTGCCTTACGACCATCTTGTTTCACTAATCAAAGTTTCCTGTCTGCCATTTTCTTTATCTGATCAGTCCCAAAATTTGATGGGCACAACTAGAGACCATGAAGAATCCACAAATGAAAAAACATAAAGATCCATCCAGTACTTTTCAAGAAATAGCGATGAAAACATTGTTTACAGATGCACAACGGATGTTGAGCGATTTGAAAATTCAGATAATAAGTGTAATTAAGCTTGAAGTATTTGTAATATTACAAATAAAATATCTCCAGAGTAATAAAATATTGATAGATCATATTTTACCTGGCGCTTTCTTTTCTTGGAGCTTTCCTTCGTCTCCTGTTTTTCATATTTCTTTCCAGATAAATTTCCATTAACATCCTCTTCATCACTGTCTAAAATAATAACCTTCTTTGCCTTTGATCCACTATCTTTGCTCCCTTTTATATCTGAACTTTTTCCCTTTTTATCATTATCCTTCCCTTTCTCTGTTGACTTGCATTCATCTTTTCCATTTTTTTCATTCTGATCTTTTTTAGAACTTTTAACAGACTTTCCTTTCACATTTAACTTCGGATTTTCAGGCTTTTCGGTTTTATTGCTGCTATTAGTTTTCTTCACATTACTACAGGAAAAAAAGCTCCGAATATCCTGAAAAAAAAAATCGAAATCAACAACATTCAAAAGCAATATGTATATTCGCCAGCAAAGATTTAATATTGAAGACAGTTAAATCATACTACTGAAATATTTATGCATCCTCAACATTATGGAAACCTGATCAAAATCGATACAATTGATCAACTAATTCGAACACAGAAAAGTGATAAGCATTCCGTAGTCCTCTATTCTACATAAACACACAGTATATTATCTTATTTTGGTGCAATTTTAACACAGAATCTTTCGGCAAACTAGCTCAACGATGAGTTGAGCAAGATTCTTGTACTTTCAGTATCAAATGCACAAAGGTAATATAACTACTGAAATAAGGATGTTTACATCAAAAATAAAATATTCACACAAAGTTTTTACACTCTTAAGCTGTTTATGGTTGTCTGATGGAGCAAGAACTTATTTCAGTTAATATTCTTTCATTTTAAGTCAATTCCAGATCAATATGAAATAGTCATTAGAACATCAGATCAATTTTGACGAATTCAACCTTTGTTCAACCAATCAAGCTAAAGAGATGTTTTCTTACCAGGCATTACATCAAAGCTAGCAGTCTAAATTGGTGTATGTACTGGCATTGAACTATTTCACCAATGCCCTGGAAAATTTAAGTTTTCCACTTCTTCTAAAGTGCTCGCCTTCAACATATGGAAGATTATGGCAAAGTCTTGAACTGATGCATAAGTGTTTGTGAGTGTGGTGAGTGTGCATGGTACTTCTCGGAAATAGTCCAAGGACCAGAATACCGTTATGCCTTACAAATACGATGAACTGAAGCAGAGTTCAGGTGTATATGAAGAGGGACATTTCATTTATGTGTGGTCTACACCTACTTTTAAGTAGATGACAATATCGACACAAAAATGGCAAACGGTTTATTCTGCTAATATAGGAGGGAAAAGCAGAAAGCGTCCATTAATTAGCTTGATCTTAGTGTTATATCAACATTACAACAGTAAGCATTTTTTCCCTTGGGGGGGGGAAGGGGGGGCTGAACGTTTGTGTAGTTTTTGCGTGCGCTGAAAGAAGGTCAAGACACCGGGAAAGTAACGACAATTTTAAGATATCTCTGCCATTTATATTTGGAAATGCTGTAGAAGTTACATCTAGCAGTGTGTGCTGAATCTAACGTTACCTTTTTGTGCAATGACAACACATTTCGTCCACACGACTCACGAGACTGACTACACTAGGACCGAAAAAATATATTTCTTTCGTGAAGTCCAGCCTCACAAATAACCAAATTAAACAAAAAGGAATGAATTTTCTATGAAATGTACAAACCATGGCAACACACAAATGACATGTCCGTAGTTAGTTTAAGATTCCAAGTGTTTACACTTTCGTCCGGTCCCCCTTTCGCGCCAAATACGACAACACGCATGTGTGTGACCTTATATTTGACCCAAGGGAGAAATCATTTAGCGATACTCTTGCACAAGTCAAAAGTTCTACGCAGATGCACGTAGGCCAATGACAATGAGCGCTTAGCTTGTTTTTTCCCCATCCCATATGTAATATGACTATGTGTAATATTGTTGATTACATAATGTATGTTGAGCAAGCTATTTGTTTTATCTGAAGAAAGCCGTAATTAGTTATGTTATTCATATTTGAAAACTCCACTTTAACGTTCTTCTTGTTTATGAATAAACCTTTGATTGAGTGATTGATTCACATTTTGCTGGAAATATATATTTTTCAATCTTTCTTGTTTCCAGAGGTAAAAAGCAATATAATGACATGTTTGTTTACATGGTACGGTAGGAATCATAGTGCTTACGTATGGACAAACATTGGTTGCTTTCATTTTCTATAACGGCTCATTACGGATCTATATCTAGGTCCGTAGACCCATGACAGCCATTTTAGTTGAATTTTTGTTACCCATATATGTGATTCCCATTCAGTTGAAGTGCATCGCCATGATAAAAGTGTAAAGCTACAGATGGTTCTATGTATACCAACACGGTAATCTGTGCTTTGACGCAGTATTGTTTGTACATTCCGTACGTTTCAGGAATCACGCTACCTTACTGCAGTGGTCACTTCATACAGATCTATAGTTTGATCTACACTTGTTCTATTAACATTCATCAAAACCTTGCCATTCAGGTGAACACTGCATACATCACGTGATCATATTTTTTAAACCTCGCTGCTTAAAAAAACTTCTTCATATACTTCAGACTTTAAATTTGGCAACTTTTAAATTCTTCCTTGCTAAGTAATTTTCCATTATAGAATGATTTATTTATATTTCATCTCTCTCAGCATTTACCAGGAACGTAAAAATAGTATTTTGAATAAAATGATATTACAATTAAGTACAGTTTTTCTTTAACCGGATATTTCTTCAAATAGCACACTCAATTCTCAATGAAAAATTATTATCTAAAGCATTCTTATTTTTATCCGAATCTTTTAAACATTGACTGTACCACATCACAATCAAAGATTGATGGGGTGCGTCTCATCTTCTATACCACACAAAGAACAACTAACTTGTGCCCAATCCATTTACAATTTTGTTGAATATAATTTAAACTAAGAACAAAGTTTGTCATCCATTATGTCAGGCAACAATACGAGTTCAAACGTAAGATGATCCGACGAACTAGTGTAATGTGCTGAAACCACTGTACCGTAGAATCTAACGCAATTTTTATTAAAGATTTTAAATATAATATTATAATATAAATTATCATTTTTTTCTGTTTTAGGAATAGCTGAACATCGTCAGGTGTGTGTGTCTATGTGTGTGTGTATATATATAAAAAATTTGAATATAATATTATAATATAAATTATCATTTTTTACATCATGTGATTTCCAGTGTTTTAACTTTTTCTGTATATATATGTGTGTGTGTGTGTGTGTGTGTGTGTGTGTGTGTGTGTGTGTGTGTGTGTGTGTGTGTGTGTGTGTGTGTGTGTGTGTGAAAATGGGAGATAACTCCTGTATATTATTTTGATTTAGAAACTTTTAACATATTCCACTGAACCTTAAGGACATAATTATGTTTTCAATAGTCAACCAATTTTTAAATCTACCTAAATTGAGACATGAACCAGTAGTCCCACCTATGTCTTCCAAGCTTCTTACTACTTTGTCAGTCCAAGTCAGTGTAAAAACTACCTTTCTTTGGAATGTTCATGTTATCATTATACCAAATGGGGATACAAAAGTAATTCCCCTTTTCTCTGTTGAGATGGATTTTGTCAGTTTCTTCCATCAGTTAAACACATTCTTCCAGAATACATTGTTACTTTTTACAAAGGGTTACATAGTATTCTGAACCCAAAGTAGGTGTATTTGTTCTAGTGTTCTACACATAAAGAACTTTAAACTTATATACCCAAATTTGCTCATCATTGTCAATTCATGTATTGGTTGATTAGAACAGTTCTTTTAATTCAATCCCTCTTACCATTCCATACAAAAATGATGGAGGTGCTCGTCACTTTGTCGTTCTGTTTTCAACTGATTCAGTTGTGTGAAAATAAGGAACGGGAGGATTTTTCATACTACTGTTATCTTCTCTCAAGATGTCTTCCGTGTAAGCATCTTCAGCTTTCATAATCTAGGTATATACTTACACAAGGTCCTCAAAACGAGAACATTGTCAGTATCTATGAAACTAACAAGCATACTAGCGTTTCAAAACAGGTAAATTCTACGTCTTTAGCTGGGATAAAACGCTCTTTACATATGGTAGGAAAATGGATTACCCGAAGAAATCTAACAAAAAGGGGCAGGTGATCCCATACCTGTTAATGTCCGATTGGAGAATCGAACCCCTGTCGTCTTAATTCGGTGAAAAGTGTGCGCACTTAACACTCTTCCATCTGTTTAAGTTATTACTATTTGAATATTAATGTCCAAATCATAATACTGAAACGAATATTTTTAAGATAGATGTGAGTTCCGACTTCTAATGTCACTGGGGTCAGTTCAAGTATAAAATAAAATGACAAAGTAAAACCAACAGTGACTTTATATCTATGTCATGGTGCCCTTATCACCAATAGTATATATGACGTCAGACCAAGTTGTAATTTGCTCATGGAGCTTAACCAAATTACACGATATCTTATTCACTAAGTCATATACATATACCTAACTTAGTAAATTATATAACTCATTTGATAGATTAGGCGATTTTGTTTGTTTGTTTGGGTTTTTTTGGCAGAAAAGAGTCGATAAATATGGATTTTTTTCTTTCTTTTGGCACCGACTTCTTGTGTACCTGAAGATGGTTATAGGACGGGAATGCCCATGTGCCAGGTATCTATAAGTGTCGCAATTGAGTATTATCAGATGTTTCAGATCATGATGAATATCAAAACCTGTGAGAACATCTATGCAGCCTGATTTTTTAAATATAAAAAAAAATCTGATAGTCTTTCCTGTACTATCATGTGCCGAGCATCTTTTGACAGATGGACAGGCAAATTTCTATTTATAGCCCCTTCCTCCTCCAGTGGGAGGTGGAGGATGAAAAATTATGACAAACATAAAAAAAAAACTATAAGAAAATTTATCAATATCTGTCAAAACAAGGCATATTTATCACATTCAGGAAAGATACATCAGATGATGGCGATAATGATTGATGTCTCTTGATAATGCATTGCGAAAGATGATGATGATGATGATGATGATGATGATGATGATGATGATGATATGTTGCGTACAATTTATATATATTATTTATGATGATGATGATTATTAAAATGTGAATAGAGTGAAAATGATATTAGGCCCTTAAATATTGTGGTGTGTCTGTGTATTGGTGTGTGTGAAGGCGTGTGTGTGTACTCCGACCATGTGTGAGTGTGGCGTTGGCTTGGATGTGAGTGAAATATTTTTGTTTTGAAAAATCGTCGAAAAATATTATGAATTAAAGATACGTCAGACAGGTATACCTGTCCGGATCTGTATCATCTGTGAGTGATGTGTTTCGTTCCATCCATGATGTCTTATGTGCTGGCAGTCACGTTACGTAACAGTACCAGTGTTAGGAAACATTTATTTATTTATTTATTTATTTTATATTTATTTATTTATTATTTATTTATTTAATTTATATAATAACAAACGATAGTCTTATGAACAATAAGATATCTTGTTTCATTTGGTCAAATAGTCAAGCACTTGATCGACATTGCTTCACGAATAATGACAACTTGGTAGGTGACCAATTAGTGTCACTTGCACACAATCTCGGCATGTGTGACAACTCAAGACAGAGAGGCATGGTTCCCACAGCAGGTGTGTTAATTAAGTTCGAAATTGTGTTTAATCAATGGCGGTCAGGGAGGGGGCAGGACAAAGTGACAATTTTCAGTGGAATGTGTCATTATTGCTGATATAGTTATCAAGCCTTAGCAGGACTGGAAAAAGCATACAATGACGAAAAAAAAACACAAAATATTCTGATATCGAAAGTTATTGAACGGTGATATAAGTATCATAAAAATTATAAAGATAAAATTATCGTCCGTTATCGTAATCCAGTTATACTGGGGGATAACTAGTTCCTAGTCATTCATTTGACAGAAATTGTATTTAAAAATTTCAAAAAGTATGTATAAATTTAGCTAACTCCCTTCTCATTTTAACGTTATTTCAGGAATGGTATTAAATTTGCTCTTAACAATGTTTGGTTTCTACGTTCTTTCTCAATTCTATCTTTCAGAATATGTAAATCATGTCTTTCCAAGTAATCGTGTACGTGTGTGTCTTGTGGTCCGCATAGTGACATGGACTTGGGTGTCTTCATCTGTGATGTTAATATCAAAGTTATGTATGTTAAAACTCTAGATATAATATATATATTTTCATATATACAGATATACATTTAAAGTAACCTGAGACCTAGGTAACACGGGATTCGAATATATACGTGTAAGTCTCTGTTCTGATAATAATTAACAAAACAAAACCAGAACATTTACTGTAACCACTGAAATACGTGTTGTAAAGCTTTATTCTTTGTGGTTAGGGGATGGAGGGATTGGATATTATGTTCAGGACAGTAGCAGCATCAGATGAGACACAATATGGTTTTGTTCCTTGTAGCAGCAAATACTTAGTCTGCTTTTTGTTTTAAATTATATATAGCATATTTCTAACTTAAATTCAATTGGCAAATTTTAACAAAGATGGTCTTATTTTTTATCATTTATAATCATCGATGTAATGTGCCCTAACTCCATTGTCATAAAATAAACAAATACAAGAATATTTATATAGTGGTATATGTTATAATACAAACATGTGCTCTGTACGACAATCAAACGTATAAAAACAAGATATGGAAAAAAAATAAGAATTAGAATTACAATTTCGATTATATTATTAGTTTTGTCATCTTTTAAATTTGAATATTGGTAATAAGAAAATTCATTATAAGGATATGATGATGATGCTGATGATGATGATGATGATGATGATTATGATGATGATGAAGGTTAGTGATGGCAGTGATGATGTGCATATAATTTCCATGCGTGAATATGAGGATGGTTGATGTTTTCTGTATATCATATGTACATATTAAAAAATATCGGGGGATGTAAAATTACTTGGAAAAGAGAGAGAAAAGTGTCTTCCCTCCCATTCACACAATACGAGACACATGATAACTAAAGCTATCAATGCTTGCTGAGGAGTGCTTTATAGAGTCACCGAATACTCCCTATTACACATGCGCAACGACGACCAAGAAAATGGCGGACGAATTGAATAGGTAAGATATTCAAATTTACTCTACATCTATTGCTGTCCGTTTTAACTGTTTTTGTACAGAAAAGTTAAAGACCCAGATTCACTCGTTCCATATTTATGAATCAAGACTAGCTTTGGTAGGTATATCGTTACAGAAAGGTAAAGCGCAAGTGTTTTTGGCCTTTGACATTCGCACAACGTTACATTGCCTATGCATGTCCGAAGATGTCTCAAAATTTGAATATCTTCAATTAGGTTTCAATCTTGGTCACTGTGTTGACTTCAAATGCGATCGCCTTTATTTAATTGCTGATTCGTAGGGGAATGTGTTTAATATTTTTGTTTGTTGACCATTTATTTACCTTGCGACTGACCATATACCGGTCTAATCGTGTATGTTTATCTCGGACGCGTTCTGTGTAAACAAACACCTTCATCGGTCGACTTTATGTTGGATGTCGAAGCAAAGTTATTTCTATCGAAAGTTTTGTTGTAATGTTATTGATCTGATTCTGAATTAGAAACGAATTATATGAGAACCTGAGTAGCTTTCTTTTATTTTGAAATGGAACTTGTCATTCATGTACCGTTCGAGGCCGAGCTTGGTGATTTCATTTTTGTCTTAATGCCTTACACCGTGTGGGTCAAAAGTATCATTGAATGAATAAATAGGATGTTTCAGAAGATTGACTTGAGAGGAATGTCGGAAAAAGTGTAGCAGAGTACCCTGTTTATGGTATTGAAAACCTAATGGTGATACACGCTTAAAGGAGGGGGGCAGAACACGGGAACTGACTTAACCGTACCATAAAAGAAAAAAAATGGAATGGTGTTTAAAATAAATCAAATTACTGGTGAGATAGAATATTGTAACTAAAAATGTGAAAGTATACTCTTCAATGTGTTTCTCGTAAATAACCTTAGCGATTATTTACATTTTCTATTATTAATGTCAATATAGCAGTAGTTTTTTCAATTTTCTGTATACATTTAATCATTTAAAGATAATGAAGTTAAAATTTTGTTATAAAAGAATCACTTTCAGTAAAATGAAAAAAATCTAAATTTTACTTTATTTTCCCTCCATCTCTAGCTTGATTTTTCATTTCAATATATTCTACTTACTCAGGTAATCCCCCTTTCTTCCTCCATATGTGTTTGTGATTCCTCCAAAGCCTTATTTGATATATGGAACATTTTCAAACCTGGAACCTCTAGTTAGAGATGCAAGAGGAGGTATTAAAGTACCTGCTAGCCAATGTAATATGAGAGATTCCAGGGGATAATTTGGAAAAATCTTTTGTTTTCTTTTTTTTATGTGAAAAAATTGCAATAGCTTGAATATATATAGATATGTTTAACTAATAAATACAATCACCTGAAGATGACTACTAGGCCTAACACCAAACTACCATGTTGATTTTATCTTTTTGATTATATATAGAGATTAGGCTAGTGGAAATGTACACCTTTAATAAGGGGATTTTAGCTGTAGAAAAAATGCAGGTTACAAACTTATAGCCAATATGTGCATCACGGAGATGATGGACTAGCAATCATTGTTTCATTTTTTTGTACTAAAAGGCTATTAAATCAGAGGCAAACTGTTGAGAATACATTTGTCAGAAAAAATAATTGATAATAAATTCTGGACTTTCCTTCATTGTTTTCAAAAGCATTATTCCTCAGTCCATATTTCCTCTCAAGAGAAGGGAAAAATGTAAATCATTGTTGCTTACATGTACAAAAGTTGTTGGAATGTAATTAGCAGAATTTCTAGATAATCACATAGTTAAATAATGTAAACATGCTGCTCATACTTACACAATGAAGTGGCAAGATGTGCTTATTTAAATTAGGTGACGTTTTTTGCTGAATTGAAATAGATGTAAAATTTGTAGGATTTGTTAAATTACCAAATGATGTAAGCTGAGTTTTATTATCAGATAAGTTAATTAGTCAGATGAAACTCAATACACATGATGAATTTGTATACATGTCACTCATGATCACAGCCGTGTTAACTTTTTTCTGAAGGGGAAATAGTTAAATATGTTTACCACATGTATGTGACTTTGACAGATTTCTCAGTCCTCATTATTTATAATGCTTATTGGGAAGTAAAGAATTAAGGAAGGCTTACTGCTGTGATCCTGACTTAATTGACCCTGGTCAGACTTGCAGAGGTAACTCAGGTCAGGTTGAGTATTTAGAATGACCAGTGCCAGTCTAACAGATTGATTGACCCACATAGATGGTAAATCACAAACATGGAAATACACAAGCATTCAAATTGTATGTATCTGTACCTCTTTCCTTGTGAGCATGCAGTTTAATGAGGTAAGTATATGTGTAAACTATCACACTATATAATACAAAATAAAGTGTTTTTAATGTTATCTTTGGTGTGCATGTCTTTGCATGCAATCCATAATGTAGTATTGTCACAAAGTGTTAATAAGAAATAAAAAATTCTATGTATGTTGGCTGTTTAGTGTATAATGGTGGTTCTGTTCTTGAGATGAACATGCATATATGGACAAGTTTTATTGGTGATATTTTAAGAAATAATGATTCAAAATTCAATTTTTTTCTTTTGAAAGAAATTGGAAAATTTGTGATTTTGAATCCATAGAAAACTAGTTTGCTGACAGGGCATATAGTTTGACATTTTTTGTTGGGAATACAACATCATATTACTAATGAAGTTGATTTGAAAAAAAATAAATCACAAAAGAAGTTTAAAATATTTCTTAAGGTAGGAACTAATTATTGATTTATCAATTAAGTAGGAAGTGATCTCATATATTCATAATTATGTTTTCTCACCTCTTTTAGTTGTCTATTTTTTATTATTGATTATAATTACCTGTAGGATTTTTCACCTGATGATTGCACTTATCTATATTTTCTCACCTGATGATAGCTAGTTATGCCTGAAGTAAGAAATTGCTGGTTCATTAGGACTTCATTAGATGTTCATTAGATTCACCTGCCTGACCCATCATATACAGCCTGCAGATATTGTGTAATGCTGATCACCGATTGGTCAGTCCTTTGGTCATTCACACCAAGGATGATAACAATTATTGTATAAAAGGTAAAAAGCATACATTTGTAAACAGTGATAAGTGATAGGGAGTTGAGGTGACATTGGCAATTCTGCAATGTAAGTACATAGTCAGGGCTAATGTTTCAAAGATCAAAAGTTTTGTAATATACTAGGATTTGACAAACATACTAGAGCCAAGATGTACTATTCTGTATTTAAATTTATAATTCTTTTTTTGAAAAGAAAAATATTTGAGAACAGAAGCTAAGTATATAATGTACCTATATTAATTGTTATAATTAAATGTTCTTTTTGACAGCTGATACTGTTTTCTCCCATAAATGAGTAGACAGAAATGTGAAAGTGCTGATATATAGAAATCATATGAATCATATAGAAATAATTATTGAACTCATTAATTATTTGTTTTGTGAAACAAGAAAGATATTGATCAGTGTTTGCAGCTGAACATTACACATATTAATTTATAAAGTATTGTTAAAAATGAATAATTTTACTGATTGAAAATATTGTTTTGTGAAAATGTTAAAAAAAAATTAGGTGATTTTTTTACTGTGTTTGAGGACCTCATAAAAGATTTTGAAAACCATATTCACTATATAGTATTGAAATCTAAAGCAGATTCTGTTAACTCTCTCTAAAAAGGATCAGATTATACAGGTTTGAGTGGCTCCCTTGATATGCATGTATTGTTATCAGCATGTAAAACTACATGGGTTTTGTTAATTGAATTTAAACTTCTCTGTATGTAGAAAAAGTAATTCATGAAAATATTGAATATTAGGGCGACCATGGTGAGGTGTTAAGTCGGAAGCTTAAGTTTGACAGTGGTAATGACTCTAAGCTAACGACATCCTAATTCAAAGTAATTGATCTGTGACGTTTAAATGTCCCAGTCACAATAGATCAGCCGCTACTATACAGACCTGTCAACACTTCATGACCCAGCTGAGTCAGCACTAAACAATCCTGTTCATATAACCGTACCAAAAAGCATATACATCGCATGAGTATATATACATTATTTAACGCTCTAGATTAATGCAAATGAAATTCAAAATTTTAGTGAACACCTATGCTAGAAATGGAAAGTATGTATAATAAGTGTAGTGGACCATATATTCAAGCCTTTTTTTTTACACATATATATATGGAGTGAATGTTATGCTGGATAACTTATTTTAAATTAGTAGGTCATGAAATATAGTTTTGTATTAAGCCATCAAATTTGAGGAACCATTTAGATTCTTATGATGTACAACTTGTATATCCGAAGGTATTCATTCCTATTTTCAAACTCAGAAAATTAAATAAAGTTTTTTGTGTATCATATTTTTTTATAATGAAATAATTCGTTTTTGTTTTCCTGTAGTATGGACAAGATTTTGCTGACAAAGTTAGTAGTTATACTGGTATAGAAATGAATCACTCAGGCTTATAGGTTTAGATTTAAAACCCCTGGGTTATTAAGTATGGAGATATATGTATTTATTCGATATAAATGCTAAAACATGCAGTGACTTACCTGTCAATATTTTTTAAGTATATTACCTCATATTTCTGTATAGTTAGATCATTGTTGTACTTCTTGTCATGCTTAATGATGTAATATTTCCTGTACAGAACTGATCCACCTGATTGTCCTTACTTCTATATAACCAGGAGTTAAAGCTATTATGGAGTAGATCTTGTTATTGTCACCATCATTAACTTATGGAGTGGTATTTGGACATGTGATTGTAGAAGAACCTGTTATAGCAATTGGTACATGTTGTTGTAGGGATTAGAGTGTGTGATTACAAGGGAGGGTGTGTGTACACTGTGATAGGGTCATTAGGGTGGGGAGAAAGTTTGTACAGGACCCAAGGGTAGGGAGAATGTTTGTACAGGACCCCATGGTAGAGAGAATGTTTGTATAGGACCCTGTGCTGAGGAGAGTGTCTCTATGATGGAAAGTTGTGTGTGGTTATGTTAGTCTCAGTCTATTGGTTGTGAGGTATACCTTTCCATATGGTCACCTTGCCATTGTGTACACACAGTATGACACTATGAGGTTACAGGTGACATGCTGTACACAGTGTACATGCTGTGTAGAGTCCTCAGCTTACACTGTACAGAGGTACCTGTCAGGGCTGAAGAGAATGAGGAGGAGAATGATAGGAGTAGACATTCATGAAATTAGTATATATACAGGGCCCTGTGAACTACCTGTATCTGTCCTTACAGTGGAAGTCTTCATACACAAATCTTCCTTCACTTGTATCTGTACCACTGACACACTTTAAGGATTTTATTGCTTGTTTTAGGTTTGGAAATTGTGACTTTTCACCGATCGTGGCGTGTGGTCGGTACGGAAGACGAAGTTTGCCCACAGAGACAGGGGATAACATAGAAATTAACTTCCCTCGTCTTCAGAGCTCTACGCCAAACATACTACCAGCTGTGAGTATACTTGTATAGCAATCCCTTGTTTTGTATCTTTTTCCTAATATTTTGTCTTAGTAGACACTTGTGTTGGTCAAACAACCATCTACCATGTTGATATCAATTGGATTATAAATATGTAATCACTTCTGGAATTCAATTCTGAAAATTTTAACAGCATATTTATTTATATAGATCTTGATAAAAGAATACACGCTAATCTTAATGTTGTATGAAATAATTTCTAAATGTGTATACTTCATAGATGATTGCATCTTTTTTATTTCATCATATAACATAGATTTTGTTTTTTAATTTCAGAAAAAGTTCAGTTCTTTGGCTAATCATCATATCCATAGTAACAATAATATAAACACAAAGCTGGGATTTGGACGGCCATCAGTATTTGGCAGTCCTTCATTTCCTTCGCCACTGGACCGTATAAGGCCAGGGTGGCGAGATCGTGCGAGACAGCTAGGAATCGACACCGAGCGAGAGGCATCATTTGAGGTGAACCAGAGCTTTCCCAAATCCACCAAGAGTCGTCTTTGTCTGGACGATACCCTCGCCAAGCCCAAGTCCAGACCGATGAAGTACTTCAGTAAGTTAGCCCCAGGCCTTACCCCAGAGTCTGTGGGTAGACCCTCACCAAAGTATCTGAAGCCTAGCATCAAATTCTTCAGTAAGTCTCTGTTACTTGTGTGATAATGCAAACTTGGAGGATTTTCTTTGTGAAGAAAACAAGTTTACATTGTTACACAATTGTTTTTTAAAGATTAGAATATCATCAAATCTGCTAATATGGAAACCTGTCTTTTTCACATATTTTTATCATTGTTATGTGACACTGACAAAAATTAAGCTATTTCCTTTGTGTTTTTTTAATGGTGAAGTAAACCAACTGGTTTGGCAGATTAACTACTTCATTACAAGTTTATGCAGTCAGTGTTCAACATTTGTATTTTTTTCAAAAGTAATTAAATTTTTTATTGTATCTTTTAAAACACAAAAATTGTCAGTGAAAGCTTAATCATAAGGAGACGCCCTGTTTATAGAGAACATCTTTGAATGACAAGAGATGGCCTTTCTGAACAGGAATAACTGAAACTAAAAAATGAAAAAGTTATACAGTGAGCCAAAGATCGTGTTAATTTTGTTTATTGAGTGTTGAAAATAAATTCTGATTTTTGTTTTTTTTTTTAGACAACATCCTCAGTGATGTCAGTTTTAGTCCAGGGTCGAATAACAAAGGGTCATTCAGTGCAGATCCCATGAATGTGTCGAACACCAGTGACAACTGGGTGTTTTATAACTCTGTCAGCAATGGACACAGTGGCACCACATATCCCTCAACAGTACGCAACCCTAACAAGGCCATTTGTACCATTGATGCTAAAACATCCGAGGTAAGTAACCATGATGAAAAGGATTTTTTTTTCTTTCTTTCGCATTGTTGATGTTTTCAATATTTGTTTTCATGGAATGTCACAATTCAAAATCTTACTTTTAAAAAGTTTTCTTACTTGGGAAACTAGATGGATGAAGAACTTAACTGAAAATATTACTCAAATTTGAGACAATAAATTTTTATAGATCTTCAAAAATATTCTTTCAACAATACCAGTACATAAAGAATATTCAAATGAAATACCAACCAAAGCAACTTAGCTTTAAGTGGTGGATTTAAGAACAATGCATTTAGTCTTTTATTTTTTATACATTAGAGAAGATATAACCTTTAATCTTGTTTTTTTTAATGGTTATTTTTTTTTGTGAATGGTGCATCTTAATCATGGTTTTATGGTATGTTTCCGTGTGTTGTTTATGACATTCAAACATAATGACCTTTGTGTACTTGCAGATACTGGTAGCCAATGAGATTGCTTGTGAATTATTTGGGTATGAGAGGGAAGATTTCATTGGGCGACAATTGAAGGACATGATAAAGCTGAAGCCCAAAGAGCAAGCAACAATAATGGAAACCCATTTGGATGAAGTGACTGGTGAAGTTGTCAGTCTCTCAGGCAAGGTGGTAAGTGACGAGTAGTGCATATATTTTTAATTGTAAATATTACCACATCCTTAGTTTATTTTATATCAAGTTGATAGATTCCCTGTTCCTTATAGATTTACAGGAAAGTAGAATGAGTTTTGTTTTCTGTAACATTTCATTAACGAGACTAAATACTGATTTGTAGGTTGATGCTGTAGACAGTAATGGTATTGTGCTGCCAATCTCTGTATGGGTAAGAAAACTAGGACAGGAACCTCGCTGTCTAGTTGTCATGGAGCCGGTTCATCGTACTGTTGCCATGGTTACCTTCAACTCAGAAGGCGTTATATTGTCCTGTGATGACCAACTGGCTTATCTCCATGGTTACATGTCTGCAGAGGATGTAGAGGGACTTGACATCCGAGATCTTATACCGTCTTTCACACTTCCTTGTCCAGGGAAACCCCTCTCTAAGGTAAAAAGGACAGATGTATTGCATAACTAAGATCACTTCCTCTTAATTTTTGGTAAAAACAATTATGAATCAAATGGTGAAATATGACTCATAAAACAGTTTTAATGTGATGTAAACCTGTTTGAAGGGAGGTCACTCATTAATTGCATTTAAAATGATCTTCTGTACACCATTATATATCATAGACAAATAGAGAAAATGCTGCATTCTCCTAACTGTAAAGTTCAGTTGATAAAATCAGATGTGTTTTTATTTTTTTCCTCATTTGTGAATGACCTTTCAAGAAATTCAGATTAAGAAATGTAGTTGTTGTGTAAATTTTTTATGCTAGATTGCTGGTATTAGGAGTTAAAAATATTGTCATAATTTTTGTTATGTTAATTTAAAGGAGGTGAGGAAACAACAAGCTACAGGTCGTACCAGGGAAGGAAGTTCATTCCCTCTGAGCATGTTTGTCAAACTGAGTGCTGAGGTGGAGAGGGACAATGAGATTGAGTCTCGTCCAGACCATGGTAAGCTTTCCTCCTAATGTTAAGTTTTTATTGTTTTCAAAAACATTGTATGTAGAAAAGTGAAAATCAGAACAAAGACAAAATGTAATGTTACAGTAAAAATGATCTGAAAGAAATAAGACTTATCTCCCTTTTGTTCACTGGCTTACTTATTTCCCTTCCAGAGGATGATGGTGTGTACCTGGGGATTGTCTGGGTGTTTTCTGGGATCAGTGGACTGATCACACTTTTACCCTCTGGTAAAATCCACACGATCAACGATAACTTTGCACTACTACTGTTTGGCTACTCCAAGGCTCAACTCATTGGCAAGGTAGGTAACACAACATGCTACCATTTCTAAGCATTTGTTTACTCTGTGATTTTGTTTTTTGTTTTTTCGGTTTTCTTGACTGATGAAATGATATTTTGACAATGAGATACATACAACTACAAGATAAAAGGAAAGATGAGACACATATCTGAATTAAGTGATAAGACAGTGATTAGTAAATCTAACAGCCTGTAAAATGTTTTGTTTCAAGGATATTACTGAGCTGATCCCAAATTTTGGTGATATAATGTCTGCAGAGAATAGTCTTTACATCCCAGACCACAGTGATGTCACATCAGGAGGAGACAACTCATGTTCTCCTCGTGAACTAAACTTTGACAAACCTCATGGTAAGTCTTATTATAGTATAAGAGTTCTTCTGTCACTGGTGAGAGTCAGCTTTTCTTTGTCAACACCTGAACTGAACAGTCTATGTAACTCAGTTTTTCACTAAATACTGATTATATTTATTTAAAATCTTCTATATGTCTGTCATTCCCTGATTTGTTACCAATTATATGATCTTAAGTCACTCTAAGTCTCCATCAACTCTGCAATTATCACTTACAGCCTTATATCCAGGCCATAATGTCAGGTATCTTTGTCTCTTTTTCTTACTACTGACTAATTCTTTTGTCACTTTTAAAAATTATTGCAAGTGGAATTTATTAGTTTTAAAAATGACCATAATGATTTTATTACAGACAGCAGTGATGATCAGGGTATTGGAAGCAGTATTGGTTCAAGTCAGACTCAAGGCACCAAGCTGGATATTCGTCTGGATGCTTTGTCAACTCTTCAGCCTGGAGTGACCTCTACCCCTAACAAACCCTCACCCACCAACCCTCTCACTGACGACACCTACTTCAGGTATATACTTCTTGGTATATATATTCAGCCTTAATTTTGTTATTAAAAAATTCACTATGACAATTTGGTAAAGAATATGATAATGTTTATGAAATAATGACAATGTGATTATTGTGACATAAAAAAAAAGTCTTTCAAAAGACGAAATACAAAAAAAAAAAAAATTCAGAAACATTTTATCGTTTTCCTTGCACTTTGTAATCTGTGTTGAGATTACTACTTCAGTTTCCCATTGCTTGGCCTTCAGTGATTGTTATATAACAGATTCCTATTATAAATAAATCTACCGTCAAACTGTGTGATTAGGTAGAGTTACTCTTTCACTAAGATACATCAGGGAACATGTTTAGACAATAGATCAAACAAGTGATGTTGCAATGATGATGTGTTTTTTTTTTCATTGCAGGCGTGCTATGGAAAAAGAGAATTTACTAAGGAAGTGTTCTCCGCTCCAAAACGGCATGACTCCACCCTCACTTGTTACCAAACTGGACCTGACAGATGTCAGTGATGAGGAAGATGTGCCAGAGAATAAAGTTACTTCAAATAGCAATACTGAAGAAACAGACAGTACTAAGATGGATTACAATTCCAGGGACATAACTCAGAATATCAGGCCACATGAACACGGCCTCAACAGTACCATGCCAACAGACCATCTGATGTCAAACAGACGAGATGCAGGACAACAGATAAGTCGTTTGCCAAGGGACATTTTTGATATCGGGAGGCAAGATATGATATTCCGAAATGAGAGCAACTATTCTGATGAGTATGACTCTGTATCAAGTTGTGAGAACTCCACAGAGCTGAGCAGTACAGCTGAACTGTTGAGTGCAAGAGTGGGTGCCTTGGACTTGTCTGGTAGGGACCACAGTGGTGCATCTAGTGGAGATAGCGTTGTGTCTGACCAGCTTAACGTGTCGAATGCCGGCAATACGGCGGACATCTGCAATAATGTATGTGAATCTGATAGTGCTATTGACAATAACAACTCTGTGAACAAAAGTGCCAATTTAAGTGAGAATGACATTGAATGTGATTCTAAGATTAGTTGTGACTCTGATTATATACCCAAGAGTTCGCCAGTAATATCGGAAAACAGTACCAGTCCTGAGTGTTCACCAGAGACAGAGCGACCGCTGGCGAGGGATCTTCTGTCCCCTTTGCCTCGATTCCCGGTACTGGAAAGTTCACGAGGTACAGGTAACACACCAGATCTGCATGCAGAAGATTCTAGTAGTTTCCGACATTACAATGAGTATTCCTCTCTAAATCTCACAGACTCTAATGTTTCTAATGACACCTTCACATCCTCTGAGGAAGACGATTTGGTTGAGGAAGAGGAAGAAGAAAAAGATAACAGTCCTGTAAAACGATTACATGACAAGAGTAGAGCAACAAGTGACAATAAATTGATCATACCAGAAGGAAGCTATGCTGGTGTGTTTCAGCACCATGACGGCTCTGACATAGGTAAAGTTTACAATTTCTGTTTAGATGGAAATATTTTGATGATGAAGTTTGATTTCAGTGAAGGTTATTAATAAATTTACATGTTTTGATTTTCTTAATTATCAATTTAATCTGATTGTTTGAAGTCACAATAAATGTAATATATCTATCTAATAAAGATCTGCATTAGACCTTTTCATTCTTATACATTTTGTATTAGAATATTACATAATTCTTAATAGAATTCTGTATTGTGAGCAAACTCTGAAGGTAAAATATTGTTGTTTTTGTTTTTTGTAGGTATAATATTCCAGGTGAAGTGTGTACAGATGGAAGGGGGAGAGCATGTGTATTGTCTGTGGGTGTCACGAGATCCCGGGGACCACCCAGACCCATTACACTCCTACACCAACCTCACACTGGCGTCCAGCTTCAACAGTACTATGGACCAATCAGGTGGAGAGGTGAGTTCAAGTGACATTGAGATTGATGATTGAGTATTAGCTAAGTAGGTTTTACTTTAATCAAAGGGCAATTGGGCAGACACTTAAATCAAATTGCTAATGGGAATATAAGATTATACAATCTAACACTTTTAGCAGGGGAGTTCAAAAATTCTTTTTATCAGAGAAGTAAAATTTTGACATGTTAACACTTTAAAGTTTTGTTTTCAGTGTCTCGCCAACTCCAGACTAGAGGATAGAGAAGAGGAAGAAGATGAGGGAGAAGAGGAAGAGGAGGATGTAAGTGACCAGCAGGAAGATGAGGCAGATGGAATGGAGTACAATCTATCTTCGGGGCGGGGATTGTATGAAATCAAATACGAGACACTTTCCTCTATAGGCAAGGGAGCATTTGGCTTCGTGAAACTAGCTTGTCGTCGAACAGACAATACGCAAGCTGTAGTTAAGTTTATTAAGAAGAAGAAGGTGCTGAAAGAGTGTTGGACAGTGGACAGGAAGTGGGGCAAAATTCCTCTCGAGGTCAGCCTCCTCACAAAACTTGACCATCCAAATATTGTACGGGTAAGTGTACTGACTGCTCCTACCAAGGCTATAAGGACAGCTGAAAGATAAATAAATTTTAAGGTATCAGTACATGTGTTCAAAAATCTTGTGTTAGAGATTGATATTCAGTTTTGTCAGATCAGTAGCTTTATCAATACCCATATCATTCTTACAGTGTCATGTAGGTTTTCATCAGTGCTGTACATGTAAAAATAACATTTTATTTCAGAAAATCTCTTTCTTTTGTGAACTTATGATACCATGATAAGAATAATCAAAACAAAAGATCCTGTTGAGCAGTATTTAAGACCATGTGACGACTGCAAAATTTGCAACCAGAAGTTTTTAATTATATTTTACTTTCATAACTACAGGTGGTGGATGTGTTTGAGAATGAGGACTTCATACAGATGGTCATGGAGAAGCACGGAAGTGGTATGGACCTTTTTGAGTTCATTGATCGTAGTCCTCTGATGGACGAGAGCCTGGCCAGCTACATCTTTAGACAGGTTAGTGGTACCATGTTTATTGTCAATGACTCATTAACTCATCATACTTAGATAAACAAACATATTGTTTTTTGTAGAATTGTTATTTTTACTCATGAAATTTTTTTTCTTTCAATTTGGCTGTGCTGCCATCATAATAGGAATTGTGATACCTGTGTTAATGATTGTGATATTCTAGGAAGGAGTATTCATAAATCATTATTATGTCAGATTCGTTTGAAACCAAAAACAAATGGAGAATCAAAAGTATGCTGCTTTGCTGTGTTAATGTATTCATTGTATTCATGTTTTATTCCTACAGATGGTGTCCGCTGTAGCCTACCTCCACAGCCATCAAATTCTGCACAGAGACATCAAGGATGAAAACATTATCCTGGACGAGCACTTCGGTATCAAGCTGATAGACTTTGGTGCAGCAGCCTACCTCAGTAAAGACAAACTATTTGGCACATTCTGTGGCACGTTGGAGTACTGCAGCCCTGAAGTCCTCATGGGTAACAAGTAAGTTCTCTTGTCTTTTAAACATTTTGGTATTGATTTTCAAAAAAAAAATTTTTCTTTTATATATTTTAAAATATTTGAAAATAAAAAAATTCCAACTTTTTTCCATTAAGGACTGAACACTCCTACAGTAAAGAATAGAAAACTTCAATGCTGTTCTTCCTTTGGCCTCGGGGCTTTCACAGAGTTTTAGTAAAATTCTCATTGGAACTCTGTTATGTGTATATGAGGATGTAGCTGTACATGTTCTGTAATGATTGTTGAATGTTACAGGTACCGTGGACCGGAGCTGGAGATGTGGTCCCTGGGTGTGACACTTTATACCTTAGTGTTTGGGGAAAACCCATTCTTTGATGTCGACGAGACTATTCAGTGTATCCTCAAGCCGCCATTTTCTGTTTCTAATGGTAAGTATTAGCTTCCATGCCTTCTCTGTCAGATTAAGATGTATCAGTTAAAAATGTTCATAAATAAAGATACTTGAAATGTGTTTTCTGACAAATTTCACTTAATGTTATATTGTTCATAGTGAAAATAAAATGTAAATTTTTCTCCAGTTAAGATATTTCAGTTTGATTATGATGCAAAAATGAAAAAAAAAAGTTTTTTGTTGTAAGGGCTATTCCATTGGAACATCTTCTTGACTTCAGGCCTCCAAAAGACTTATTTTAATGATTTGATTTACTATCTAATACTTCTGAGAAATAAATCGGATACAATAATAAAATAGTTTTGGATATTGTAATGAGATCCTGGGTGATTTCAGGAATCATTTTGGTAATTGTTGTAATATTTCTTGTTACAAATGTTTCTTATTACAAAAATTGACAAACGTTTTAGATAATTAATGTAATATTTCTTGTTACAAATGTTTTTTATTACAAGTATTGATAAACATATTTTTTACTTACAGCTCTCATGTACCTTCTGATGTGGCTACTTCATCCCGAACCACTGAAACGTGCCAAGATCACAGATTTAGAGAATGACAAGTGGATTAACCAACCCATGGACATCACTCAGTACAAATGGATTGAAGTCTTGCCTAACTCAGGTATGTTTTACATAACAGTTGTTGAGTGAGCTCTTGCCTAACTCTGGTACATTTTACGTGACATTTGTTGAGTGAGCTCTTGCCTAACTCTGGTACATTTTACGTTACAGTTGTTGAGTGAGGTCTTGCCTAACTCTAGTACATTTTACGTTACATTTTTTGAGTGAGCTCTTGCCTAACTCCGGTACATTTTATGTTACATTTGTTGAGTGAGGTCTTGCCTACATATTTTCCAGCAAGAACCAATGTCAGAATTTCATTGATCTTGGACTAAAATCCTAAACATTTAAATGATATTCATATATCAACTGTTGAAGACCTATCCACAATACATACACATTCAGTTGATTTAACAGAATTTTTCTGTTATTTATTAATTTTTTTCTGATGGTTAGACTGTCAATATCGTACAATCTTCATGATAAGAACATCTTTACATCAGGTTTTATATTTAAATTAAGAGAAGATGCTAAATCGATATGCATTCAAACCATGACTTTAGAAATAGAAGTTGTATATATTCCTGTAAATTCGTCATTTAGACAAATGACAAGAGAATTAAGGTTGATGAACTGTGTTGATTTTTTATCTATGTTTGACCTTTATGTAGAGCATGACTAACTTTGCATACAATTCACTTATTAAAAATGTATTCGTTTGCTCTTGCAGAATTCCACGGAAACACTGCCGCTGACAATAGGATAGACTCTCCTGATTCAAAGGCTGATCAGCAAAGATGGTCAAAGACAAATGGAGTTTACGGCTCTCACTGACCACTCCTGATCCGAACTCCAGAAGACACATATAGTACTATAAACTGCCAATTGATATTATCATACCTGGACTGACTCAGTGTATGTTTGTACATTGCTGTAGATATCGCTGTACATTTGTATATGTCTGTATATATGATTATTTATACTTTTATAAGTAAGGTATAGAGTTCTATAGGATACTGGATGGTGGTGCTGTCCACTGTATAACTATCGTGACCGCTGGATTTTATGTCGCAGGTTGTGCACAGCCATTAACAAGTTATACTCTTCTGCTAGTCATATATGCAATATTTAGATTTTTCAATCAACAGCATTAATCTGCGTCTGTATTCTGTGGTGTGGATGTGTGTATGATGTCTGGGTGTTTGTGGTTTGTGAGATGTCAGGAGAAACGTCAAAACATGTGATATGAACAGAATCTGTTGTGAGAAGAGAAGTGTTTACAATTGAGAGTGTGACTGAACTTGACCAATGACCATGCAATACAATATAAGGTTCTTTAGGTCAGGAACAAGATCTATACTCATTTTATATCTAACAGTATCATGACAGTATAACTTAATAAAACATAGGTTTTATCAAAACTGAATCAATTGTTGTGTTATTGTTTTCAACCCTGAATTATTCGGATGACCTATTGCTATCTGCTGACCGTTAAATTTTCCTTTAAAACACTACTGTGTAATGCCTGGACGGATTTCAACCAAATTTGGCCTAAACATCATTTAGGATGGGGAATTATTTCTTAAATTCAGAAAATTGATTCAACTCAGAGGGACCTGGGATGGGGCCCCAAAAGTTAGACAATACTTTGCTTCAAAATCTACTCTTCCTTAATGCTTGAATGGATTTCATTCAAATTTCATCTGAAACATCTGTAGAGGTGGGCATTTAATTCTTAATGCATGAATGGATTTCAACCAAATGTGGTCTAAAACATTATTGAGGACAGAAAATCATTTCATTAATTCAGAAAGTTGATTCAGGTCCTAGGGAGCTTGGGTCAGAGCTCCAAAAGGTGAAGTTAGTAAATATTTTGCTTCAAAGTGTGGGTATATTTTAACCAAATTTGATCTGAAATATTTTTGTAAAAGGTGGGTTATCATTTCATGAATTCATTAATTTGATTTGGCCGCTATGGATCTTGGTGCGGAGCCTCAAATGGGAAAGTTAGTAAGTATTTCTGCTTCAAAACGCTATTCTTCCTTAATGCTTGAATGGGTTTTAGGGTTCAGGGGAAAGAAATGGAAAGATCCTTTTTCGCAAATTTTGTACATGTATATGTCTGTTTTTCTTGGTCCCTAGTGTTTTATGTTCAGTTTTTGGTACAATAAAAAAAGTAAACAAAACAGTTTCCAAAAATTACATGTATCTTGGTGCTAGGGGGTGTCATTTATGTTAAAGCGTTAAGATGGCCCTGTGGTCAGTACATTTTAAATACATTTAAACTGATCAAGTTTTGATGGGAATGTTCAAGGACTTCTTTTCATTATGATTATGAAGTCATTTTGGTACTAAAAGCATGATAGAATGTTTGACAAGGCACAATGTGAAGGTTTTTTTTTTTATTAAATGCATTCTAAACTTCTCAAGCTCTATGTGTAGATGTTATTCAACTCTACAAAGAATCGTTCCAGGGCGGCCATCTTGGGAAAAAAAACTTTTTCATAAGTTCCACTAATGACAATTATCTAGGACCTTGTGGAACTGATCCTGAAATATACATTCTGTTAGGTTTGAATCCAAAACGTTCACCATGACATGATAGCAGAGAGTTAATTTTAGAGAAAAGAATACATTTTAAACTACATCATCATCCTTATAGAACAAATATGTGCCCAGAAAGGCCGCCCACTTTAACACATGATATATTCCTTTCAACATATATACTACAGAACATAGATCCCTGTTCTGAGATACATGTTGAGGCATTAGTGCATCTTATTTGGAAATGTATGAAAATTAAATCTGAATTTCCAAAAAAATTAAATGTGAAAACCTTTCCCATTTGCCTTGTCTTTCAGTGACCAGCTGTTATTCAAATCTCCATATCGACCATTATAATTAATTCTATACTTAATAAATTTGTCACGATATCTACATTAAAATAATCAGCTTAGAATTTAGATCTGGTTACTACAATATTCAAAAACATTCTTAATGTAATGAGACTCACAAGGTGGAGTTATATTTTAATCCAGACATGGACAAAGGGAGTTAATTCATTTCAAATTGCTGACTGAAGGGCCCAACAGAGGGACTTTTTTCTTGTTAACCCGCCATCATCAGGGCTGTTCAAATCAGCATTCGGTCTGTGGTCTCTCATCTCTCCATCAACATCTTTATTGCTATTTTTTAGAGGAACTGGGAGGATTTTTTTTCAAACGGAATATCTATGGTACCTTGTTGTGCCAATTTCATTTTGAGACTGTGAAACAAAATGGCTGACAGGCGACCACCTTAGAATTTGACTGTTGAAGTTTGTTATCCTCCCTAGTTCTTGAGAAGTGCTTGAAGTGCCTCTCACACTTCATTTATATTATCCCTAGTTTTGCATTCTTGATTTTGAGACTTTGATTAGTGAAACAAGATGGCCGTAAGGCAGCCATCTTGGAATCTGTCAATTGCGCTTTGTTGTCGTTATAACTTCAACAGTATTAATTGGATTGAGTCTCATCAGTGAACCAAAATTGACGACAGGTGGCCATCTTGAATTTTGACAGTTTATAATTGCTATTTCTTGAGAAGTATAGGTAAAGATCACTGTTAGTATATGTAAAGGTCAATGTCATTGTTAGTATAGATAAAGGTCAATGTCACTATTGGTATAGATAAATGTCAATGTCATTGTTAGTATAGATAAAGGTCAATGTCACTGTTAGTATATGTAAAGGTCACTGTCATTGTTAGTATAGATAAAGGTCAATGTCACTGTTAGTATATGTAAAGGTCAATGTCACTGTTAGTATAGATAAAGGTCAATGTCACTGTTAGTATATGTAAAGGTCAATGTCACTGTTGGTATAGATAAAGGTCAATGTCACTATTGGTATAGATAAATGTCAATGTCACTATTGGTATAGATAAATGTCAATGTCATTGTTAGTATAGATAAAGGTCAATGTCACTGTTAGTATATGTAAAGGCCAATGTCATTGTTAGTATAGATAAAGGTCAATGTCACTGTTAGTATATGTAAAGGTCAATGTCACTGTTAGTATAGATAAAGGTCAATGTCACTGTTAGTATATGTAAAGGTCAATGTCACTGTTGGTATAGATAAAGGTCAATGTCACTATTGGTATAGATAAATGTCAATGTCACTGTTAGTATAGATAAAGGTCAATGTCACTGTTAGTATATGTAAAGGTCAATGTCACTGTTGGTATAGATAAAGGTCAATGTCACTGATAGTATAGATAAAGGTCAATGTCACTATTAGTATAGATAATGGTCAATGTCACTGTTAGTATAGGTAAAGGTCAATGTCACTGTTGGTATAGATAAAGGTCAATGTCACTGTTAGTATAGGTAAAGGTCAATGTCACTGTTGGTATAGATAAAGTTCAATGTCACTGTTAGTATAGGTAAAGGTCAATGTCACTGTTAGTATAGATAAAGGTCAATGTCACTGTTAGTATAGATAAAGGTCAATGTCACTGTTAGTATAGGTAAAGGTCAATGTCACTGTTAGTATAGATAAAGGTCAATGTCACTGTTGGTATAGATAAAGGTCAATGTCACTGTTAGTATAGGTAAAGGTCAATGTCACTGTTAGTATAGGTAAAGGTCAATGTCACTGTTAGTATAGATAAAGGTCAATGTCACTATTGGTATAGATAAAAGTCAATGTCACTGTTAGTATAGATAAAGGTCAATGTCATTGTAAGTATCGGTAACGCTCTGCTTTTTCTCGGCAATGGAACAATACCCAAACCCTTTCTCGCATGGGTAAGACACTGTCAAAGGCGACATTAGAAAAAAGGTTGGTAAGAAATAAGAGAACATATTAGATTCCACATATTCGCCTCTTACGATAATGCAATGTAATGATACAATTTTTACATACGGCCCACCTGCTGGGTAATTTTGACAGTTTCAGTTTGATTGTTTGAATGCGGAGTCCCATCCATCCATTGTCAGGACTTGCGTGGTCGCGAGGTGGAATGCGGGTAAAATCAAAAGAATTTTTTGTTTTTCTGCGAAAGCTTATTCGCCGCTTCCAATTAAATGTAGTTCGACGTGCTAATACTGCATTCACTCTTCCTGCAATTACACGCCTAGGAACTACGTCACAAGAACGGTTTACGTCACAAAACAAAAATGGCTGAAAGGGAGTGCGTTTCGTGGGAATATAATGTTCAGTCAGCGCATTTAGAAGATACGAGTGGTGAACTTAATCTCTCATCAAATGTACCGCGCACTTAGTGTTAACCAGAAAAAAATACTGAATGTGCTTCCCATAGCTGTAATACATTCGTAACTTCATGGTTTTAGGCATAAAAACACACTCAATATTTGTATGAAAGTACAATAGTTTTATCACAGAAAACGCCGCCTCAGAATCTGTCGTATTTATATACATGAATAAGATGTTGTATGTGAACCAGAGACTAGGATTGGTATTTTAAGCGCAAAATCATTAGATTATTAGTTTTATTCTTTAGAACGTTGAATTTTGAGAGTGGAACGTCTGAAGTGTCGCCAAGGTTCGAGGCCATTCGCATAAATTTTTGTAAAAAGCCATTTTCGTTTTGACGTAAACTATTCCCGTGACAAAATTTCCTAATCGTGAATCAGATTTTAAGATATCAGAGCAAACCAATACACAAACATTCACGAAAAAAGTTAGTTTTACTCACCAAATATATTTCGGGAAATGGACTAGCATAGGTCAGTAAAGTAACCATAACTCCGATCGACGTCACAGTATGTTTTGTAAATCTGTCCATTCGGTAGAATTTATTTTAAGGTATGTTTAAAATCCAGACAATAGACCATTTATTTCTCCTTTATGTGAAGTTTTACATCATTAGTGAAA